CCTCGCCATTAAAGAACGATCCCTGGGAATCCTCCCCTTTCGTTGCGGTCAGACCGCAGAGGAAACGAGTCGACGATAACAATGATTGTTCCTGACATTTTATCTGACATTTTGTTCGTCGGCTTGCAATCAGTCGAGAGACGTCACATCGGCTTAAAACCAACGCAGCGATTCCCTCTCTTTTCTTGCTGCGCGTCGATCAGAAATAATAATTATAAAATTGCGAAATCCGCGTAACAAAGGAAAAGAGAGGAACGGGATAGGTGCTCCGCTTCGCACAGTTATCGAAGCTTTGTTCGGCTCAAAATCGGGGGCGTTTGTCTCATTGTTTGGCGGGAGCGGACGTTCAAAAATGATCGGCCCCAGGCTCCGCGAGAGTATCATCCGTCCCTGTAGCAAAAGACGCTACTTCGAGGTCAGAGTCGTGCGGGATCGATTCCGGTAACGAGATGCCGATATCCGGGATTCTTCACGATGTCGTGTCGTCGAACCGAAATTTGCATCTCCGAACGGTCGCTTAACGAACGGGCACTTCTTCTCGAGTTTCGATCATACGCGGCGATTCAAACGAAGAGTGAGCACCCAATTATACGAATAGTCGCGAAGACGGCCCTGCTTCACGTTGATTTAATTAACGACCGAACTTTACCGCGTGTTACATACAGTGTAAGAAATTCACGAGCGGTATTGAATAACGAATGTTAGCACATTCACTCGCACAACAATCGAGTGTAACTTTATTTCGCTATGCGAGAGAAGAGAGAAAAGATCGCTCAAAGGTGGCCTGATTGAACAAGTCGAGAGTGCGCGTAATGTAATTGTCGAGAAGGGAAATAAAAAAGTTGCTAAATGATTTTTGGGGATCGAGAATAAAGTTACGAGAATGACGATACGCGCGCGTGTATGCGCGCATGAGGTTGTGCAAGATTTCTCTCTCTCTCTCTCTCTCTCTCTCTCTCTCTCTCTCTCTTTCTCTCTGCATACATCCTGTAGTTGGCGTCACAACGACTCACGCGCGAACCGGCATCGGTGAATAAATTAGGTATCCCCGATACCGGTATCACCAGAGACCGGCGCGTCCTCCTTCCGTCCTTTGCTGTCCTTTTCCGTAACGCGTCTCCCACTCGCGAAGAGCGTGCGGAACCAGTTTTGATAAATATTCGAAGATAAAGCGCAAACGAATTCTCGCGACGAGAGACACGCGGCCCAGGCTCTTCGCCTTGGACAATGAGACAAAAATCATCGTCGGATCGTGATATCCTCGGCCGAGGGAACCCGCGAGCAACGATAACGGGGACAGTGATAAAACAACGTTGTTGTGAAACGCACTTAGAATATCCAATGATTATTCAATGTACAAAGCGAATGACAATGTTGCACCGAGAGAGCAGAGAAAGTGCGCGGCAACGAGACTTTCTTTGGAAAATTGACGTCTTCCGGTTGATCCATCTTTTCGCGGACTTTCTAGCCAGGAGATCCCGGCACTCTTATCCTTAGTGTTGGCTTGTGGGTAAACGTAAACGATTAATCTCGTGAATGAAAGGGGTCTCCCGACCCTCCTCCACCTCCACCTCCACCTCCACCTCCACCTCCTACTTCTCCTTCTTTCTCTTTCTCACGAATTTCAACATCGACGATTACACAGGAAACGTGAAGAAGGCCGGAGAGGAATCTTCGGCAAATCCCATGACGCAATTCCACGACCACAAAAACGTAAATTGAAATGGCGCGCTTCATTAATATTTTAATAACACACGCGCAAAATACACAGAGGAGACGCGAACGACACGAGCGAGCGTGAGTTCTCGTGAATAAATTCACCGTGCGACCGAATTTTATGAGAAACGTCGGAAATTGCGGTACGCAGCGTTCATCTTGATAGATAATGTTCTTCTCGTCGAATATTATTGGCACATAACAAAGTAGAAAAACGAAAGGATCCGTTTTCTCGACAGAAACGAGCTGCGAATATTTTTCGGCCGTGACCGATTAAAAAAGAGGGAATGGGAATGCCAATAGAGACGTCACGTGTAATCTTATTTTTCGACCGGCTATCAACGAATAAGTTTTGCATCGTCGGCATTTTGTGCGATCCATCGCCACATCGTTTGTGTGTTGTTCAGCTTGGAGGAGAAATGTCACATCTGAAATTAAATTTTTCTTTCCTTTCTTTTCAATGAGATGAGATTACACGTTGATTTGCGCCTGTAGAACGTCGATTTCACCGGATGTGTCGTTTGAGAAGGATATCCGATAGAATTCAGCTGAAGAATGGAGGTCCCGATTTCCATCACTCGATCGGGATAATCGCGTATCACGCTCGCGTACTCCACGTACGACGACGATGTCGTCGTAGTCGTCGTCGTCGTCGTCAATTCTTGCCGCGTACCCGATACGTTACGTTAGATCCGGGAGTGGTGGGCGACGATGCAAGGTTGTCGAGAAATTCATCGTGGCACGCATGCACCGTCGCCGCGCTGGCTCGCTTTTGATTTCGAAATCCGACGGTCGATATCCCCCAATTTTCAAGCGGCTCCCGGATCTCCGAATCTGCGGCCGAGAGACCTGCGCGCGTCCCGTCACTGTGATGATTGATTTCTGATTCGCCTGTAAATCGCACTCTAATCTTATATAAATGATTTCTCGCGCCCCCCCCCCCCGAACGATTCGCGATGTGTGTCATTTTTTTTTCTCTTTCATAATTGTCAATATTACTGTTTCCCATTTGTGCAAACTGTACACCTCGGGAAACGTTTTGGACATTTATATTTATGAATTAAATTTCATTTTACATAAATACCTAAATTTCGGTCTATATTTTGTGCATTTCCGAGTGAGGAGTGAGAGAAGGGGATTTTTATTTTTTGCTTCAACACTGACGGAACCGAACTCGTCTCTGAATTTGTACGAAATTCGCACTCGTTACGTAATTTCTCGGCCGAGACTTGAGAGAAGCGCGAGTGACGCGAAAATCCTCGTTGTCACTTTACACCTGTAACATAACGTCGTTGCACCGGTGGAACAGGCGACCCTGATGACCGCTGAGATGTCTGTCTCTCTTTCTCTTTCTCTCCCTCTCCCTCTCCCTCCGTCTCGCGTCTTTCTACTTTCACCTGGATCTCCGCTAATGGTTACATCCGCCAACCTGGGAGAGCTATGCCCCATTTACGATAATTTCTCGAGTCGAAGACGAGCCGCGGCGCGCAAATTTTCTTACGCGGCTCTCGCGCCGAGTATTTTTAATAGCGATGTTATACCGTGTGTGTGTGCAGGAAAAGGCGGTAATAATCGGTATAAAAGATATTCTCTCGAATAAATTTGAGATTACTCTAGGATGTAACTTATATACAAAAGATGTCTTGAGGAAGCAGTCGCAGAGTCAGACTTTTGTGCTTTTTTTAAAAAGATCTCCGTTAATCCGTCACAATGTTTTGAGTATGTTTTTACATTAATTTAATAACTGCATAATTTAATGATCCTTGCGGTAATCGATCGGGAGAGGGGCATCCGCCTCCTCCGACACACCCGGTATTTTCTCCGGTGTTCGCGCTGGAAATAGCGAATGCGTGGTACAATCGGGTTGCAGCCAAGTTAAACAATCGGCGCTGGGAAAAATGGATAATGGCGGGTTAGACGGCACATAAAGAGTAACGAGGACTCGGTTAAGTAACGGAACGTAAGCGCACGATGAGAGAAACGTCAAGTGGAATACGGATCGGTTGTTATTTGCTTGTCGGCACGTATTATCCGCCGCAGCAACTCGCAAATCGCTCGTTTCCGCGTTGTTCGGCGTTTATTGGCACCTAAGCACTGAGGGCCGAGCTCTCTAAAGTGAAGGTATTGACATCGGTACCGCTTGGGTGCTCCCGAGTGTCTTGGTACTCCAGTATCCCAGGCCCCGGTAAAATGTTGACAATACCGATCAATGTTGTAAAGCGAAATGTACGCGGGACAAAATGCCGGTCTCTCAAAATCTCGGCTGAAATGACACGATCGAATATCGCGGGTAAAAGTTGCGCGATATCTGTCATGTTTGTCGTCTCTCAGCTCTAGCCCTCCCTTCTCTCACTCTTTCTCTCTCTCTCTCTCTCTCACACACACACACACTCTCTCTCTCTCTCTCTCTCTCTCTCACACACACACTCTCTCTCTCTCTCACACTCTCTCTCTCTCTCTCTCTCTCTCTCTCTCGAGCTGTCGGAATATTTCGTCCATGAGGGGATACAAGACACACATATATTGTATCAGGGGGAAAAATCCGAATATATATTCAGGTACATCCGGCGATATATCACCGGCATAATAACAAGGCGGTCGCCGCAATAGCGCGAGATGGAGGTACCTGCCCACGCGGATGCATCCGGAAAAATGACGCGCGTGCGTGCATGCGTACGTGTACACGTGTAGCCAGGGACGACGAATGACTTGGGGGACAGGACCCTTGGAAAGAGAAAAAAATGTCGGCCAGAGAGCTGTTAAATCCCTATCGCATGATATCGTCCGAAGAAAATAATTTGAGACAGAGTCCTGTCGCGACGATCGCATCGAGGACTCGGCACAAATTAGTTTCTACTACCTACCGATCCCGCCCTCGCGTGGTAATCGCCAATCGGCAAAACGCTCGTTTATCGGCTGCTGTGCTTTCGTACATACCCTCCCCCCACCCCTCCCTCCGCCTGGTCTTCTCCCTTTCTGTGTGTAGGAGAATGAGATAAAATCTGCAGATGCATACAAGGCTGATAGCGGCAACGCATCAGCCCTGAGGGAGTCCTTCGTGCTTCCTTCGTCAGTGGCGTAGCAGCAAAAGAGTTGGCGCCTCTCCCTTGGAAGGACGTATTATAATTCTGATTGTGGAAGATCCGCTCGCGCATTTCTCGTATTTTGTTTTCCACGCGCCTGCGAATCCCTTTCATGACTCGCTCGCCGAATGCAAAAGTCTCTCTTGGGCACGTCTAATCGATAAACGATAAGCAATTTCATGACGAGTTTACATCTTGTAGAGATACGTGGACTGCACGGTGCTGGGGGCGGGCAGCGTGCCAGACGCCGAGGACTCCTCGTACGACAGCGATTACGAGGCCGAGGATTCGACCACGGCAACAACGACGGCGACAGCGGCGGCGGTGCCTCGTCCTCGCTCGGAGTCGCAGGTGTCCCCCGTGACGCACCCGGACGTGTCCCGCACCACGTCCGACACCCTGGCCGCGGAATTCGCCGAGTACGTCACCATCCAAGGACCTTCGCCCACGCAGAGTCCAGGTACAAACCTTGTCGCATCCTCCTCGACCTCTCAGATCTATGTTCAATTTTTTGCGCAAATAACCCCTTCCTCCCCGAGACGTCTTCAGAATACGCGTAGCTATAAAGGAGAATCGATTATCGACGGAGGTGCGGTAGACTCTTCTCGATTGCCATTCTTACAAGTCTCCTATCCGAATGTTGGAAATGTGTATTCGTTAAATTTCCTCAAGGGCGAGATGTCTACGCCAAATTGTCGTGCATTCGTGATGCTGATGGGCAATTCTTCTGTCCAGGTTACACCGCTCGCGTGGAATTCGCGCTGAAACTTGGTTACACCGAGAAGCTCGTGCAGGCGGCTTTGCAGAAGCTGGGCCCAGACCCTGGTCAGAACGAGTTGCTGGCCGAGCTGATCAAGCTCGGAGCTACTTACTCGCCGAGACTCAGCGATGGCCCGGAGGAGGCTGATGGACTATTGGATACCGAGATGGGCACCGACGACGGCGGAGGATCAATCTTGAACTCGACCACAACGATGACGATGAATACGACCTCGTCGGCGGGCTTGAGGCCCGTCGTCATCGACGGCAGCAACGTCGCCATGAGCCACGGCAACAAAGAGATCTTCTCTTGCCGCGGCATCAAGATCTGCGTGGATTGGTTCCGCGCCAGAGGCCACAAGGAGATCACCGTCTTTGTGCCCAAGTGGCGGAAGGAGGCCTCCAGACCTGACAATCCCGTCGCCGATCAGGAGATCTTGGGCGAGCTCGAGAGGGACCGTCTGCTGGTCTTTACGCCTTCCAGGTTGGTATTGTCACGAGATCCGTTTCGAATTGAGGATTCTACCACGAAACCGGTCAACACTCGTGATGGGTCTCCTCATTCTAAATTTGCTCATGTGTACATGAAAATTCAAAGTTTCATGTTTACGTTTCAACGTCGATATATTGCTTATCGATCTATACGAAGCAATTATGATAATAACACGGAGGAAGAAGATGAACAAAACATCGTATAGCCGAATAAGCGCAAAAATAAATTACGCTCGAACGATAAATTAAGCACACGCGTAAACAAGAAATAACGGATACGTAAGCGACAAAAAACCGAGATTTAAGACTGAGATCCGAGACTTCGGTAGACACGGAGGCGAGAGATGTCCCTCGTTCCAGCACCTGGACTTGCTTTGCCACCGGCTAATATTATCCAGAGCTGGAATAACCGGCCCCACGTTGATCTATCCGCGCGAACTTAAATCGTCTCAAGGATCTCTCCTCCTTCCTTGCTTCTTTTTCTCCTTTACCGGAGCTACCGCTTCTCTCGCTTGTTTCTTTTCTAGAAACAGAAATGAATCATCTGACACTGCGACTCGCAAAACATCATTTTGCAAATGAACAAATCAAATGCATAATTGAAGCGCCGTTGAATATTTAAGCAACGCGATAATCCTTACCGCGGTAATAGAGGATATAAATCGGCAAGTACATTCATTTTAAACGCGGCGACCAACTTTAAAAAATCTGGAAGAGGAACAAATTGAATCAAATCTTCCGTAACTGCGCTTTAACGCCACGCGATTATTCGCAATGTAATTATTTCTAATTATGATATCGTAATGTAATTTCCTTGGTTGGCTTGCCGCGAAGCAAGGTTGTTGAAGACCCTGTCACGTATCTGAGAAAAAGAGAGAGAGAGAGAGAGAGAGAGAGAGAGAGAGAGAGAGAGAGAGAGAGAGAGAGAGAGAGAGAGAGAGAGAAAGCGAACACACGTTATATCCGCAGATTGGTGGGTGGAAAGCGCATGGTGTGTTACGATGACCGATACATCCTGAGGCTGGCCGCGGAGGTCGACGGCATCGTTGTTAGCAACGATAACTACCGGGACCTGGCGCAAGAGAACCCCGAGTTCAGGAGGGTCGTTGAAGAAAGAATCCTGATGTATAGCTTCGTCAACGACCGATTCATGCCGCCGGACGATCCTCTTGGCAGGAGCGGCCCTACCCTAGAAAATTTCCTCAGGATCGCGCCCAGGAAGGTCGAACCGGCGCCGCCGTGTCCTTATGCTAAGGTAATCTTACGGTTTTGTTTCTACTTGTAAATTTCAAGTCCATAAATTTCTCAAATTGTCTCCCGACCGACGATTGCAATTAAAATCTCTGCCATTATTAGTTCTGGCATGTTCGAAATCGGCGCTTCCTTCTTTCGCGAGTTATAAGATTTTACTCTTTTAAATCAAGTTGAGTCAAATTAAATTGCCCAGAAAGTAAATTTTTGGTGTAACAAGCTGAATTTCGCTCTGATTTTCGGCTTCTCCAAATTTCCGAGGCAGATTTTCTCCTGTTATTGACTTGATTTTTATTTTGACTTTGTTTGAAATTAAATGAAGCGCGCTCTTATTGGACCCGTAGAAATGCACATACGGGAACAAGTGCAAGTTCCGTCATCCAGAGAGAGGACCACACCCACACAAGTCCGTGACGGAGCGACTGGTAGAACACGCCCAGCGTCACCTGCAAGCCCGTGGGCCCAGTCTGAGTCTGCCGCTGCCGTCTACGACGTCCGTCTCTCCGCAGCATCCGCCGCTCTGCAAGACCAGGTCGTCGGTGCCGCCGAGCGTCGTTCAAACCTTGTCGTCCGTGCCGAAGAGTCGATCGGCGGAGAATGTTACGTCCGACTTATCCGCAACTAGTCCTGTCATGTACAGCCAACAAATGCCCCCGGCTCAGAGCCCTCAAGGTAATAATTACAGAATAATAACGGTGGACGATGAAATAAATAATTTGAAATGAATATGAAAAGTCTTATGAAAGTGAAAAATGAAAAAAAACGAAAGATTGTTTTCTACTTTTCATTCTTTACAGCTTATCCCTCCGTAGTAGGTTGGGCTGCGTCGAGAGTGAGCAATCCTGAGCCGGAACCGGCGAATATGCATCGCAAATTACAGCGGCAACTTACTCTGAACCCTGCGTGCGACCCGCGTCTTTATCAACTTAGGCGATACCATCAGCAGCAGCAGCAACCCAGCCAACCGCCGCAACAGCAGCAGCAACAGCAAGCAGTCATTAATCCCTCGCGCTCTAGTATACAACATCGACCGTTGACGAGACACGCCAGCAACGAGTCGTCGTATCCAGTTACTGCTATAAGGTGAGTCCGACTTGCTTGAACACCTTTGCGAACGTTTTGTAACGCAATATTAGGTCTGATACCATCTTTGAACTTCGCATTATAATGCAATTTACTTCAGAATTAATTGAGCGGGTTCTATTATTTTAATCATCTAATATCGGACAACTTAATCATAAACTTTACAGCAATATGCAAATATATTAATTCGAGATTTTCCCAAAACTGCAAATGTCAAAAACAAGCAGAATGTCTCTGTATCTTATAAATATAACTTTTGCAAAATTGAAGTACATATAAATAAGCAGGACATCTGTCTTACTTCCAGCTGGGACCATACCGAGCGACTTCAGCATCATCATCAGCACGTTACACGCATCGCCTCCGCTCCAGACTCGTATAGAGCGTGGCCGCCATGCGGTGCCACCTTGGTACCACCATCGCGAGTACAAAGGTTGGGTACCTCGGATCCTCAATTGAATCTACTACCGTCACCGCCATCCGCGAACTTACACGTGCCTTGGGGCACTCAAGCCCAAGACGCCCGGCGTCGTCTGCACTACCATCTCGCCAACATATTTCCCGAGGAGCAAGTGCAGGCCGCCATGACGATCCACCCGCATGAGACCGATCCGCAGCAGATATGCGCCGCCATCCTGGCGATGTTTCCTAAGAATTAGAATTAATAGAGGTTGAAAAGTACAGTGTGTGTAAGTACAGAGTATCCACACGCTCGACCTGCAGCATGTTGCAATCGGAAAACTGATTCCTCGTAATAGTTCTCTTTTTTATTTCTGCAGACACGCTGTATTCTGTGGAGAAATCATAATGCAGAATATGAGTATATAATAACGTGGTGAAAACTTATCGGTTGTATCGAGTGATTAGAAGTAATCTATTTCTGGAAATTCTAACAGCTAAAATTTTTGTATCTTATAATTCTGGAAAAGAATCTTGCGTTTTCGTCCTGCTAGTAGTGAGCTAGCATTTCGCGGACAGAGAACGCGGATATGAAGAACAACACGCATAACATGATTGTCATAGATAGACATTATGACATGTTCTCGTAGATCTTCGCGTTATATGGGAGATATTAACGGAGAGGTGAATGATTGTGCGCTTACGAACAACGCACGTCAGCCCAGGGCATTACAGCGCGAGTGTTCGTTGTTATTCGGGAGTTTAGGTGATGAAACATAGAGAGAAAAAAAATCTGTATTTTAATCCGTCGTTTTAATCGCGCAGAAATCGCGTCAGTGATCATCGTCTCACATTGAGCCGATCGACTTCTGTCTTTTCGATGGCACTCGTGAAATCGTCTCGCGCTGTTTTCTCATTAATCTTCGCTTCTTAAAAGGGAAGGAAAAAGTCTTAACTATATTTTTATAGATTCACCGATTTTATGTACGTTTATCGCTCTTTTATTATCAAGTTTGTCGCAGCTTCTGATACAATTTTTATTATATATATAAATATGTATATATATATATATGTATTTTTATAATATACACACACACACATATACTTTTTTCACATATTTTCAAATATTTTCGATTCAAACTTCATTGCGTCATGCGCGATGAGAAAATTTCTTGAGACGACATTGTGAGTGTAATCGTTCACATTAGCGGCTGTGAATTTATGGGAAGCCTATATACACACATACATACATATATCGCTCGGCGGTATATAATTTGTATTAAAATTGTACATAATATATACATATATATGTGTACGCACAAAACATTTCGGTAACCCGAAACAGGGTGAATATATCGTACAAATTGTACGAGAATTAATTAAGACTTAACCAACTGCTTATATCGATATTTTTCGTCTCATATTGAAGAATATTGTATGATATTTTAACTTATTGGATTATCGGTTATTTCATATACACGCGTATAAGAGCTACGAATTAATCGATATGTTAGTTCAATTTAATTAACTTCCAAAATAGAAAGGGAAGGGTCCAACAAAGAGTTCTATTGATTCAAATTAATGTTCTCATATCAGATGTTTTTATTTGCATAGCGAACATATCACGATATTTTTCACAATAAGTGGAGAAGGAATGGATAATTAATTTGCATATTTAATACACATGCTTAAATTTATTTTATATACACATACTATTTTGTGACAAAATTTTATATCAATCAGGTTACATTACATCAGATTACAAGCGCTTCAGCTCTTTTGAAGATAAATATCCTTTCTTACTCACTGTCTATCTCTATAACAAATGATATATAAGATTCTAATATATACATATGTGTGACATGTAACATGTGTACATCTGTATATGGTAATCTCTCGGAAGCACAATACTATGTATTGTTGAGAATCTGCGAGTTGCGAAGTTGCAAATATTATATGAAGTATGTTGTATCTAACAAAGATGAAGATAAATACTTATAATATTATTCTCACTGTGTAAACTAAACAGAGGAATGTGCGATAACCGTCTCGGTTGTGGAAGATTATTATGATTATTATTATTTTATTATTATTTTTATAATAATGTTAATCTATGAAATATTATATATACCGAGTTTGTATCAATGTTATTCCGAATGGATACTACGAGAGAAATAAATGTTTTTTTTATTATATAATATTTGTGTGTTTACCCAGACTGCACATATAAATCTGTAAACAATATCTTGATGATGTCTTGGAGACGCTTTTAGAACGTACGATATCCTCTAGATGTTCTATAAATGATCTTCGGAAATTTATGCTGTACCAATGTAACATTTGGTTATTGTTATTTCTGCTAAATATACAGCCCATTAAATATCTTTTTCATATAATGCAAAATGCAACTAATTTATGTTGGGTTATATCACGGACCTCAAATTAAAAAAAAACTCGCATTGGTAACTTTGGAATTAACAAAAATAACACGTAATAATTATTAGATATCAAAATACAAAATAAAAAATGGGAATTAGCAATCAGTGGTTTGAGTCTCGGCTAATATGTTTATTTTATTGAATTTAATTATCGGTTTGCAGATTTGCTTAGCCAAAACTCGAATCACTATTTACCGGCTTGCAGATTTAAATAGCAAGGACTTAAACCATGAAACATCGGCTTGCAAATTTAAACAATCAAGATTCAAACCACAAATTATCGGCTTACAGATTTGCTTAGCCAAGACTCGAATCACTATTAACCAGCTTGCAGATTTAAATAGCCAGGACTCAAACCATGAAATATCGGGTTGCAAATTTAAACAGCCAAGATTCAAACCACAAATTATCAACTTTCAGATTTGACACCGATAAGATAATGGGTGTTTACGATAGTGAGTTCAGATCTAGTAAGATCTGGATCCAAGAGAGCAGAACATATTCCCACCTATATTAATATATTCTATGGCTGCTCGTGCTCTGCTCCATAGACATAGGGCAAGAGCACAGACTTCTGCATAACGCATAATACACAACGCATAAAAGAATCAACCAATCAGAGTTCTTCATTTCCCTCCTCAGGATAGGACAGGGTTTGCTTTTGGCTTCTGTGGGCCTCTAATTGTATAACTCTGTTAAAGTTGTTATTTTACTGTGCCTGTTGGATCGCAAAGAATAAATTTATATTATCCATTATAAATGCCTCGACATTTACTAAATGCATTTACTGAAGTTACTTCTTTAAAAGATAACTGCATCATGCGTACATACTTATATATGTATAATGATTATTCATGAAGAAACGAATAAAAATGGTTAACGATTAAAGTTTAATATGGCTAATCGCAAACAAGGATGTAACAATGCAAATAAGAATATATTAATATCGATAAATCGCTAATAAATATCGATAATGGGATAGTCTAAGTTCCAATTTAATATATGAGGTAAAATGGTGCTTGTTTGTCCATTTATTTGAGATTGCACGTAATGTTTATTAATCGTTCAAGATTATCATCTCAAGTAATCTTTAAATGTACATACAAAATTATTACACAAGTTGTATGATTTCTAGGATGATGTCTTATAGTCAGTATAATATTTTGCTCGTGGCAGCATTGTGTTCAGAATATGAAAGCCACCCTTGTTTTTCAAAATGGGATTATGTGTTTTTTTCTCACATAAGTCAATTGCGCTTAAAGGTAATAAGATGAGATTAGAATTAATTATTTTATAAAATAGTTGATATTTTATATAACTTTTTATCAAATATGAGAACAAGAAATTATAATCATTTTTTGATTATCTTATACTTTTGTTTAGAGGGAGTTAATGGGAAGAAATGATGACAACAGAGCATGATATTTTGCAAGGAACTCAAAAGAAATGTATTATAATGAGTCAGGAGTGTCCAAACTGTGGGCAACTAACAAATGCATCTTACTCAAGGCTTGTGAAGGATAGCTGTGGCCATACTAAGTGCCGAATGTGCTTATTGTATGAGGAACATGGATGCAAAACATGCCAAGCTGTATGCTGCACTCAGGATATTCAAGACTATAGTAAATAACTTTCTAGATTTTTATTTATATTAGATAAAAAATATAATGAAGATTTCTGATATTTTATGTATTGACTTATGTATAAACTTGTAATATAACTCTATATATATATATATATTGAAATATTGTATTATATTATATATATCACAATTTTAATTTTACACAGGAGAAGCATGCTCCACAAGTAATGATCCAGATGATACAAACAAAGCAAATAATGAAGAAAATATATTACCATTGGAGTTGGTTATTAATAAAAATACCAAGTCCAAAGAACACCACAATTACAATCCAACTTCTATTGAACACAGACTTCCAAGTTTTCACCATAAAGATGTCTCTTTTAGCAATAACAAAAGAGCTTATGAATCTGTTACAAATGATGCAATTGATAATAATGATTCTGATAAATTGTACATTCCAAAGGTAGAACCCAGTAATATGGTACTAAATATAGAAGCTCATTTGAGAAATGGAAGCAATCAAAACGATTTGGCAAATTTAGAGAATCCACAGGTAAGAGAATATTAATATCTATATAATATTTATCATGTATATTATTATTATGTATGTTTATCATATATTGTGTAATATATTATTATATTCGATTGATAAAAAACTCTTATAAATGTCCTATTTTTATGCTTGTTAATGATATTTATTTCTATTTTCTCAGGATACCCAAGCAGAACCAAGACTCGATGAGAAAACAGAGAAGAGCAAGAATACCAAACGTCGTGATCGCAGCCATATAATGATAGTATCTAGCAATCCAGAGAAGTATCAATGCAATGTATGTGGTAAAATTTTCCGCAACAAAAAGGGCAAGTGCTATCATGATGCCTGTGTGACAGGTATCAGACCCTATCAGTGTACCTTGTGTGATAGAAGCTTCGTCAAACGTTCTCACTTTGAATACCATGAGAGGGTTCATAGTGGACACAGGCCGCACAAATGCACTCTTTGCGAAAAAGCTTTCCCTCAACGGAATAAACTTAATAGGCATATGTTATCCCACAGTAGTGAGTGTATTTCAAGATAAGATATCACTATATTAATTACAAATTGAAAAATTTTTAATTCCAAAATATGTAATATTTACTGTAACTGTGTTGCTGTCTATTCCAGAGGAGAAGCAGTTCTTATGTTCCATATGTAACAAACGGTACAGTAAGCGGGATGATTTAAAAAATCACTTAAACGAACACAATGCGACAACTACATATACGTGCAAGTTCTGCGACAAGCCTTTCTGTATATTAACCAATTTGAAACGTCATATGCGAACACATACGAGTAAGTATTAAAAACGGTTACTCAAAATTTTTCTAAAGAAACCCCACCAAACAACAAGCGATTGACCTGCAAGATCGTACGTTATCGTAGGCGAACGACCACACACGTGCGACCAGTGCGGCAAGAGTTTTAAAGACAAATCCATGTTGATTCGGCACAAACGTACTCATGGGAAAGAAAGGCCATTCTCCTGCGCCCATTGTAACCGAGTCTTTTTGTCGAAGAGCGAGCTTAGACGACATCTGGTCGTGCATTCAGGTACGTTTCGTTTGAGATATTATTTCCAGGGTACATTATATTCTCGAACTTGCATGAAGAATATCATTGCAATTTTTGTACAATGAGAATCACTCCGAATATCGACCAACTCGTTCTTTCCAGATGAGAAGCCGTTCTCATGTGAATACTGTCAAACGCAATTCAGGCGAAAAGACAATCTAAATCGACATGTAAGACATCACCATTCAGAAGACTTTAGCTGCGGCGAAGTGAATAATAAAGTGCCTCCGGCCGTTGTTAAGGCGGACCGAAACTGCTCGACGAAGAGCAGAAACCAGCAACCTCGGCAAAAGCAAAAGTCGAGAAAAACACAGCCAAAGAGCCCTGGGAAGGTAGTCGCAAACTCAACTGCAAATTCACATCAGATCAACTCGCGTTTAGATCCCATGGGCAACATCACGCCCGTGATAAGAACTACGGCTGAGGTGAGCAACGCGGTATCAGTGATCAATGGGCCCATCAGCACCAGGCGGCTGGAAGAACGGGCCTGCAAGAAAATGTTCACATACATGGAGCCGATTCCCATCGCCGAGGCGGCGGTGCTCAATTGTCGCATCGAGGAGAAACTGTATCCGCAAAGTGCCAACAGTCATAACTACTTCGTGCACAACTATCTGAAAGATAGAAATTCCAAAGTCAATTCCTATCCCAATAACGACAACGATAACGAGCTCGAATCGCGAGACAACTCTAATGCCATTGCGACAATATCTTCGTCAATTCAGTCGTCTCTCCCGAAGACAACGACAAGTCAGGAAGAGCCCGCAACTAGCATCCGCGAGGATAAATGCCATCGAGATGAAGGCAAAACGAAGAAGGTGGATGAAAGTACTGGGCGAGGTGATGAAACTTCTGTGTCTACAGAGCGTTTGGATGCCACTTCTCCTAGAGACGAACAGTCCAATTGTGTGTCCACTATCAAAAAGCATACTGTTCAACAATTGGTAGCGGATGGGTGCAACAGCTCAGCGAGTGGCAATTTCGGCGGAACGGCGACACACTGTGCAACACTGCCAAAAGATTTTCAGAATAGCAGCAAGAGGAAGCAGAGCGACGTACATTGGAGACGCAGAACCGCGGAGACACTGAAGCCATGCCGTCACTGATGTCCCGTTTGTTTTCGATATGTGATACTACCATTATACTTAACAGATGTGTTCACTGTGTATGTATGCATGTGTTTAAGTTTGAAAGAAATTTCGTTCGCTCGGCCTTAACGATAAAGACGACAGTGCCTCTTATTCGGCAGGCGAGAGAATCTTTCTAATCTGCCATAGTGTGATATACGAGAGGTGCGAGAACTAAACTGTTGCATATGATAATTGTGTATAATTATAACATATCTTATTAAATTGCCGTGCTTTTAGTTAAATCTTCACGTAAAAAGATCCGCCACACTTCCTTGCCGTATTGCTGTATCCTTCCTAAGTTAATTAACATTTATAGAAGAGACTGAGTAATTAACTTTCTTCTAATTGAGATCTACGTGGGTTTCCTAAAGTTTCATTGTGAATACAGGCGAACTTAGTATACCATTTAATTATTATTTTTTTATTTACAACAATTAAGTTATCTTCATACAATAATTGCGCCACAAATTAAATTATCTTCGCATTAGTCTTACATTATAACGTTAACTAATTCGACAAAAGAATTTGATGAGACTTATCGTCTCTCTCTTAATGCTAATTAATCTTATCGAATATGAATATCGCTGAAGAGAATCCTGCGGGGAATAATTTTGTGTCGGATAGAGAAATTTCGATAAAGACGAATTGCAACCCACGCATATATGCGAATGAATATTAATAATACTTTTAAATAAGTTCACACTGCCCACAAAGTTGTCTACATTTCATGCAATTTCTCTGGCTATTTTGTTCTTCTTTTTGTACATTGCTAAGAGTATAACGATATAAATATTCGCGAGTAATCTAAAAATAAGAAAAGCAATGATCTAAAAACTCGAATTCCAGTACTTTTGAATGGTTTTGCAAGAAAGGCACTTCATAAATATGTATGTATTGAGAAACATCGATAATTTATGGAAGCTATTTGAGGAATGGAAGAATTCGAGCAAACTAAAAAATTGCAAGATCTAAGAATCTACTCGTAGTCCTCCTCGTCCGGCCGGACTTGAGGAAATCGTCTAATAGCTTGATGCTGTTGCGGTTGCGGCCGTCTGTATTGAAGAGGGATGTTGACTTCTTCGGGACTGCGGAATACCTGATTTAGCGGGAGCTGATACTGCGGAAGTCCCGTGGGCTGCGGACGGGCTGATGTGGGGATACTATTCAAACTCGAGGGCTGTGGGCTCACAAGGACCTATACAAGACCTAATTGTTAAGGTGTCAATGTGTATGGTTGACTAAGAAGAATCATTAGACAAAAATCACACTTAAATTTCAAGATACAAAATTGCGTAATCTCGTAAAAGTTTTATCGTAATTCTAAAATCGTGCCATTTCTAAATTTCAGACGTTTATTATTAAATATCACATACCTGTGGAGCAGGACGACGCACTGGAGCTGGGGTGGGAGTGATCTGATAATCGCCAACTTCCCTTTCGTCTGAATGGATGTCAGCAGGGTAATACCTCTCGCTGTACCTCAGGGTGACGTTGGGCTTGGTCTCAGCCTCCTGCAGGTTCAGCGGCTTGTACAAGTACTCGTTGACGAAATGATACTGCGAACTCTTCTTGCAGCTGATGTCACCGCTGGGTGGCATACAGATCAGATGTACCTAGCGACGTAAAAGGCACCTCAGTTCATTCTTCATTTTAAATGAAATTGCGCTTGAGAATTGTGTGGGCTATAATTATTACAGTAATCTTTCCTTTCACAGACCTGATGGAAGGTGAAACCTTCGGGACAGATCCAAGAGTGCTTAGCATTGTCCTGGCAGTAATGGAAAACCTCGCAGTTGAGATCCTCATCAGCGTAATAGCCGGTCTGTTTGTTGACGCAGTCAAATCTACTCTGGGGTAGAAGCAAGGTGAGGCGATCGGGTTCCTCTTTTTCCTCTTCGAGCTCCTCTTGGGTGGGTCCTCCTCGAGGAGGAACGCGTTGGTTAGAACCAACGCGAATTGCTTGCGGATAATCGCGAGTGTCGATCGGTGATACCGTTGGTTTGCGATATAACTGTGTTATGTAACAAATGTCTCAGGTAAACAGACAAATAAATATGAATTTATAAAGTTAGATTACTCGGAGAAATTGATCTTCAATTTTTTACCATATTGGATGGTCTTTGCAGAGTAAATTGAAAAATGCATGTGAATGCGGAAAGTCAAAATGCACTCACCGGTTGCTGATTGGCACTCCTGTAGATTGGCGTCGGTGAAGGCGTGGGCGTCACTGCATTGTCCTCGTAACTGTTATCGCGAAATCCTTGGGCTGAGCTCAAGCCGGCCGAGTAAAGCGGCCCCAGGCTGCTCGGCTTCCCCGGGAATGAAACTGCTCTGGTTTCTAAGTCGTAAGAACTCTGCGCCGCGACGGCGGAACTCAAGAACCCCAGAAACATCCAATACATCCTGTTAAACATGAGAAAAGATCTGTGAGATTTAGATCACCGGGACAAATCGAACATGCATATATATTGATACGCATGTTTGATTCATCAAGAAGATTCATTGCTTTTGATTTCAAATTCGAATTAAACGACGGTGTCATCGTGCGCTTTCGATTTCGTAGACGACTTTCCACGTTGATGGGAACGACCGCGTTTCGAGGATATCGACAGCACCAAGGGCACTTTCCCCTCACGTGCATGCGTGAGCACGTGCGTGCGTAAGAATTTAATGGATGCTGATTTACGAGAAAGTGCGGCAATACGCAGATACGATCTCTCAGCGAAGAATTTTTTTTTTCTATTGCTGCAACAGCGCCAGGATGTGGCATTCAATTTCAATTCGCTACTTGTTAAAAGTCCGAGTCCAGGAGAGGTCCAAGGTGTTTCCTCGGTGTTTCGAAAACGATGTTTCGAATTTCGTCAGTGTGAAATATCATCAATAAATGTAAGTATCTCGGACATTCATTTATCACGCCATATTGTCACGACTCGGGCAATTAGAAACTGGCTTTCCAAGTGCGTACTTATGTACCACATGACCGTTCGACAATTATTATGGAAAGCACTCGAGCTCGTGAAGCGCGTCATTGTCCGTCACGACCGAAATGGCCTTAGCCGAACGTGAAACCGCCGTCCGAGTTTTACGCACTTAGAAAGTAACACGCTTTCCTCGCACCTGCTCTCCGACGGCGCGAGTGAGATCGATTCTCGAGATCTCATTCAAACTTGACCAGCGATATTCAAACCGCGGACCGTTTGGCGAATCTCTTTTCGCCGTCACCGTCGTCACTTTCGGATGATTTATTTCATCTTTCCGAAGTGGACGCGCGAGTGGACGTGAAATGCGAGTCCAGGTGAGAGATCGGATTTTCTCATCGGTTTCGAAACGATTTCGATTATTCGACAGGTGCGAGCCCTGATAGCACATGTTCTCCTGGGGACGTCCTAAGAACGTCCCTGAGGATGAAGAAACATCCCCAGGACGTACTCAAGACATCTGTACTATCAGGGAGTAATATGAAAATAATCGACGGACGAATATAATATTTATCGATGCAATTGTCGTTATCGCAGTCGTATCCTTTTGGCAAAAATTATGTGAAGTAGAGAACGATGACAAGCGAACGCATGCACACGGAAGCTGCGCGAATTACGTCGTCGAGACGGGACGTCATTGTCAATCAAACAATGATCCTCCACGTGAAAGGGGAGTAGAATCGCTAAACACACCGAAAGGGCAATGAGCGATGAGTTACGTAAGTAAAACATAGGTCATAGGTAACTCACTATTTTCCACGTAATAACGCGCCTTGCGTAACGCCATTTTTCCTCGAGATCCGAGAACTCGACTGCATGCTGCACGCGTGTCTCTACGCGCGATTTGTAGATAACTTCACGCGAGAGACATCGTCGATTATACGTGGAGAGGAACGAATTGAGATAATTAAGTTGCAAAAGTATGCGCGTGTTAGCTGCAACTGGAGATTAAATTTAGGAAACAATCTCCGGCATGACGTTCGCTCGAACGTTTCGTCGATGCTCGATCGACATCGAGCAGGAAAGCCGTATACCGATATATCCGGAAATTCGTGCTAATGTTGCATAAAAATGGCGCGCTTATTGGCCAATCGATAATCGCAACGCGAGGCGGGAAAGTGTCGCGTTTAACGAACGTCCTGTCCGCTCGCAGCCAGTTTTGTCGGTTGAAGTTCCCCGGCGGCGATTAATCCGATCAGAGTGAAAGTGAGAGGTCGCATGGAAAAATGACGTGTATCGGATTCGACGGTATATATAGGACGTAATAACCGTGTTGTAAGGTTCAGTCAGTGTCTCTATAAACGACACACAATGATCGAAGCGATGCAAAGGTTATGAAACGGTAATGTGAATATCTTTTACATCACCCACCAAGGCCATGGTCACTTCTTACGAATTACGCAATTATTTTTTCAATTTTTTTCGTCAAAATATTTTATTCATCGTCCCTCTTTGTCTCTTTCTCTCCCTTAAAAAGTATGATATAGGTTATGCTAATTCAACACATCTCAATCGCGTAACAATTAGCACTCAGCACTCTCACGTTTAATCACAAAGATGAATTCTTTATGAATACATTAAATGTATTGATGATCTTTGCGTCGCGTCAGGTTTCTGCAGTATTGTGTGTATATTATTGCAATTTTTGCAAATATATATATAATTTTAGGTAAAAGAACGCGCTCCGGTTCTCCTTGAGGGATCGCGCGAAAACCCTATGATCGTAGCGACGAATCGATTCTAAATAATCGTTTTTACTCCGTTTATCGATCGGTTTCTCCGATTTCGCTGTCAGGAAAATTGCAGAAACTTTCTCTTTCAATAAGATCGTTCAAATGATCACTATTCTCAAAGAGCTTTCGTTTCGTAGCAAAATTGACTTACACGATAACGTCGTCGCATCGCATCTTCGATGGAGAAAAAAAAGTCACTCTTATGGAAGCAGAACGATCGAAACTGCAAGGTATCGTTTAGAGTTAAAGATGCAGTTGCAAGTTTAAAAAAAAACTGCTAAAGTTTAATAATTAGTAGAATCAATAAGACATTCTTGACTCGTCGTTCTTTTTTTTAGTTACAATAATATTAACGGTCTCTTTTTGCTGCGGTTATAGCAGCAGAAACAATTTCAGATTCACAGTAGAGGATAGCACAACATGAAAGAAAGGAGTGGAAAGTGTGGTAAATGTCGATATTTACAGTCCAGATAGCGTATACAGAAAAAAAGATATTATACACAGAAAGTGGAATTGGTTTGGAAAGTATGTATGTAATTAGTTATATCTTTTACATTATACATAATCATCTATTTATTGAAATGACCGTTACGTATATGAAAAGGGCGTTCTCTTCGCGGTAGCCAGCTTTCCGCCTGCCGCGAAAAGAAAGCAATATTGCATAATGAATAAAGAGATAGTTGTCTGGCGACTAGCAGAGGCAGTTGTATAGTATAACACGCATAACTCGCGCGAGTCGACCGGTCAGCTAAAGGAAAACTGGAGCAGCCGCCATCGAGCGACATTTTTGCAGAATTCCGGGCATGCGAGACACGACACGCTGGTCATTGCGACTTCTGGCATTTTCGCGTCGCTATTAACAGATCTCGATTGATTCTGCAACAGGGTGGTCTCAGAAAAAGCATGCAATTGTTTCGACGTGCATTGAGTTTATCTGTGAAACTTTTCATGCTTCGTACGAAGTCACCAATTATAGAAAAAGGCATTCTATGAAATACGGTCTCTCGTTGAGGCTGACTGAACAAAAAAAGTTATAAAAAGGAATGGCTATTGTATATTGTGCATCAAGGTTATCAACTTTGTAGGGTGAATGTGGCAATTTAAACAAATCGCGGCCGCCGCTGCTTCAGCGAGTTCTTTATCTTGAAAAAACGAAATCACGCTCTTGGTACGCTGTGTGAGATACGGTTCCTTACACTCTGTACGCTCAACGTGAAACTATCATATATAAATAGGTTCTCTCCGCGATATTTTAATCAAGCTGATCGACATGCGTGCGAAAAACGTAAATACGAAGAGAAAAATTCAAACTGGTGCAACGGCAAGTTACAGAAGTACTTTCTCTCCGGTAGTAACATTGTTTTGTGCCAAAGGCCTGCAAATAAAGGGTGGGGAGCGCCGTCAGTCTCGAGAGCTTTATGAAATTAACTCGGTCACGCACGGTGGAACAGGAATTATGACACGTGCCTAGCAAGCAGCCGGCGAGAACCGGTTGGCGCCCCGCGAATACATTCGTGAGCTTGTAGAATTGCGAGAGAGAAGGAAGTCGATCATTTAAATCGTACCGCATAAATCTCGATAGTACAGTCATTAACCCGAGAATACTGGTCGCATTCTTATAATGCTCTAGTCGAGCGTTAAATTTCAGTCATTCCAGAAAAGAAAAAGGCGGACACGGATTGTTGGAAATGTTCCTGAGGCGGTAAAAGTGGATTGATCCAAAGATAATACTAATGAAGTAACTTAATATTTTGTTTCAGAACCTGAAAACATTTGGTTTTAATTCTGAAACTTTCTAGAAGAGAAAGTAAAGAAGAAGTTTGAAAGAAAAGTTGTAGATTTCTCTTTGGAATATTAAACTAGAATATTCCAACAAGACACAAAGCGACGAGTATAATGACGGGATAAGTGATAAACAGCGAAGAGAGTAAGAGTATACCAAAAATATATTATCTTTATTCTCTAGCTTCTTGTTTTAATTGCTATGTGACAAACTTGGATTTTATCATGTTAAAGTCTAATTACGATATATATATATTCTCACATTTTATACATACATACATATATACATACATATACAAATGCGTGTATCTGCCTGAATAAATATAATATGCACTCGGAAGCTGCTAAATTTATTTCCATGTATGTGCACGTTAACGATATCTTGTTTCATCGAAACAATCTATCAGAGTACCACCTGAAGGATTATAATTAATTGAGAGATCAATCAGAACACAATAGTGCGCGAGATTATAAACACGATTTATTGCTAACAAATCTCCAAATCTCTGTTCAGAACAAACAATGGTCGATCAGGCACAATGCGACGACGACAGTAGGACGTGGAAGGTCCTTTGGTCCTTCAGGGAGCACTTCACTGACGTACAAGTCTCTCACTGATTGCTGTTTTAAGGCCCACTTACCTGTCAGTGACGAAGGTAGCGGGATGATCGATAGGACGAGCAAAACACCGTAGGGGATCGATGACAACACGCGCGTGCTTTATCTTGGCCGGCCGACATGTCACTCTCTTATATAGCGTGTTCCGCTGAAAGTTGCCTCCACCAGATGAAATGGATTCGGTCCTCCTCAAGGTAGTGGGAGACCTCCTTGCAACTGCACCGTTGCGCGCTCCTTCTGCAGGATGCACCTGTTTGAAAACCCTTGGGGCGAAGCATATTCGGAAGAAGAAACTCGATAAAAAGATCAGATGAGATTCAAATATTAACACGAACGTGTTTAAGTTGACTTGGAATTGCTGATTTTGATACTCAATTTCAGACACTGTTTGACTCCAGATGTAAACGATAATACAAGAGGAATACATACGATATAAAATGCACTGATATTAATGACAGGATATATAAAAGCTCAGCCTAATATTTAAGATGGACGCCATACAAAATGAATTGCCTTCTCGTTATGTCATGAATACATAGTACTGAAAATGGTGGGAATAATGAAAATCTCACGATTAAGATTATTCTTTTACATGCTCAAGTTTAAAAAAAAAATTGTAACAAGGACGTCAGCAAATATCAGACGGCGAGATTGGCAAAATTGAAAATTTCGCTCCATTATTCCGGAAGGTGTAATTGTAGGTCGCAATTGCCGAGGAAGCAGGATGTACTTTGATGAATCTCTCGAAGATCACGCCGATTAAAGGTAAAACGCGAATGGACGGAATGTATAATGTAGCGTGAAGAGTAATTAATTCGATCTGTCGATCATATTCCGGAAGATCAGCCAGCAGATCTGTTGGCAGAAAGCGAATCACGCACTTTCCACTATTCAACCATCAGATTTCACATGGATAGATAGAAGAGTTTATTATTCTGGGATACGCCTTCTCCTCCCCAACATAATTGTTGGGTACTTGATAATATGGAACTTCTTAAAGGACATCCGGCATATATATCAATTTTGCACATTGAAACAAATGGACTTATATTGGGTGAGATATATATAAAAATTAAAAAAGGATCAAATGAAATTATATAAAACGTATCGTGCAAAATTATAAATCTCGAGAATTGGATTCATTGAACAATTATGTTTCAATGAGGTTTATCGCTTTATTCTAAAACATTGAAACATTGTTTCAACATCTTTCTTTCATTTCCTGGAAGCAAACTACCAACAAAAAAGTCATCTTTATTAAAAACGGCGAAACCTCGCTCTGTAATCCTTCTTTTCTTTCTGCGTTTATGAAATGTTCAACGATGGAATTCACTTCCCTATTTTGAAAGTGCCTCGATTCCTTGCTCTCGGAATACTTGCAAAAGAAAAATTTATAAAAACAGTCTACGGAAGTGGAAGGAGGGATTTAGAGATATCCCTGAATAACTTATCAATTGTATTTTTCTATTTACTGTATTCTTCTGTTTATAGTTTCCTCTTGATTGACGTCTTCGATATTTTATAAAGGTCGCAATCTTCCACTAGGTCGCACTACACCATCTTGCGTGATATCTTCGTGCGTGAGGAACATGTCTAAAAGCGTATAAAGTGTGAAAAACTAAAAATGATTACTAGACAGATGTTACGGGATCAGTTGATGTAATAATTGTGCGTTCAAGCATGAAGAAAATTCCAACAAGATCGTAAATCGAATCGACAATTAGTCGGAAATAACAATCAGAGATAATCACCTCCTGATATCAGAATACTTGGACAATGACATAACTAGTTTGGCACTTGGTACTTAAGTACACCCTCTCTCATAACACAAATAAGAAATATTCAGTAGGAGAGAGAGGTACGATCATTGCGTGCTAATAAGTTATCTACGTTATAAGACTTATTGTTGACAATCTTTCTACTATAATTTTTTCTCTTCCACCGAAGTACTTTTTACAGTTCTCAGGATTAAATTAATGAATAATTAAATACCAATTAAAAATATTAAGTTAAGATAGAAATCACAATCGAAATTAGGAAAACGAAAAGCTCTTTCAATATATTTTTCTTTTAAAAATCAAAAGTTTTTTGAAAAATTGAAAAGTTATTTATGTTTAACTGTTCATGACTGGACTCTCCTTGAGGAGTTTCCTTGATATTTTCATTAAAGAAACATTGACACAAAGTCGGAAATTTTACGAATTTCTTAAATTACCCTACAGCAAGATCTTGCATTTTCTTGTGGCTAAAAACAACTAGAGAGAGAGAAAGAGTGAGAGAGAGAGAGAAAGAGAGAGAGAGAGAGAGAGAGATTTTCGTGTTTATTATATAAACTGATTTATTTTTTTTTTGCTTGCCACGTGTCACTTGCGCTCGACATACCTTCTTTATTCAAGCGTTACATTTTGATTAAAACTTCGTATGCTGGTCGTGCGACGTGACTTTCTCACTGTTCGGCAGGTCTACTTCCTCGTGTGTAAAATGCTGTAATGTAATATTTCTTTGTTTCGTTTGTTTCATGCGGATTTATCTCGGATTTTCCGTAAAGGTGCCAAGAATTTCACTATTGTAATCGCGCACAGGAAGTATAAGGTGGTTACATAAAAATTCATAACAATATTTCACCCGGAAAAAAAGTAGCGTCAAAGATCTTCGATAGATATTCAACGATATGTTTCTTTAATAATGTTAGAATAATATGACATTATTAGATACATTCGTAGATCTTATAGTGCAAAAATTTTATTTAATGATGTACCGTTAGGAAAGTCGAGTTTGATGACATAAATTAATACCCAATACAGTCGTAAAATGAATCGAATAAAATATGTTATTAAATACATTTATTGACATAAATGATGCTATAAGTCTGCTGGTACCGTTACGTACATGTAAATATCAAGATCAATTATTTATCGAAGCAACTCGCTATTACGTGCAACGATTCCGTCATACGTATCTGCTATTCGTCACAGCACTCTCATTTGTCGGTGAAAAGAGCGACCTTCGCCGCCGTGCACGACGAAAGAAAGTACGATCCGCTTCCATAAAATTTCAATAAATCGGACGCCAAGCAGTGCGTTGAATTCGATGGCGAAAAGAGATCGAAAGTTGCACTTCTCCACCCACGGAGAAACTCACCACTGACACGCTTTGTTCAATTTATTCCGATGATATCGACGACACTAATTATCCTATTGAAAGGAGAGTATTATCTCGATTTTCCCTGTTTTCACTCATCTTACAGTTGAGAATATCAATTTAAATCACTTTGAAGATCGATTCAAATCGTTTGACCCACAGTTGTGAAATTTTGCATCGTTCAAGTCTACTTTTCATCTCTAACGATTTGAACATTCTTTATTTCGAGAAACAAAGTTCTGTACATGTCTTTATAATTTTAGTAAGTATACATTTAATATTGATATGACAACAGGGTATATAGTTTTATAAACATATGTGCAACATAAAATTTCTGTCTTCACTTTTTTTTCGAATATTTCAGGACTAAATAAGACGACGGAGAGTGATCGTATAAATCTTTCCCTTAAAGCAATTATAAAATACGAAGCAATGATCTACAAAGTAAGTAACGGCCAATAACGTTTCCACGAAATAGTCGATATTATCATTCCGCTTGAGGAACGATCCCGATAGCGAAGCGGACATTCGGACTCCATTGCACGCGGAGACGCGTGCAAGAAACACTTTCACCGAGCGTTTGGGCCTGACGGAGAAAGTTCCTTCAACTTGTGTTACGCCCTTGTTAGGCGGAAACTCAGCTGGAAAACTGGCAGGGAGGAAAGGTGGGAGATTGGACCACCGACCGAAAAATTTTCAAGATTCTTTGGACCGCGATTGATTCGAGATTCACACGTTTCCGAGATATAAAACGTGCGACTTCGAATTTATCATTCGCATAGCACGTAAGATACCTGACTTTTCAAGTTTGAGAAATGTATGAGAATTTTCTATCTAATTGTGTACGGTCTGTAATTAAATAACGGTCTTGTTCAACACCTATCCTTCATATAACAACATTCTACGTTTTACAACGCGGCGTTTGCATACCTCAAAGCACCTCAGAAAACGCAAATTGCACAAATACATGCTCTCGAGATCGTTGATCCGAGAAGAGTTCATTATATATCAGTATGTTACAATGCAGAGAAGAATGAAGTAATCGGCTTTGAGGTCTCGGTCGATAGCCAAGCTCGTCCTTGATCTTCCTTCCGTCTGGCATTTAGCCGTGTAATTGCGTAATTATCAGGGACGAAAAGTAAAAAGATCGCGAAAGGAGGAACGTAGTGGCAAAGAAACGAAATTCGAAATATCGCGGTTTATATTGATCTACATTGGATCGAACAACCCTAAGAAAGCGACTTTCGATCGATGCAAGTAATAATCGCGTAACAACCGATAATAACGTTACGGCAATGGGCGTTTGAGCAAAACGTAGGATCCGATCTCAAATAGAGAACGAGTTGCTGGAAAACGCGGAAATCCAGCGTAGCACGCGACGTGAACTTTTTCTCTCCGCATATAAATCGATTTACATATACAAAGTGCGTTGCGTAAACGACGCATGCCATTAAGATACGAAGAAATACCGGCGCACGAGCCCCGCATGTTAGAGAACATGTTTGTATCTCAGAGCAATCGTTGCTCGCTGCTCGACAATTTAAGTAACTCAGAAAATGTGAGTGAAGTATGATGAATATTCCCTAAACGTTGGTATGTTAGGGAGAAGCGCTATACAAATGTAATATGAGCAAAATGAGTAATAAAAGCACAAACTGAACGTCTGTTGATAATTCACTGCAATGCATACATATGGTAACAAAAATTCTCGAAAAAAATGTATTTCGACGTTAAATCTTTGATCATTTTTATCTTGTTGCTTATATATTTATTTCCGTTTCACATTTACAAGTACACTTTGTCTTGCATTATTTTCCTTTATTGCAAGCCAGGAATTTATTATTCGCGAAATACAACAAAACAGTAATGCGAGGCGGGAAGTTTTTCTATCTAGCCTCATATCGTCAATTACTACTGATTAATAATATCGACCAGCCGTGAAGTCGAGCACTTTCGCCAGCGGTGAGGTTTTTACGGTGTTTCGCTCGACCGCACGAGGCTTAAGGTCTTAGAAAGGACTGCTCCGTGTGCACAAGAAATCAGTCGTTTGACCTTATGACACTTATTTTTTTAAAAACTCCAAAATTCGCTCACAAATTTAAAGTTTTGTCTGAGACAAAATTTATGTACAATATATATAAATTCTATCTTTACATCCTTTGATTTAATAAGAGTTTAGAAGAAACTAACAAATCAATTAATAAATTAGCAAGAGAACACGCAGTTTACTTTCAAAACTACTTATTTTACTGTGTTGATAATAGAATGAGGATAGATAAATCAAATATACTTTGATGCATATTTTTATTATAATAATAGTAAATGTACTCGACAGGCATAGATGTACGAGCATGAGCCTCAAAACATCATTTGTATATTCCTAAATCATTTGAATTGCAATAACATATATCCTGAAGATACAGAAAACGATCAGTCATTTACGAAGCGTTTCAATCATGTTGTTGCCAGCTCGATGCAATAAACTAAATCTACTATAATTTATATATTAATAATAATAATAATTTTCTAGTAACTGCCTGTCGCAAAATTCCCAACCAGGTGATAAAATCAGTTTCCATCCTTCATGCACGTAATACGTCTCAAATAAATCTTGATTAATCACTAGTGACAATATACGAAGCGCCAACCAGATAAAACTGTAGAGATTGAAAGTTCTACACACAAATATGTCGAGTATATGATATGCCCTAACAGATTCCATATTTATGCGTACGACGTTGTAATGCATGTACGTACAAATGCAATGCGACACATTGCATTTACACGTACTACATTATTATACATAACGACTCAAATAAATATAATTCGCGTACTATATTGTATTTACACGCTCGACATACTGAATCATTGTTCAGATGTGAACATAAACGTATACCTTCGAGTAAACGAGTCGATTTCTGTGTTAAGTTTATCGACAATGTGCCAACATCGCGGATGATGACAACTGCAGCAACGAAACAAAAAGCCTTCTACTTCAACGCACTGGTCTTGGTCATATATTGGTGGTCTCTGAATTCTTCCTAGACCGGTTAGTTTTCTTAGGTTTCGTAACAGGTTCGGTAGCACCGTCATTGTCCGACAGGGACGAATCCCTGTGAGACTTTCTGCCGCGACCAACATTCCTCTCTTCGTTTTCTGAACCCAAGGACTCCCGATTTGACTTTCGCCGTTGGCGCGGTTGCACATGACTCTCGCGCAAATATTTCCGTGTCGCCTCCCAGAACATCTGCTGTCGTTCGACAAGTTCAGGATACCTGCAGATGATTGCAATTAACGCTGAAGAGCATGTGACGTTGAATCTTACAGATATATTTGTAAAAGTTTTGGTGACACAGCTATTTCTGCAGATATCAACTAAATCTACATAATTTTCTGGCGATTACCTGTCGCAAAACTCCCAATCTGGCGATAAAATCAGTTTCCATCCTTCACTGCCGTCCTTTACGGCCAATTTCTCGAAAATCTCCGTCACTTCCGCTAACGGCAATTTGACGATGGACAACACTTTGTCACGTTTGATATACGAATGGTCCGTAAAACATAACAGCTGAAAAAAAATTAATGAATTCCCTGAAGTACTTCGCAAAGTCGCAATCGCATTTTGTAGATTGATCCTGTTTTCAATTGAACACTCACTACATAATCGCGCGCTTTACACATGAGTTCGCCGGGAATACCGTTTTCTGAAGAGGTAAAGTCCTTGGGATAAATCAGTTCGCTTTTCACGACCCAATTACCCCGTACTAGCACCGCCGTCTTTTGCAAGTAACTAAGCACATCCGTCGTAGTGTGTTCCGGTGGCAATATTGCACGTAAGTTCTTATAAGACATGATTCTCGCTGCAAAAAAAGAAAGAATGCTAGAGAATGCTAGGATTTTCTATTGAGTCGAATTATTATATTAAAAACATTGGCGTATATATCATATTGATTACATCTATTCTCGATCTTAGCCTTTCTCACCATCTTTCATGATTGATGTGATTTGTTCCTGCAATAACAATGTTTTAACGTGTTCAAAGGACTGTGGATAATTCTGAGGTTTTCGCCAGCCATTTGTCAGTAACTCCAGATATTCTTGCGGCGATAAATTTAGGGAGTTCACAGTCACGTCGGGTGATGGGCACAACATCTCCGTCTGTGTTAACTATAAAATTTAAAAAAGTGACATATTTGGATTGTAATAGGATAAAAAATTCCATTTTGTGTATTTCAAAATGTAGTACTTAAAAAATAAAACATATTGTGTCAGTAATCATGTAAATACTCACCTGGGCGGGTGTTTCATGCATTGCTACATATGTCGTGCGTATGCAGCACTCTTGTTGGTTTTTCTTTGAATTATGTTGGAAAGACTGTTCTTGAATCTTTTTTATATGATCTGGTTTGTGCCTAGCAAATGTCACTTTTACTGGCGCTGCATTCTCTTCTTCCTCATCACTGTCTATATTTTAGTAAATTAATTTATGAGTTTCTTCGTTCATTTGCCAAACATTAAAGATTCAACATTCATCTACATGAATGAATTTGTTTATGGACTTACTAATCCATTTTTATTTATTAATCTATAAATAAATTTCATAAATAAATAAATAAATCTATGAATAAATTTTACCTTCTCCTGATGCCTTTGCTTCATCCTTAGCCCGTTTGTCACTCTTTTCCAAATAAGGGAATTGTGGCTGCATTTCCACAAATCCTTCTAATGGTGTGATATGAAGCTCATTCTTTTGAAAGATGCCAATTGCATAATTTGAGCAGTCTGTTAAGGCTCTCTTTGAAGATAGTATAGTTTTATCTAACAGATCACTAATAAAATACATGAGGAGCAATGATAATATTGGAATATTCTTGTGATTATCATAACTTGTTTAAGTACATATAAAAACTTAGATTTAAGTATAACATTAAAAATGTCAACAATATAAATTGAATATAGATGCACACAGATTTCTTTTTTATAATTCATTTCATTGCAAGTTTATGTATGAACAGATGTAAATAAAATCATTAGAAGTAATTCTTTAATAAACTAATAGGAAATTTCCAATTACCTGTCAAATATGTTTTCATTCTTTTTAGATTCATTTTTGGCATTGAGGGCTAACTGTACTCCCTTACTGCTATCATAATTACTATTATCTATATCAACTTCAAGTTCTAATTGAATTTCTTGGTTGTCAGGCTTGATAGAAGACTTTAGGACTGTAGCAATTTCATAGCCATCTTTCATAGGATATGTAGTATACTGAAGCAGGAATAGATTATCTCCCAAAGTTTTGGATAGGAATACAGGTATCTGAAATTAATTCCATTTATCATTTTCATTAATAAGAAATATAAATGATATCTTCTATAAAAAAATTGAAACAAAAAATGAATTCCTAATGAAAGAAATAGAAAAAAACTAATATATGATGAAATAAATATATATAAATATAAATATGCCACAAATATAGAATATAAATTACTACACTGGCACACAAAAGAAAATATATTTCCATGTATATTTTTTAGAATATTAAATCTTCATTCAAATACAGAATACATGTGTAAGAAAACAATATAATATAACCTAAACTTTAAAACTGGATTGATAACATGGAATAGAAAAATTAAAATTAAAACACTAACCTCTTTTACCACGGGATCGTCCTCCATTTCAATTTGTTTCTTTTATTAAATTAATTTAACTCCTAAAATTTGACTGTACTTATACACAGCGTGTGTGAAAATCGATAAATAAAGCAAAATTTGTATACATTAGACGGCGAAATCGATTGGTGTGATTAGTGTGTATTAAAGGCCATCGTACACAAAATGACATAGCTGCGTTCAGAAAACACAACGGTTACACAACGGTTGAGTAATTCGTCAACGTTATTGGTCTGAATGTAAGGATCTAACAGTAAGGACCAATAATCACTAATCGCTCACTGAGCGGTTTTCTCCGCTGAACGCACCCACAGGGTGCATTCAGTACTACACTGCTTATTGAGCGTTAAGTGAGCTCTTGCATCTGATTGGTATATTCCTTTAAATTTAAAAATATACACCAATCAGATGCAAGAACTCACTGAGTGCTCAATGAGCTTTTACATTTGATTGGTATATTCTTTTAGATTCAAAAATATACACTAATCAGGTGCAAGAGCTCACTTAGCACTCAGTAAGCGGTTGTAGTACTGAATGCACCCATTGGGTGCATCCAGAACCACGAATGCTCACTGTGGGCTCTTGCATCTGATTGGTGTATATTCTTAAATCTAAAAGAATATATCAATCAAATGTAAAAGCTCATTGAGCGCTCAGTGAGCATTCGTGGTTCTGGATGCATCCATTGGGTGCATTCAGTACTACAACCGCTCACTGAGCGCTAAGTGAGCTCTTGCATCTGATTGGTGTATATTTTTAAATCTAAAGGAATATACCAATTAAATGTAAAAGCTCATTTGAGCGCTCAGTGAGCGGTTGTAGTACTGAATGCACCCATTGATTCGGATATATAGCACAAGATCGTATTGACCAATGAGCGTTTAGGAAAAAGTTATGTTCTGTAAGTCAATCCTTCTTATTGACTCGCTAAAATAAAAGGTTTAGGGCTGGTTGTTCCAACTTCTTGGTAAGTTAACTGATAGTTAAATCATATGTTTGTCTTCGTTTTTCCTTCAACTTAGACAAAAACTGAGATATGATTTAACTATCAGTTAACTTACTACGAAGTTGGAACAATTGGCCCTTAAGGAATATCGTAGACCCTTAATTCGTTTGCCAAAATAACGGGTTAATATCTTTTATTTAAAATCCTTATTCAAATGAAGCGTCTAATGCGGTATGCATCTCGGCTAAATTTATTTGGAATACCTCTTCGCTCATTATATTTTTTTGATATAAAAACGCAAAACTGAATGAGCAAAATTTCAATTTAGTTATTATGATTCGAGTCTTGGCTAAATTTTATAGAGGTCGGTAAATTGTGGTTTGAATCTTGACTAAGAAGTCTGATCTTTAATCGAGATTCAAACTACAATTCTGTCCTCAATAATTTAATCAAACACTGTCCTCAAACACTGTCCTCAATAATTTAATCGAGATTCGAACCACAATTTTACTACCCTCTACAATTTAGTACTCAGATTTGTAATACGGTATTATAATCTAACACAATAAAAAATAATGTAACTCATAATAAAAATTGTAAAATTCGTAATTGGTGTATTCTCTTGGACTCAATCGAATTTCAGAGCATTAAATTTATAAGGGTGCGTTCCGTTTCACGCATATGCGCGCATCTTTTATAGTATACGTGACATAAACTATAGATAAATGCGCGCATATGCGTGAAACGGAACGCACCCTAAATTTTTCAACAATTGTAAAGCAGCTTTTCTTCTGTACATTGTAAATTTGCCTTTCTTTTATATTATATTGCGCATGCGTCGGCCTCCCCCATTGTGTGACATCACGGGGTTCACTTAGGTGCGCGCAAAGACTTCGGCATCGATCGTGTGTGATCTCGTCGATTTCGCGTGTTTCGTGCATCGAATTTTCATTTTTTTTCGTGTTGTTAAAAATTTCGCAATCCTGTCGAGATCTCTCAAAATGGTAAAGATGGAGCATGACGTGAGTATCTATTTTTTTGCTAGATAACTGCAAATCTATGGTATCATTAACTATGCTGCTGAGGCAACACTAAATGGCGTCTTTCTGCCGATTCTATACTGCGTTTGCAATATGCGATTATGCGTTCGTACTATAGTCGAGCAAATAATTCCTCGTCTTAATTCCTAATGCGCACACGGCACTGTAAGATAAGCATGAGACGATAAAGGATTTTCGAGATACAAAGTTTCGTATTCGTATAATATGAAGCATGATATGGATACTAGTTGGTGCTTCTGGTGTATCCTTCAGCAATCGAAGAAAAGTATCGCGATGATTTCCCAAGGTTCAACTTCCAATGCTGTCGTCATGTGAAACAAATTTTACTACGATTATCACAACTTCTATCGTTATGAATGAATGTAGAATTCATTTCTCATATTATGAAAAATAATATATTACTAAAAAATTGTTATTTCAGGATGGTAAAAACGAACCAGAACATGTGAGAAAGTTATTCATTGGTGGCTTAGATTACAGAACTACAGATGATTCACTTAAGAAACATTTTGAACAATGGGGGGAGATTGTGGATGTTGTTGTGATGAAAGATCCTAAAACAAAACGGTCCAGAGGTTTTGGGTTCATCACATATTCTCGTGCTCATATGGTAGATGATGCGCAAAATGCTAGGTGGGAAAATTCATGCTTTGTATTTCTACTTTCAAAGTATATTATATATAACATCATGTTATTTCTTTTGTGCAAATATTTAGGGTTTTTGATCTTGAAAGTTAAGTTTTTAATAAATTAAATAAGATCATGATGGATAAAAATCATAATAAATCAAATAAAGTTAAATTCAAACTATCATATATCTTTATATGAATCTTGTTCTCTATACTATATGATAGTATAGATAGTATATTCTTTTTTTAGACCGCACAGAGTGGATGGTAGAGTAGTAGAGCCTAAAAGAGCAGTACCCCGACAAGAAATTGGTCGACCCGAAGCTGGAGCTACGGTAAAGAAGCTATTTGTGGGAGGCTTGAAGGATGATCATGAAGAAGAAGACCTCAGACAATATTTTCAAAGTTACGGTAGCATAAATTCTATCAGTATAGTAACTGACAAGGAAACTGGCAAGAAACGTGGCTTTGGCTTTGTCGAATTCGATGATTATGATCCTGTTGACAAGATTTGTCTACAACGTAATCATCAAATACGAGGCAAGCACGTAGATGTTAAAAAGGTATGTACAACAGCAGCACATACACAGACAAACTAGAAAATCATTGTTCTTAAAATTCTTGTTTCTCTACTCATCAAATTCTTGCCACTCTATAATGTTATTGTGATGATGTATTTTGTTGCAGGCTTTAAGTAGGGCTGAAATGGCATCTGCTTCCGGTGGCGGTGGTGGCGGTGGAGGCGGCAATCGTGGTGGACAAGGTGTAGGTAGAGGACCACGTGGGAGCAATCAAGGTGGCGGTAATTGGGGTGGACGCGGCAGTGGCGGTGGCGGTGGTGATTGGAATAACGGCGGCAATCAAGGTGGTTACGGTGGTGGTAATCAAGGAGGTTGGGGAGGTAATGGACCGTGGGAGAATCAAAATCAAGGTAAAGGTAAAGACAGACAGATTTCTCTTTTTTCTTTAAACTTTTAGATATTGTAGGATGTTGCATCCAACAAATGATCCTGTTTCGGAAATAATATAAATTTAAACTTTCTTTTTTCTTTTCACGTGCATCTGAGTCGATAGTTTCTTTCGCTTTGTTTTGGTTTATTGTATGAGAATAAAGTTATAATGCAAATGGTCCTTGCATTTGTTTGAGGCAACAACATAAATGGGACAAAACGGAAAATGAATGCATTAAAACGAAGAATATAATTATTTTATATTCATAATTAGCTTTATATGGAAAGAACACATAAAATTGAGTAATCAGGGCCGTAAAAGTTGAATCGCGGATTAAAGTGTGTTGAACTTTACATAAATAGAATTATACGTTACGTTTGTAGGAGGTGGATGGAACCAGGGAGGACAAGGCGGCTACAACAGTGGTGGGAACTGGAGCAACGATAACTTTGGCGGTGGCTATCAGCAAGGTTACGGTGGCGGTCCAGTGCGCAATAACTTCAACTCAGGCGGCAGACCAGCACCCTACGGTATTAATTCGGGTCCTAGCGGCCGACAGTCCGGTGATTCTAGATGGCTGCCGCCTTTCGGTGGACAAGGTTGCTACTCTTTTCCCTGAAAGCAAACGATAAGATATTACGCGCCTTGAGCAACTTTACTTGTTTTTCGTTTTGTTTCCTCCTCCATTTTGACAAGGATTCTGCTGCTAGAGATGGAGACAGCGTGTTGTGCAAGAAGTGTCCGTCATGAGTGCAGTTATCAAGATTCGCAACTAATTGACGATAATTCTAATCTTTCCTTAAAAAAACACTATTCGTAGTTTTCGCTAATCTGGTCTTTGTAATGTTGCAGGGCCTATGGGCGGCGGAAATTCAGGTGGCGGTGGCGGTGGCGGTTACGGTAACCAAGGCGGCTACGGCGGCAATTCACTCGGAGGTGGAAACATGGGCGGAGGTGGAGGAGGAGGAGGCGGTGGCAGCGGAAGGAGATACTAGAAGCGCCACACCCTTCTCCCATATGGTAAGCGCAATCCGTAATTATTTCGATATATTATTAATTTGTTATTTCACATGGTGATTTAGTTAAATTGCTCGCGATTGTATGAAATTACGGAAATGCCGAATAATTTATTGCAGATTATTACCTGAACTTTGAATTTTGGGACGGAATTTAGATCTATTTGAACCTAAACGTAGTATAATATATTCGTAAAATTATACCTATCAATAATAACTATCAACATATTTTTCATGATTCAGGTAATTAAGAATGTGATTTGATTTATGTTCAGAAACAACTGATTTTTAATTCTTTGAGTATTAATATCTATTAGTTATATAAACCTCAATATATAACAATTAAATTGGTCTTTTTAGATATTCAATTATAATTTATTTAGAATCAAATTTGAGAAACAATGATTTTCTTCTTGTCGTTGTGATATTTCATAGTTTGTGCAAACGATGCAATTAGAACACAATTATGTCTAGCAATTGTTGCATCCCCATATATTCGTTATCTTCTTTTTCTAACTAGGTAGAATTGAGCCAATTATTCTGCAGTCCAGCAATAAAACAGCATTTTTATAAGCAATTATCACACGTTTCCGAGCAAAGTTCAAAGGTGTAGAATAGATGAGAATTACTAGCTTAGGCGAAGATAGCAAAGCAACAGTCTATGTACTTCTCATAATATCCTTATATTATTTTTTTATTCAATGCGATTTAATGAAAAGAATTTTATATTTTATTTTATATATGCATATATAAATATAAGCAGAATGTCGATGAATAATTTCACTACATCCTCGAATAAAAAGTAATAAAGGATTTTTTTTTAATTACTTAGCAACAAGTGCTCGCAATTTATGTATCTGTGTATTAGGATCTCTGAGGGTCTACAGGGTCAAGGATTTAAGAATACCTTGGAACACCAAATGTTCGAGTAGAATTCTGTTTTTTGAAATCGCAGAGTACGCTTTAACTGTCGAACGTTTTGCTTGAGTATTTTTGAGTTCTATGAAATTTATAGCTTTAAAATTTAAATACCTGAAAATTTCGTTTTTAACATGTTAAACATTATATTATATTTAAACATTCATAAGTTTTAAAAATTATAAAAATTCTGGAGTGTTTATAAATCAAATAGAATTCAAACATACAAAATAAAAAATTCAAGGATTAAACTTATCAAATGATCTGGTATAATACATTCCAAACTTTTGAAGTATAAGCTTGAAACGTTAAACACTTTTAATAAAAATGTTGAGTGTAAAAGGGAAAAACTAAAGGAGAATGGAATTTGTAAGATTTTTAATCGAATAACTTTAAGGAGTTTGTTATATTATATACTCATAAGATGCATTATTTACGTGGATTTAACAATTTCTAACATTCAGGAGACTCCTTTACATAAATTTAAGAAAGACCTAAATAGATCCGAGGCTTCAGGAATCCCTGGCTCACGCGACCCGATCGGTCCTTTGCACAGGCTAGTAGGGAGCTTGACTAACAGATTTCTTGACTTTTGAACCTCAGGTGAAGCTACTACTCTCTACTACTTGTTGCCTCTAGTCGCCAATACTTCTGTACTGTTTAGTATCAGTGCAGGCAGGCAGGCAGACAGACATGCAGACAAACACGCACGCAGGCAGGCAGGCAGGCAGACAGACAAACAAACATGCAGGCAGGCAGGCAGGCAGGCAGGCAGGCTATCAGGCTAGAGAGGCAAGGCGACGAGCAGGCAGGAAGTCAGAGACAGTCAGGCAGGCAGGCAGAACAATCAGGCCAGAAAAAGAAGGAAAAAAGTCATCTGAGTCGTTAGCATACAATGAGGGGGAGGGAAAGGGGGAACTATGGCTATTATTTTAGTTTTCCATCCGTTTTGTCTTTTTTAAGTATCGTATGTTTCATCATTTATACTTTCTTATCGTAAGGACCATCATTGTTTCCAAGTGTATTTGCACGTTCTTCGCAAGAACTTGCACATAAATATTGACCACAGGCAGGAAAGGATACTTTATGTGTAGGAAAATTATTGCATTAGGAAGAACAAGAAGCAGGGAGTGGGAGAGAGAAAGGGGGAGAAAATATGTGTGCGTGTATGGCGTGAAACTATTCATGGGATAATTAGGATAGATCAAATAATCTACAAAGCTGTATAAGTGTCTAAGAGTTAGTCGACAAAATAAAATTGACCAGAAACCTTTGCTGTGCATTGTCTTAATTTCGTGACGCAAAGTTGATAGGTTGTAAGTTCAGAACGAAGGCTAACGATAGGGTAGTATGCAGGATAAACCAATCAACGTTACCACCTGGAATATTTCTTTCATATAACGGGGTTTTTACGTTGCTTCTGTAAAATAATTAAAGAAAGTATAAATATGCTTTTGCATATAGTAAATATATTATGAAAATATAAATATGATTATTATGCGAGCATGGTAAATATAATCGCGTAAATATAATACGCATCATTACAATATAAAAGTTGCGCAAGAAAAATATTCAAGGGAGTAGCGTTAAGTCGGTTTCATCTTATACGCATCAAAGCAGAAACTTGCAAATGTACGACGAAAAAAAGTGGTAATGGATGTATTGTCGACTTTTTATAGTCAGTGAACTAAAGTGCCGCCGATGTCCTCTATTCGATACAATTGTATGTCCGCAGTATTAAATCATTGGTACAGAAAAAAAAAATATCAAACTTAGTTTTCTGTAGTTCTTTTTATCGCGAAAGATTTGACAGCATTCGCGAGCTCTTTTTAAAAACCTATCACTTCCCGAGGAAAGTCCTTCTAACCCGAATTATATTGTTTCAAATCCTCCACTCTCTTTATCTCTTAGAATTGTAGATAACAACTTAGAGCGGCATTGAAGATGCTAGAATAGTGTTCTAGTTAGCCTAGTACAGATTGGATCCGAAGTTTAGTGATGAAGATTAGCAGCTTAAAGACCAGGAAGAAACTAGAAGGCAGGCAGGTAGCAGAAAGAGAAAGAGAACAGAAAAAAGAGAAAGGATTCTCAGGCTACGACAGACAGGACTAGTGTTTGCTAGGCTTCTCGCTCTAGCCTCTGTTTTGCAACCACAGGTAGGAATGTTTCGTAACTCATTTGTGCTTAGACATATATATATATATATAATACATATAAAATAAACATATATACATACACACACGCACACATATGTGTGTGTGTGTGTGTGTGTGTGTGTAGGGTGCTGAATGACAACAAGTGTGTGCATGACGTTACAGTATTGTTTTACAATGTCCTTCGACGAATAAGTTGCACCCTGTGTAACTCTACCAGTCAATTGCTATACCAGAGTGTCGTTGTTCATAGAAAGCTTGCGAAAGCTTGATGGATCAAAAGGGATCAACAGGAATTAATATCCGAAATAAAATAGAATAAAACGAGTTTTCGGTATTTGCGTGTACTAATAATCTCCGGATTTAGACGATATATGCGATAAATATCGTACATTATGTATAATGTGATATTTCTCGCTCAAAATTACATATATATCACGTTCGCGGAAATTAGACGTATTTGTCGTGATGGATTCCTGCCGATCCCATTCGATTAGTTTGTCTTTCGCGGGAAGAGCTTTAGACAGAACAGGAGGCACACTTTCGTTTGTACCGCTGTTGCATCGTTGCTGTCTTAATATACATTTTTGTTCTTTTTTGTTCTTTTTTACATCTTCACTAGTGCACATGTGCACGCAAGAGCCTCTGTGTAAAAGTATTATCTCCAAGAGACAAGTGCTTTTCTTTTGTGTTCAATCATATTTGAGAATCTAGAAATTGTCTCAAATATATATGATGGCTTCGAGGATCTTCGACATCGAACATTCTTGTAGATGTAAGGATATCTTTGACACAAAATTCAATCAGGCGAAGTATATCACAGCTTGGGAAGAAGAGTGTTGATACTTAAAAGAAAATATTGGGTAGCAACAGAAGCTGTTTACTGGCAGGTATCCTAGGTTTAAAGAGCTTTGTCACTTAAATTTTCCGAAAAGTCGATTATAATACGAAGGTGATATTCTACATAAGAACTTGAGACTCTAGAAATCTGAAGATTTCATAACATGCCAATAAGAGAAATTAAAAAGACTAACGATGAAAATCGTGTAAAAGTTGAGTTAGAAGAGTTAAAAGATTTAAATAAATTTAATGAATAAAAATTGGAAAGAACTAGGTGATACGTGAGAAGGCCAATGATATATAATAATAGGCGGATTATTCTCACTTGGTTGATTTGAGTTCTCTTGCTCAGAGCAGGCAGGATGTTTGTTACTGAGATTTTCTGTTATTTTCATTGTATTAATTGCTCTTTCGTTTTCATTAATTTCTGGTTTGCCATTTGGGCCGGTACTCGAAGAGAGCGACGTGCTTCTACCACCGACTTTCCAAGGTAGCCCTCTAGCCGAGGTAAGTAACAATCCATTTCCTTGGCTGACAATAAGCTCTACCAAGTACTTGGAAAGTATGATGAGAATTATTTTGTCATTTGAAAAAAATTCTCAAAAAAAAATTTTTAATAAATAAGACCGTCAAAAATATCTTACACTCCTAAAGATCGAGAAATTTTTAATAACATATTTTTGAGAATCGACAGGTCATAAAATTATAAAATTCAGGGATTCGACGATTGAAGATAAAACTTAAAAGATATAACTTGAAAGTTCCGAGAAGATTGAGACGACCAAACATTTTGGAATCAAAAATACGATAATGAAGGTTTTTATAATCATATAATCAAGAATCTGAATTTTTAGATTAAGAAAACAGAGTTTTCAAGATTTTACCTTGCATAAAAAATAATACATTTTTTCTCATGGAAATTGAAATATGGAAAAATATTCTTAATATTAAATTCTCAGATTTTCATTAGCAAATGCAGAGAAGGATCAAAAGCTCAGGTTTGAAGGCATCTTGAAAGTCTCAGTGGCTTTTTGGATCAGGTGAAATTCTGGAATCTAATTTTTTCAGAGTCTGGAAGTTCTTACATTTGCAGATTTAATGTACTAAGAGCTGAAAGACTTGTGAACAGACCAAGATTGTAGAGATCCTAGAGATCAAGATCTTGGATGTATTGTCCGATATTTATAGATTGTAACTATTTTTACACGTTTAATAAATTTTCTTTTCTAGACTACAGAATTGTTTCATTTCCTCCAAATTCCCGAAATACATGCTACTCCGCAATTACGATATTACTACAATTAATCGTAGTCTGACTTGTTTAGTCGCATTTGTGGTATTTATTATTTTAATTGTTTACCGATGGATCGATCCTGTGCGCTCAGTATGTTGAAAAATCAGAAGCACAAGAAGGAGCTTTTAAAGGTATAAGCTAATTTTATTTATGATTGGCAATATCGAATTCAAAAATCCTGTCTGTAAATCCGTGCCAATTTCTTCTCTATTCTCAATCCCAAGAATTCCTTATTTTTAAATCCTTTAATTTTATACAAAATTTTCTTTTTAAAGATATTCATGCGGGAAGCTGATTTTTGCAGCTGCTACATTTGTACCACAGAGAGAAAATTTTTGCAATACTTCCTACTGAAGTCTGTATGAAAAACCAATTGTTTCAGTTGGTTCTTTTTTGCGTAGTTATACGTTCAATTTAACTTTGACATGTTAAATAATAAATAGCGCACATAGCAATTACGTTAAATCTAATTACATTGTGGACACAATATTCGGCGGATTGTCTGACGTTTCGCTTCCGCTGCTGCTGTAGTGTGGCTGATCCTTCAAAGACGAGTCGACGACGATGGGGTTACCGGAAACGCAGGAGTGATTAGTTGCCAAACCGTAGGTATCCTTGTACAAGCAGAGACCGCAGAATCCCGCCGCGTTGTAAAGCGTTGGCAGGTTCACCAAGCCATTCGAAACGGCAAAGTTTCTACAAAAAATAAAATTTTATTTCATTCATTCCTGATCATGGAATTAATTTTTTATATAAACTTACAAGTATTTGAAACATCTTTCCGAGCAAAGTCTTTGCAAATATGCAATCTAGTAATCAATAGCCAACATTACTTCCAGCTGTAAGAAACCATTCGAGAGGGCTGTAAAAGCGTAACCGCGCCATAATCAATCCGCATAACTCCATTTGCTCGAAAGAAAGGCTTTCATTCGACGAAACATTAGGGGAGAATAACAGAATCGTTACCTAAACTGCGGATCGCGTGTTTGGAACACGACCCTTTCCGTTCGTTCTTAATACCGAGGTCGGTTAAATAAAGACTCTTATTGTGAATCATCCCCCATCAAGGTCTCAACCACTTAGAACCTCATGATGGAGTTTTCTATAGCGTAACAAACGGTCGGCATGATATCCGACTTGACCGTTTTCTTCATCTTCTGTTAATAACATTAATATCAGTAGCGATCCGAGATGAAAATTGCTTTTATCGGTGGAAAGCACTACAGTGATTTTTTTTCAGGCTTTTGTAATTGCGTAATTGTTAACGCAAAAAAAGAGACGTCTCGTAAAATCCCTTGACGTTTAGGGTAAATTGACGACGTGGAGAACAACCCCTTCGTCTTTCTCCCCAAAACACTACACGTATAGAATAGGGTGCGACAAGTGGATGAGAAAATCTCACGGTTAACACAGCGAAATGCATTTATCCGTCGTTTATCCGCCAGTTTATCGAGCGTCAGGTGCATATCGACTGAATAACGCCGGGGCCACCACGGGCGGCGGGGGTGGCTGTAGCAAGGGCTGCAGGATTGTGAGAGGGGATGCGCTGCGGTGGACCCTGAAGGGCGACGCTCGACTCTGGTTCGACCGCGGGGTGATTCCCGATGCGATACGCCGCTAAATAGCCTTAAGTAGGATTATGTCTCCGCTATTGTGATCGGAGCGGGGCGAAAGGAGGAGGAGGAGGAGGAGCTCGTATAAATTTCGGCCTTTGTGCGCATCCCGACTGACACCTCCCTCGACGCCGAATTCCCGGTTGGGCAACCTTCGCCCTGCGAAATCGCAGGCGTTATTGTCAGAGCAATTATACATGGTAGAATCGCAAACGTGATTTCAAATATTCGATGATTCTTACGTTTTAGAACAACGACGAGCGAAGTTTTGTTGTACGAGAGGGTCGATAAAACCGACCAAATTAGTAATGCAAGGGACTCGAGAACAAGAAGAGATAAATTCGAGTATACAAAAAATTGAAAAATAAACAACGACTGAAAATCAAGACCGATTCTAGAAATTTGATCTTTAAGTCTTGATGTTTTAAGACAATAAATAATATGAGTATCATTCACAGATCAAATTCGAAAGAATATATATCCTGATGTGTGTGTGTGTGTGTGTGCGTGTGCAATATAAATTATAAATATAAAATTATAATACGAAAGTGTCTTAAAAGCGTGGAGTGTCTCAATCGAGAAAGGTCAATGTTACCTGAGCCTTAGCCTTCGATTAATTTTGCTTGAGAGAAGTACCCCCTTGGAATTAACTGACAAATATAATTTTGTGCCCAACCTCTCCCTCACCCGAAGCGTGAAATTTGGGGAACAGCTGATGAAACTAACGATCGCGTACTAATAACCAGATCGAGAGCGCAATACATCATGCTGACAAGATAACGCGATTCGGTCGGATGCATCGCGCGTGGGATGCGTGCGAGAATCACCATATGCCACATGCGCGGCCTGCCATGGTCCTCTTATTTTTCCCATGGCAACTTCAATAAGGAGGAATTAGGTGCGCGTGTTTAGGCAGCTTTGAGAAATAACAAGCGCTAAATAATATCCCGATCGTCGATGTTATTCCCGGATCGTACTCGTCGGAGATCTTGCAAGTTTTCTTTGTACTTTGCAGAGCTGTATGTTACTTTGAAGAACTAAAGCGGGATAAAAGGTGACCGAGCAAACGAGTGTACCGGTACTGCTGATCCAGCTGTGCCTTCTCGATCCTCTTGTCCTTGGCGCGCCTGTTCTGGAACCAGATCTTGATCTGCGTCTCGGTGAGCCTGAGAGATGCCGCGAGCTCGAACCTGCGGCCTCTCGAGATGTACTCTCCACGTCGGTATTCGACCTCCAACCTCAGAGTTTGCTCGCCGCTGAAAGTCGTCCTCTGCCTTCGCGGCCGGCCCTCTTTTCTTCTTCTGCGCGCCACTGCGAAACAGAGACGAGTCTTAGAGGCTTCATAAACTTGTACACCAGGACTCGCGATCAACATCCGTCTAACATGCTGTTTTCATTCGGGAAATAATTAACAATTAAAGCGGAAGGAATTGAATGCAAAACTGAAACTGGATATGGATGGATAATGAACTGACTGGTCGGTTTCGACGGACGATTTTAAACGATTTCATCAGCGTGAAACAATTAGGACGATCACGCGATGCGAGGCTGTTCTCGTAACTTCCCCCTAAAGAGAGGCCCCGAACATCTGGATCTTTGAATGACCGCGGTCCATCGACTCTCGATATGAAAACCGTGCATGTTCATCTTTCGATAATTGGAATTTTAAAGTTGCAGTTGAATACACGCGTGCGCCACGGTTCGCTTTTCTGAAGGCTCCGACTTTATTTTGATTCTTGTTTGCACATGCACGTTCGGTTACAGGTCTGTGAGGTAAATCCAGCCGTGCTGTAATTTCATCCTCGTGATAGGATAATTAGGACGACGACGGTTAAGTAAGCGACACCGGAAGCCAAGGCTTCCGTCCGGAGGCTTCGTTCAATCTGCTGCGAGGCAGATACAGGATCCTAATTGCTCCTTGAACCTCACAACCCTTCGAACAGATGCGATATCTCTTTAACTGGAAAGAAACGTCATACAAGTGGAGGGACAGAGAAACCACACGGGACAGAGAAACGTAACGCTCTCGATTTCGTCGATCCTCCTGGACTATCCTGTTTACTGCCTTTTCCCTGCGAATTTGGATCGATGAAATTGGCTCTCACGCAACAGGAATCGCGCGAGATTCGCGATACGAATACGATTCGCGACTTACAAACACCCCGTATATTTTCCAGCGAGTCGAGGCTTAAGGGCCGTGGTAGGAGGAGAGCTGATTTTGAGGGAATACCGCGACGTGTATCTCGCATTGAGGGGCGGCCAACTGCGTCTCGTAATCTCATCACAATATCGCGTCGAGGTGTTGAAGCGGGATAAACCTGCGCGAACGTGTGCGCACGCGTGTGCTAGTCCTCACGTTGTTTTTATCCCGGCGACTCTGCCAAACTTTCAGATGAGGAGTAAAATTCGCTAATTCCACTCCTCTCCTCTCCGCCTCGCCGCGTTCGCCAAAGCCCGATGTGAAACCTCCGTAGGATATATCACAACAGAACCTAATCGTCAAACTGTTTGGAAAGGCGTCCGATCGGCCATTCTCATCGCTTTTCAGCGATTATCCTGTCCTATCTGTCGTTTAACTGATTAGAGAGAAAGCCGACTGGACTGGTATCGCTGCTTTCTATCCTATTCCGAATATTCGGACGGTTCTTGAAACGATCGAACGGCTTGCGAGGCAAGAGAGCACTCTCCTCCAAAATTTCTTGTTTTTCCCCCGGGAAAACAATCTCCTCGTGGCAGCGGGCTATTGTCGCAGTCGAAGAAAGCCGTAATATCCTCTCTTCCTGGTCGGACGGTCGGTGGCCGCGTCCGTCCGGCGTCGCATAATGCGACATTGCAAAATCTGCTTACCGATTCGCGAATACTCGAACGCAAAGACGCTTTCCGATCCTCAGCTTACAGAAAGAAAGGGGGATAGAGGACACGTTGTAAGAGTCCTTTTGAAATACGCGATACAGTTGTCTGCACTTCCGCGTGCTTGACGCAGAGCTCGCACGATGGATGCACGGTGGAACAGTGTGTGTGTGTGTGTGTGTGTGTGTGTGTGTGTGTTTTAGTCGAAAATTGTATCGCACACGTGGGTGCAGACTCGCTTCGCGAAACGTACGTCAAATCCCAAAATTGTAATGTACACGTGATATCAAGCGAAAGGCGTTTCAGCAACGTACGACTGATTGATACAATCGTCCTAGAGACAACGTTTGAATATAATCAGTTGCTTAACAAAAACGAATTTTCATACAATTTTCTTTGTTTCTTATTCGACAGTCTACATTATTCATATAATCTATTCTCCACAATAAATATAATAATCGTAAGATATGTAGAAAATCTGAATATGTAGAAAATTAAGCTCATGAGACGATCAACGTTTGTTACATCAAGTCAGAGTCTCTATACATTCAAAAATTTCCAGAAACCAATGTCACAAGATTGATTATTAGAAATCAACCGTGTGAAATTAGCTAATAAGAAACAAGATAAATTATTAGAGAAACTCAATTGCAGTTTTGATCAAATGGTTAGTATGGAACCCAATTAGAGTCCTAAGTCTTGGCTGACTTTTTTCATCAATTAATGATTAGTGATTGATCTTGAAAAGACCGAAAAGATCTGTATGGAAAAAAACAAGAACTCACGGAAAGCTGAGAATCCTTGAAAGTGGTGTTCGGTCATAGGGTGATGGCCTGGCAGGCCGTGAAGATGCGGCGGCAGCGCAGGCGGATGTGCGAGCTGCGTCAGGTGCAAAGGATGACCGGGTGGCCTCGGGAAAAATCCGTGCAGGAAGGGCAGCCTTATACCCGCGAGCATCGAATCCTTCTCCACTCCCTTCTCCTCGGATACTTTACCCCTCGCAACATCCCCCGATGTCTCCTCGAGGTTCTTGGAGTGCGATGCCTAACGAAAGAAACATGCGACGATTCAACCAAAATTGTTTTAATTCGAATTTGATTAATTTTTCTTCTCAAAAAAGTTTTTTTACAATCTTATTCTTTCACGAATTTCTAACATTCAATTAATCGTACAAAGCTTAGTTAGAAGAAGTGAATTTAGATTCCTTTCAACAAAGGTTCTTCGAAAGAAAGTGTTAAACTAGATGGTGCGAGTTTGTATTTTGAAGTTTCATTCGTTCGGTATTATAAGCGATCCAGTTATATTCACGTGTAATGTTTCGCGCGTGCCAGGCACGCCAGGAAGCACGTGCGGGGCTTCTTCCGTGATTTCCGGCGACGAGTCCAGACTCTCCCTCACGCGATCCTCATCCTCGTCCTCTTCCGTCTTCTTGGTTGCTTCTAAGTGACCATAGAGCCGCGCGAAGAAGCGTCGCGGCGAGGACGGTCTTCTCGTCTTCTTCGTAGACATTTAACGGGATGGCAGTGATAATTTTTAGATCAGATGGTCCATGAATCTCGGAGAACGTAGAATAATTCTTCCGAGTGAAGATGAAGTTGTCGATAGTTGCCTGTAGAATATTTCTTGCGAAACGAAGGAGAATGAGTAAAGCCGGAAGTTCTTCGACATAGAATTTCTTCCTCCGCCTGGAAAAGAACAAAGTTTCCAAAGTTCTTTCGGACGTGAACTAATTTTCCACGAGAAATGAAGCGGTAGGTTCTCAGACGTGAAGTATCTCTTTCACGTGAAGAATGAAGCTTCAATGCATAGTGGAGTGTCGAATAGGAAACGAGATGCATTAGTTCTCACATTCAAGTGTTTACAGCTTCAGCTTCAAGGTTTGCGGATCCGAGGAGTTCCACAGATGTCCAATGTTCCTAAGGATTCAAAGAATTTGAAGCGAGTGTCAAATGTTGTAAAAGTCAGAATTACAAATTCTTCATATTTTCACGATTCAACGTCTCGCAGTTTGAGAAATCCACGTATCCGATTGTCTAGGACTCTTTAAATTCAGCCCATTCATTCCCGAATCCTTTCACTTCGGGTGTGCTTCATTAATTATTTCGACTCGCTCTCAGAATCTCATTCTCGATGCGACATTGTTGCAGAATTAATATTTATCACAGGAGCACAACTTTCCGACTCAGGACACTAGAAAAATTATCCTTGTAGAAGCACTACTAGGATGAAGCTCGCGGTGTCTCAAGACAGGTCGACCGAACGTCGCAATGTGGTATTCGCGAACTGGAGAACGTCGGTCTCTGCAGGGTGGCACGCGCGTCTGAATCACCTGGCTGTCCTCCATTCTCTCACCTCGTGCTGGCTAGGGCGAAGGACCAAGGTAGGGGGATGCTCCCTTCTCCCGGAGATGTCTCTCCACCCTCCGCCACCCTCTCTTTCTCATGCGGCGCTGCGCCGCCCCTATGCGAAGCCGCACGTGCGGCTGCATTTGTGTGGCTGAAAGTTTCGCTTCCTGGACAGATAAATACACGATATCCTCAGGGATATCCTGCTTTCACCTTTGCAAATCGAACTCGAGCGTTCTGAAAATCAAGTGATGACCGATGAACATTGCGACGAGTGATGGATCATCGTAATATATTTCCAGTTTCCCATTTTCTATCTTCTCTCTCTCTTCTCGCTCCTTTATAATTCTTCAATCTGCAAACCTGTTTAAAGGAGCAAAAGTACATTTTGTGATGTCTCAAATAAAATCTTGTAACTTTTTTATACAATTTCACCTTGCAATTCTCTATATAGAATTTCATTTTCAGTGTGATGCAAGTAATAACAGATTATCAGAGAGGCAATAGAAGCGGAGAAGGGGAAAGAGCAACCTCGAAATAGCTTTATTTTAATAAACGCGGTACCAATCATGCATTGCTTCGCGAGGAAATGAAAAGGGGCTTTCGCGAACGAGAATGAAAGAGCGCGCGCGGTTTAGCGTGAACATCGAGATTACTGGCTGGGTTCGTTCCGGATTTTCAATTTTTTCGCAGTGAAACGACGCGTCCTGTTGCGCCTTGATTATCGCTACTTATTGGCATTCGAACGTTTCTTCCCTTCTCTCCTCTTTTGATTTTAATCTTAGATTGAAAGCGATATCACCCTCCTATGGTTCCTCGTATGGTCTGCCGCTAACGTTGCTATTATTCTCCTCTTTTTTAATTACAGAATTTTGAGCGAATTTAAACTTGTAGAACAGAAAGATGAATTCTATGCAACTCTCGTAACCTTGCATACTTAGGTTTCTGCGAAAACTTTTTAAATTTTACGACTTTTACTATGATTTCCCAAACAAGTCTTGACAGACAATTCCTACGTATGTTTCTACATAATAAGGTCGCGTATAATTTCGCATAATAATTTCGTACAATTTTATCGAATTTCATCGAATATGTATGCATGTCATTCAATCGGATTATGTCCACAAACTTCGTAGATTCTCCGTAAAAAATTAAATATAATCTCAGTACCGTTTTAACACATTCAACATTAATATCGTTTCATTTCATTTTACTTTTATTTGTTGCGATATCGTGATTTCGTAATATCATTTCGATAATTGAAAGATCCGCATTTGCCCTTTCCGCATTAACGTCCCATCTTTCAAAAGATCAAACGGCAATGAAATAAAAGTAGCAACAACAACGACGTCGACGACAACAATGACGACGACAGGCTTCCGCGCAATCTCTATTAAACGCGCGCACCAGCGAAAAAACTCCGCAGCGCATCCACAACGTCATCATGGACCGCAACCTCCTCTCCCCCTTCCGCGGATTTCACCTCATCCCTCCCATACTACCCCCGGACTACCCGGATGATCCGATTGTTTCACGTTCGCGTGAGATTTATCTGCACGACGGCGGCGGAGCGGTGGAGGCGGATGCTGGATGCCGGACCAATCGGCTGGCGAGTGGAGATCGATGTAATTAGAGAGGAGCCAACCCCGACGACGGCAGGATGCTGAACGGGGTACGCGAGGCATGCGCGCGGCTTCGCGCGCCGGGCAACGCGAGCGCCCGCGCGAGTATATGGGTTTCGCACGCGCTTGTATATATGGGTGTCTAATTCCCTTTGTGCGCCGCCTATTGTCGGCATTACGATTATTACGCTCACGCTGAATTCCTCCTCGTCGTTCTCGTAGTCGTTGTCATCGTTGTCGTCGTCGTAGTCGCGCGACGATGCGACAATACAATTATCGTTATCCCCGCGGTCAATACGCGACGCCGTCGCCTCCGCTACCGCCGCTGCTGCCGACAACGACGCGACGACGACGACTGGCGGCAGGTGCGCGCCGCTTATTGACGCGTTCCTGTGGAGAACGAATTATTGTTATTATTATTATTATTGTTATTATTATTGTTGCTTTTATTATTCTTGTTGCTTTTATTATTCTTGTTGTTGCGTTTTCTTTTTTTTTGTCGAATGGCAGCGAAACAGCGAAGCTGTTGCGGCGTAGCTTCGACTCGATCGATACCGAATGGATAGAATGGAATCGTCGCGATTATCATTTGTATGTTGTAGTATTTAATTATTTTTTATATATTCTTTTTAATAATAACAACGACGGGCTTTTTCGAATGAATCATTTTGTTAAATCTGAATAAAAATTATTAAAAACATGCAGAACAGCATTTAATCCATTTCATTCATCTTCCAGTATTAATTCCGATATCGTGCAGTAAGATTTTAAAATATTGGATCTAATACTCAGATCATTTTCAGATGGAACATCGAATTTTTATTATGACAAGTCTGCTCAATTTTACCGCAGAAAGAACAGACTGACGGCTAAATTTAAATGTGTCACCATATACATTCAATTTCTCTGAACGTTGTTGATCAATTAATTCTGCCTTGACACAGACAGACGTGGTAACTTCGAGATCGAGATGACACGGTTATGCAAATGTCGCAGCTTGCCCAGCAAGTTTTCGAGGAGCGGCAAGAAGGTATCCAAAAGCAACAGGACACGACCGCGGAAATTCGCGCAGAGTACAGGGAATTTGGAGCTACGTCGAAAGCACATATCGCGCCGTGCGTTTTCGTATTGTTATCTATACCGTACTCATTGTACTCACCTGAAATTGTCAGACGCGCGATTCGATCCGCAGATAATCAAGATGAGACTTCCGCCTTGGTAAGGTCGTCTCCTAGATCTCGAAAAGAGGCTTGGTTGGCCTTAGCTCTGTTTTGCGCACTTCTGTGCATGCAATGTTGCATATGGAACACTTGGAGCCCGATCGCGGGTTCCGTTTTGCTGGCTTTCCCAAGTTGGAACCAATCCTTACTGGCCTTGCTCTCCAATTGGGGATGCATCAGCTATCTCATCTGCTGCGTACCTTGCTGTTGGCTCCTTTATAATAAAGGTCTCTTTGTACCATTGTAATTGTAAATTTTTTTTTTAATTATAAATGTTCTTTTTAAATTCTTCTTTAGAATGAATTTGTCCATCCTACCTTCCCAGTAAACACAAAGTATCACAAAGTATATGATACAATGTCAGCTAAATTATATGGTATGTAACTGTTACTTTGTTATACAACAAAGCAACTATTATGTAACATACCATATTATTTCGCTGACATTGTAATATCGATGATACTTTGTATTTACTTGTCCGTCTTCGTATATAAACACTACACATAACTTCAAACGCGATTTAAATGTTCAATTTGTTTGATTTACGTTAACGATCACAGGTGCGATGATAATCTTAAATGATTAAATAATTGTGTGATGTGACACAACTGATATGAATAATGTTAATAACATTATCGATATTACTCATTAATAACGATAATTAATATCACAGCTGACGTAAGAACCATTACCTTCTAGGTCTGCTAATACCCTTACAAATGGCGGCAATCCTGTCAACCTTGGCGACTTTCGTTCGTTGTGTTTCCTCCAGGGAGAATATCTTTAGCATGTATGTTATGCTCTAAATAGCCCATGATTGGCGATCGAAGTTGAAAAGAGTACTTTTCTCGCTCAGAACAGCGCATACTGCGGCCATACTTAATGGACTATCGGGAGTGATCCTTGGTCCTGCCACAGCGCTCGTTTCCGCGGTCTGGTTTTCTCCTGGGGAACGTACAACTGCTACTGGTATTTGCTGATATCTATGATCAATGTCATTATTATTCAGCAATTCTACGTTATACGTCACACACTCGCTTTCTCTCGTTAAAATAGTAAATTTTAAATGAAAACAGTAATCACGCTACCATTGTATGATTGTGAATAATTACATTGTTTACGCGTGTGCATTATTGTAACTAAATCAATCGGTCGCAATTACAGGCATATCTTCTGCTTGCAATCAATTGGGAATGGCGGTCTCCTATCTAATCGGACCAGCTTTAGTAGGAAACACAGCTGTGTTTAATTCCACCTCTTTAATGTGGAAATCGAGTTTCAGCGGGAGTGCCGTTTTCAATAAGACGCATTCCGTGGCATTGAGAGCACAGGTTATATCTCTTATGAGAATTGGTAGGTTATTCAAAGAGGAATGAAACTATTCAAGCCATAAATAATATTAACTAACTTGTATTTGTTTCAGAATTTGTTATCCAATTCCTGATCCTCATGGGCGTCTTGTGCTTCTTTCCCAACGAACTTTATCACTCGGTCGTCTTTTTTAAAGTTCCTCAACGTCTCAGTCTCACAGAATCAATCCTGTGTCTCCTAAAGTAAAATATTAATATAATTATAATATTGTTCTCTCTTCAAAAAATAGACTTCCTCTCACGATAGATTAATGCTCACACATTACCTTACATTTCTCAGAGGAGTACCAAGTCCCTTTGGCGCAGAGGATAGCGCGTTGGACTTCTAATCCAAAGGTCGTGGGTTCGATCCCCACAAGGGATGGATGATCCTTTTTACCTTTTTTTTATAACTTCTTTCTTATGGAGATTTCTCCATGTACTAATTTGACTGTAATAAAAAAAGGAACATGAAGATGTCAAAAAAAAACATACTTTTTTTTTATATCAAAGCAATAAAAAAATTTGGTATTCTATTTAATTATTCTGTTTTTTGAGCATCGTTTTATAAAAATGGATGATTTTAAATTCTTGTGACTCTTGAATAAAAAACCAAGTTTTAATGAAATAATTTGAAGAATTAAAAAATTCTTCTCAAGAGATGAAATATTCTAAACAAGTATCATTTAACTGATGATGGACCAGAGACTTTTACCTGTAGGAATAAAAATATATGGACTCTTTGCTCAGCTGCAGCTCTTAGTCAAGGAGTAACTGGACCTTGGCTAGCAATGATGACAATGACCTTTGGTTCCAGCATCACACAGGTCTGCATAATTAGCAAAAAAACGGTTCTCTGGAATTGGGTTAAATAAATTAAATTATATCAGTTTACGGTTTTTAATGACATCAATGTTTAGAAATTTCAACTTTTAAAAGTGCAAAATTTCAAAGAAAATTAGAAGGAAATCTAATTTCAGGAAGAAGTGGACAAGCTAGCTTTCTGGACGATCATTCTCAGTGGCGCTTTAAGTTTGACGGCATCGTATTTGGTGGACGTGTTTCAAGGTCATCTGAAGATCGCTCTTCATCTTCTACTTACGATCTCGTCGGCAATGTTCCTTTGGGTACTCCTGTTGGACGATCGAGTGTTGGCCTTTCACAAAGGCGAACTGTATGCCGCGGTGATCCTGGGGATATCCGCCAGCTGGTCAACTCCCGCCCTTTTCCTTGAGCTCGCTTCCGAGATCGCGTTTCCGGTCTCCGAGGCCATTGTCGGCGGCTACATGATTTTCTTGTCGAACTTAGTCGGCGCGCTTTTCTACTTTTCATACTTTCTACCATGGATGAGTAAGACATTTTACTTTCAGTTTTAGATTCTTTACTGAAAAAGCCATACTATATCGCGCATTTATCATATTTCATACATTCGATTTTATCGCGTTTTTTTCAGACGAGCACTGGTCAACGTATTGCGCGTTCGGTAACGTCACGATCGCGATGATACTTGTGATTTATGTCAAGGAAGAATACAATCGCACAAAGATAGAGTAAATAGTAATAGATATACTTTTTCCTTTTACATTATACGGAACTTACTATACAAAAAGCTTTTGTAAATCACGATCCTCCCTTACGTTGCTGTGCACAAAATCCGTTATTACTCATTGTTCTTATTGATTTTAGATCAGAAATCGACTGGCCATTTCAGGAAGCGCTAAAGGGTTGCCGGAAGTTCCGACGGAAGAAAATACGAAACTAATCGAATTTGATAATCGATACAGTGTTGTTAATTAAGTAAACATGATTTTACTAAGCGTCAGTTTATTATATTTAACACCACCTTTTTCATGTGCATTTCTGAATAAATTTATTGATTAAATGTTGCGATAACACGAATTATTGACACAGGTCCGAATTTTTTGTATATCGGTAAAATAGTGCCCTACTATGATAATTACATTTCAGTTTACAGAGTTACTTTAGAAGATGGCAGCACTTGCCAGGTCGAAAATACCGATTTGATTTCGACTCTTTTAAGTCGTAATTTCATAGTGATATTTTGATTGATCAGTGACATTGTTTAGACCAGCTGATCGAAAACAGTTCCCCATAAAGGAGTTAATTTTGCAGAATTATCTACAGTTGACCGAAGCGGAGACGATGCTCGAGGCAACGATAAATGCACTTGACGTCTTTACGAACAAACAAAATACTAATATTACAGTCTTTGTTGTACTCAATCGTCCTTGTCGACTATCAACCTTTTGTGAACAAGTTATCTAAAATTACCTAGAGTTTCAACAAGGACTTTTCCGATACTCTCAGAAGACATTTAGTTTAATCTACGTTGATCCAGTGCTAACCAGTAAACTCGGCTGCTTTATCATTATTATTTCATCATGGAAAAACAGAAGCAACGACAGGTACAAACATAAAATTTGATTTTCTTTAATTTTTTTCGCAGATATTCGATAATTAATGACACTTTATTTTACGTATAATGTATATATATATTTTTTTTTCTTTTAAATTTTAATTTAGTTATAATTGATTTTAAAGTGACTATAATTTAATTTAATGTAGTTTTAAAGAACTAATTTGTACTCTCTTAGAAAAAAAAACGGGAAAAACAACGTCAATCTATCCTGGAACATCAGATACCAGATGCCCCCACATTGGAAGAATTTGAATGCTTGCTCGGGGAATCACCTACAAATTATCCCAAAGGTGAAGGAGTGGAGAATATGGAAAGTGAATTGCATTCAGCAGCCATTGATACTGATGTTTACGAGAAGGAGATTGCTGAAAGAGCAGCTCATGAAAATGAATGCAGTTTACGGGTGGAGACAACTAATGAGGTATTTAAATTTAACAATGAAGCATTTGATATTGTCCAAATTTCCTTACTTATATATTAGAAGTAAGCATACACAAAGACATATATATTTATGATTAAATCTTAGATATTTGCATTTCAGTTCACTCTATTTAAAAATTTCAAATTTTAGAATTAAATGTTTTCTTACAAATTATAGATGCAAAAAAATAGTGGTATATATGCATGTATAAAAATATTAGAATATTATTTCTAATATAGACAGGAATATAATAATTTACATATATATTCTAGATACTGTCATTGGATGAAAATACATATGACGAAGTTGACACTATCCCACCTTTCTCAGCAGTTGATAATATCTTGAATGATCAAATAGATCAAGTTCGAGCAAGTGTCACCACAATTCAATTAGTTGATATTCCATCAACTACTACTAACAAAGAACCTGATCAAACAGTGCAAGTTTCTGAAGATCTAAACATGATAAGTCCATGTCAAAAACAAACACAAATTGTAGAGAGCAAAAATGATACACAAAATGCATTCAAGGAAGTCAGACCATTCACGGAACAGCAACTGGCATCTTTATACAATAATCAAGAATTGGCATTGGTGGATACTTTTGTAAATGAGTTCACAGAGACACAATTGAGGTGTGGGCCTCTGAGGCAGCAGCACAGGTTACATGAATTATTGATGGGTTATCTAAGAGTGAGGAATCATCTGATCGCGAATTCGTATGATCTGGATCGTTTGAAGAAGAATTGTCGGGAGACTCAAAAACAACTCTGGTGTCTGGAAAAGACATCGATAACGGAGAGCGGCGAATGCCAGGACGGCAACCCAGTCAGCGCCAGCCACGAGTACGCGATCGCCCATTTCAACCAGCAGACTTTGATAGCATTATCCAGAACCTTGACAGCCATTAAGGATGCTCTACACAATAGTCAGGCATTATATTGCTACGAGGCGGAGTCCTTGCGGCTGCAGATCGAACATTACGTGCAACGAGTTGCCCGGAGTTTCAGCGTAAGTCACTTCTCGTCAAGTAAAGTTAGTTATGCGACAAACACCTAGAGAGACTGATCTATTTGAGATTGTGGTAAGTTAAAATCAAATAAAATTATACCTTTACATTGATATAAAAATATTAATTCATATCGCCTCGCGATTCTTTACAGTGTAAAAATATTCAAATTTCTTCCTTATTTTTAGGAATTCGCCAGCCTTTCGCAAACAGCTCCCGCAAATCTTTTGCCGGAACAACCACCGTCTCAGACAGCTCCGCAACTAGTGGAGCTCAGAATGTGCGTGACAATTTTGTTCAACTTCCAACGACGAGTCCTCAAGGATGGAAAGTTTGTCACAGATACGAGAGAGTGGCTGTCGAAATTGGTGGCGATCCTCCTGCGAGTCGCCACATGGCAGGATCACTTGTTCCTATTGAATCACATTTTGCGGTGTCCTGGCGGAGTGATGAATTGGGCCAAATCGTTCGTGCAAGCACCAGTGCATCTGAAAGTGACAGGATTGTGCTCCTCGCCGTTCAATGATCCATACCTCGATCACATGATTGCCACTCTCGCGATGATCCTGCTACCGATCAAAGAACGGGATAAATTTCTGGAGCAGGTAAATCTAAGGACAAACGTAAATTCATCCTGGTATCCTTTTCATTCAAATTATTGGATCAAGAATACCTTAAAAAATCCCAATAATAAATGCTGTACAAACTACAAACGTCCAACTGTGAATTCATTTTACAGGTACAGGTATCTCTGCAGGACACCTCGAGTAGTCCAGGCGATACGGTATGGGTGATGCTAGATGAAGAAGGCGAAGAAGACGAGGATATCGCCAACCTCGGCGCTAATCTGTTTGAGAGCGATTTGATTTCTCTCCTTCATCAGATCCCGCTAGATAAGCTCTTCGAGCAAGTGCTCTTTATTCATTGTCAGAATAACAGATATTATCAAGAGGAGAATGCTATCACAGACCATCACATGTTACGTCTTTTCGCATTCTACACGACACTCGTCAGACTTCTTAAGCAGGGTCTCAAGACTTACGATTCGCCAAGGTACAGGCAGCTGGCGAAGCGACTCAGTGCATTGATTAGAGACGTCGTTCAGTATGCCAGCGATCAGTGGGAAATGTTCGACAGGAGCAAGGTGTGTGAAATATGGCACGTGCTTGTTACGTTGGAACCACACAGTCTTATGTTTTAACTTTTCCCTAGCGAAAATTTACAATTTTAAAGCGGCATCAGTCTTATTTTGTACAGGTAATTGATGAGTCAATGCTGCTGAAACTGCAGACAGAGTACGACTGTTTCTTCGTTAGAGCGATTCTCTGTATCTTTTCGTCGCGACGTTTAGGTGCTTGGCAGTACCTTGCCGCAATACCATATCACATTATATCATCCGTGACTCTATGGCGTATTTTCTATATTCTACACACCGATGCTGCACATGGTGATGCGGCAGTGTCGAATATGTCTGCTGCAGGTAAATGAAATGCGATAAAATTAAAATTAAGGTACTAAGTCTAAAATAACTGTAACAATATCACATTGCAGATTGGGAAGTTGAGCTAAATTGCCCTCAGCTTCACAAGCAGTTTGAAGAGAAACTGTGTAACATGCCTGGCGACGAGTCTTACTTTCTGTTAACTACTTTCGCTAACATGGCCATAGCAAGAGGCTGTCAAGATTACGACTTCATAAGAACGACCACAATTGATCTATTCCAAGTGTGTAAATACGATTCAAAAATTCAGATTAAATCCTTAAAATCTTTTTCTGTGATACTCCCAATCTAATGCATTAAATTGCAGATTGGATTTCTCAGTGAGAAAACTCAAGAGTCCTGCTCGAAGGACGCGAGATCACTTTTATCGAACTTGACAAGCAAATATCCTATTCTCCTATCTGACATATTGCATAAGTTAAAGGATAATTTCGTATCAGTTGGAAAGGTAATTGGAATTTTTTATATTAAATTATTTTGTATGTTTTGTATTACTAGCAAATATCAATTACGTAATTCAAACGTGTGTTTCGACACACAGCTTGTTATTAAAATAAATAATTCTTAAGCAATAATAAATATTTTAATGCTTTTAGCTAAGCTTATATTTGTTCACTGAACTGAAGATAGGAATGTGGGTGCCACAACAGCAGGACATGGAAATTTTATCTACATGGTTACATCAACATCCCTTAACTTCATCCGAGAGCCATTTGGCTCGATTGATTCTCACACATTTAAATTGGGGCTTTGATGCGTAAGTTTCTATAATTTTTTTTTTAAATGTTAACCTACTAACACAGAAAACTTACCGTTGTCGTGTGCGCACAAGATATTTAACAATTCTTAATATATTAACAAATAATATTCAACAGAAACGACAATTTGTTCCTTCCGATTCATCTACATCGACAAGTGGCGTTACTAATTGTCGAACTTATGACGAAATACGTACCAGATAATCCAACGCAGACTGCTTCTCTATTAGCCGAAGGTGTAAAGCAGGTGAGTCGCTAGCAAAAGATGAAAATGAAATTCATCAAAACGCTATCATCATTTAAATGAGTATTACGTTCACTTTGATACTTACATACTAGTTTCTTTACAAATCACTGATTATTGATCTCAACTGAGCAATCTTCTCCTCGACTTTCAGGTGTCATCGATAGTGAGACCACAGAACAGCGAGCAGGCGTTTAGTCTATGGGCCTGGGAGATGGTGAATAGACTGAGGCTGCATCAGTTGGACCAATCGGAAACCGTATGCCGGCACACCATATCAAACCCGACCGAGGGTCTTGCTAATGTGCCCAATATGGAATCTGATATTTTCCTGGATGTCTTGATGAGAGGAGTGCGTGAGAGACAACCAATAGCTTGCTACGTCTCTGTGCTAATGACCCTGTGGGGCCATTCAGTACCGTTGATCTGCGTTGAGGGCTTTGGCCACCTACAGACGCTACAATGTTACTACAAGTACGAACAGGTGCTGGTGTGCCTGTACCGCGTAGTGCCCTTATTTCTCGAATGTCCAGACTCGTTGCTGAAGAACGATAAGTTTGTCAGTCTCATAGTGCCACTCGTTGCTGCTGATCGCACATACATGAAGATAGCGAAAAACCTGATTGCCCCGGAGTTTCCTGGACCGATCCTTAAGCAGTTTGCCCATATGATCGAGTCGCATCTGCATTATTACAAACGGTACTAAAAACAGTACAAATTAAACAAAATTTAAGAATTAATATAAACTTAAAATTGAGCGTGTGATAATATAGCGAAACTAATTGAATAAGAGAAAATCAATTACTATAGTTATGAAGACATATGTATAAAGGTATTAATTATACATCTATTTGCATTTTGCTTACAGATATTGTTTGTACACTCCAGAACGTTTCGTACACTTATGGCTGAACGTGTTGATTCTGGTCCAAGACTGGAACAAAGACCATAGTGTGATGTATTTGATGGATACCGTGATTCGTGCGGCGTTCTTTCATCTAGACACTAGAGCGACGATGAGAAATATGTTTCAGAATCTCTTTTGCGTAAGTATCTCGAATGAACTAAGTGTCGGAAGCGATGGAAGTTGGATAGCAATTATGATAAAATATTTTTGCAATAATTTGCAATAATAACTGTGCCATTTTTTACTAGCCTGCCATAGAGGGCAGTAGCGAGGTAAGATGCGTAAAAATTTATCAATTTAATGCACTTTGGGCTTTTAATTGCTACTAACACCTATACGTTTTGTATAACATTTAAATATGGAATCCGTAGAGCATAACATCGAATCGGACTCCAGGATCATTCGGATCCTTTTTAAGTTGGGCCACAGGATCTTCTAATTCGGCGAGCCTCCTCGGCGGAACTGTTCAGGCCGTATGGCTCGCATATCAGGTCTTGTTATCAGAAGAATACGACAGAGAAATGAAAACCGGGTTGTGGCGCGAGATCCTACGAGAGCTGTCTATGCAATCTAAGATATCTTTAGACACTGCACTTAAGGTTTGAAAATTAAAACTAAGAAGATTATAGCAAAGTGCTCTGATATATAAATATTACAATTATAACGGGAATTGTTTTAGAGAGCCTGTGCGACAGTGAAAGTGACACCATTTGGGGTAAGTCATTTAGCTATCTATCGTTGGTCGCAGCAAGCCCTCGACACACCTTTGGATCATCCACTTTTGCCACTTTTATGGCAAAATTTCTTCAGCTTATTCCTCGCACGGGTTCCTATAATCACCGGGTGTGTATCATTTCATTCTTCAAGGAAAAAGCGAGACAAAAATAATTCCATGCAATAAATATATATAAGTCCATATCGTATTCATTTCTTTGCTTTAAAATACAGATCTACAGGCCAAGGCGGAGTCGGGGAAAATTTCTTCGAGGGTATGATGCACCTGAGCTATTTGAAGAAGTTAAAGAAACGTCTGCACGAGACAACGGAGCACTTCCAATCAAAAGGAGAGAAGGATACAGACAGCGGAAAACCGATGACAGATGAACGGCGTGTATTTTACCTCAGCGTCGCAAAGTGAGTGAAGAATAAACTTGAATATAACAAGGTTTTTTTTTACCTTAAATCTATATATTCCATGTAGGTTTTATAAAACGTTAAGCCTTTGGCTAGAAGAACCTCGTCTTCAGGAGCCCGCCTGTTATTTCCCAGCTCTGCCACCGCAATATATGCCGCAGAGACTGATTTCGCTAGTGCAAGGAGACCGAGTAAGTCGATCGTATCACAAATGTGATTAGTTACAGAACTGTAATAGCATTAATAATCACGATTATAGTGATAGAGTATTGTGTTATTATAGTGCATCGCAGGAAATGTTAATATCATTGTTATACTTTTCTTTCTCGCTCTTCGTCAACATCCAAGACCCCCTGGCTTGAGTACGTCGATCATTTAGCAGTAGAACAGAGTCAGCTGAAGGCTGTTCTCGAGTGGGAACGCGCAACGTCCCGTGACCCTGATAATCAGTATCTGCGATACTCCCAGTCTCCTGCAAATTCCACGGAAGCAGTCGATCCTCTTCGCCGAATCTTCCGCAGATTAGGTTCCTACGAATCACCAGTGTCACCGCCACCTCTTAGCCGGAATCAGCTGGTGTTGGGCTGCGTAGCTCGAGAAAGTCTCTATAATGTCACCGCAGTTATCGACCTTGTCAAGCCGCACCTTAGGACTATCCTGGACTATGCGCAGACATACAACTTGATGGTCTCCGAGCACACTGCAGTAGACTGCAGCTTTCTAGAGCTGGTGCCAACTCTCTATCGAATCTTTGAAAATCAGGTGACTTTACATGCTCTCTGTGACCCTGCGCCGCCAGGTCAGAGGCGTTCCAGGTCAGGCACACCACCCACGGTGCACTGTGCGGGTCCTGCGGTCATCAGAATCAAGGTATAATTGACAAACGTTCGAGAATACAACAGGAAACAAAATTATTTTTCTCTAAAAAAAATGTTTGATTGTATAGGTCGCAGAGGCTCATGTCAGCGAAGGTGTGGATCATATGATAACGCAGAATCGAGCTGAGTACGAAAATTTATTGGTAAAAGCTAGTCAACCGCCGCCCAGTAAAGTTACTCTGGGTTGTGTCTTCATCGACCACTTAATCGCGTAAGCAATCTAATCTACTTTACGGTTATTTTATCCAACGATTTACACTTTTTAAGAATGCTATCAGATTCGACTGAAATGTTAGAGAATTGTTTAAAGAAATTACCTGAATTTCAAATCTAACATCAAAGTAAATCGTACACTCTTCTCTTTTAGACTTTATCTATTTTTTCATTCTCCAGAATGCTGGAACATGAATTAACTGTCAGTCGAACCAACGAGAACGGCGCGGTGTTGCAGAAGGTTCAAGAAAGCGGAGTCGAGCTGTTCTATTATCTAGTGGACTCCTATATGGAAGAGGCAGCGCTATGCCCACCTACAAAACAGCTTATCACTACTTGCTTGGAGAAGTTGGGCCGGGTGCATATGACTACTACAACTAAAATTCTCTAATTAATATCTGAAATATTTTATAAATTAATTTGTCAATCTTACTTTTCTATAAATTCTGCTTTCAGTTATTCATAAGCGGAGAGGAGAGTCGAGGTCCGCAATTGCTAAGTACTATTATTCAAAGGCCCAATCTCGGTGGTTTGTTAGGCCCGCACTTCACGCCTGTTGCCGGAGGAGCCTCCACATTTTTGCAAATGTATCAGACTGTCGTAGATCTGGCTAGTGGCGCAAACGTCGATTTGTGCTTCGTACTGCTCTCGAAAGTAAGAGTCAAATTGTACTGTCGTCTTTGATTCGCTATGATTCTCAATATATCATTATTTCCACTACAGTTCGATGTCGGCAGTTGGTTGAACTATCGCCGTCCACGATTGAGCGAGAGATCTACCTTTATAGATTTAGTTTCTAAGGCATTATGCAACATCGGTTTGAATCCTGAGGAGGAGAAACTGATACTACATGAAGTAAGCGTTATTTTATTTGCTTCAATTAAAAACAAGGAGAATTTCTTATGGACCATAATCATTGACGCAGCTTTTCCGAAACCATCTGCGTCTTATCCTCCTGCACGAGTTCCCCGAGCACTATGGCGAAGTGTTGAGCGCAGTGTTGAGAGGATCCGAAAGCCAGAATTTGTCGCTGGACGTGTGGCGTGATTTGCTGGGAGCTCTCAGCAGCAAACCAAAGAGCAGCGCACCGATACATCCGTCGAAGATCAGGGACGAAATCAGGCATTATGCCACGGAACAGAGACTGTTGTCTCGCCAAGAGGTTTGTTCTGTGAAATTCCACAAACGACCTCCTTGAACTGAAAGAAGCACGATTTGGTTTCTTTGTTTCATTTTACTCACTTTAATAGTTTTTTATGGTCACATTTTATGGTCTTATCTCAACAGTAGGCTGTACGATGTTCAATTTGATTTTAGATGCATGACACCGCTGTGCTTCTGAGCCGACATTTTATGAAGGAAAGACTACAGTACGGATTGTACGGGCTCTACCCGAAATATAGAGTTTACAATGAGCCGTTAACCATATTTCTGGGTATGGTCGGTCACGCTCTAGTCGTATTGACTCTTCAGGCTGATCGAGGGTCGCTCGCTGATCAATGTGAGTGGATACTTTTAGAATTATAAATTTTTTGAACTCTGGATCTCAAAAATGTTATTCTCTCGCAACATGGTCATCAGGAATTCTGTTGCAATTATTATACTTGAATAACTACTTAAACGTAGAGTCAGTAAAATTATCTGTTCTTTTTTGTCCTAGTATGCGAGAAGATTTGGCCAGTGTTGAGTGAAATGTACGCACCGTGGATCACCCCGTATTGGACGAGAAATCTGCGTGAGCCAACGGCCGCGTGGATTCAGCAACTGACAGATGACCGATCGGTGTTACTGCCATGGATCATCACTGACGGCCCTTATGCGAATCGAACGATGGCAATGTTCGCCGAGTGTGTGCGTTTCATTGTCGACACTATGCCGGCGTCCAGTAAGATCCTCAGCTTCGTATGGCAATTCTACGTGTCAAACTATGCGCATGCTTCCGTCAAGGAACATGTGTTGAATGTGGTGCATGGTAACTTCCTCTCCTTGCCGTGGGACCGTTTTTATCCCACCGCCAACGACGTTGAATTGATGATCAAAGTTGTCGACCAATATCTGCCGGATTGCCACCTGTTCCTCGGCAGCGTTTTTGCTTGTATCAACTGGTCCACTTGGATCAGCGAGTTAATGGCCACACAGTCACTGCCAGTCGCTTCTAGGATGCACATTTGTCTGTTGAACCTGCTGGTGAAGCTGTCTAATGAGCCCAATGTTAGGCAGGTAAGATAAAAGATGACGATTCTAAAATCTGACAACTCGAAGTATGAATTTAACATAGCACTGAGGTATACGGTCACGAAGAGAAGATAAAACTTTAGGAATAAAAGTCCAAAGGTTCACAAAAGTCCAACTAATATTTTAGAACGAGAAAGCGGTGCAGTTGGTCGCGGAATCCGAATGTTTCTCCTGGCACTTGATCGACGCCGCGGCGTACGATCAGATAATTAATTGGCACGTGATGAGTTGCGATCCCAGGGTGGTTCTATGCCTGGACGGGGATCATACTCATCCCATCGATATGGCTATTAACAGGTGAATTTGGTTTATATTGCATTAGTAGTGTACGTAAGAAGAGCATTAATTATTAAAGTACTTGAATATGTAGCTTATTAAAGATAGCGGCAGGCTATGATCCCACGGTAAAGCACTTTCACCCCACTACCTTAAAGAAGAGACAGATGTATGTGCGTTCCTCAGTAAAGCTGTTGATCAACTGCACCACAAGACATAAGTCTCTTCTTTCGACTAACAGCAAAGCGTTCAACATTGCGTTGTCGCGGATGCTCGACGACATGGAGATCGTCATCACTGGCAGTAAGTATTTGGATGAAAAATACCGATCCTTGAGAATCTAAGAGTGATGAATGAGTGAGGATGCAAAAACTTGCAAGAAACGACGAAGAGGTTCAAAATCTAAGCACTTTTCTCTCTTCTTTCTGTCAGCTGTCTCTGAGTCGCAACAAGTTGCCGAAGCCGGTCTGCTAATCACTGAGTTTTTGCACTCGATGAATCAGAGCGCAGCGTTGAGCGAGCATTTCCGTAGCAGTTGGACAGCTTGGCTGCTGGAGCGAACAGCTAGTAGTCCAGTGTTGATGGGAGTGCTGAGAGTGATTGGGATTGCTGTTGCTTCCTCTTCTACTCTAGGCCATCTCATGGAGGCTGCCTTGGAGGGTTATTTCAAGTATAACAGTGAGCAAATCCTCGAATAGTTCAAGGGTGATATTGTCAAAAGCAAAAATAAATAAACTTCTTTGATAACTACAGGTCGTTCTGATTGATTTTTTATTTTAGTAACGGACGATGTTCGACCCACATGGGCTGCAGTGCTGATGGTACTGCAGTCAGTAGTACCTCGTCAGCCGCCTCTGGAGTCTGTTCTAGTATCAGAAGGTAGATTGCTAGCTTTCTATTCTATACTTCTCAAAAGACTTCCGTCTTGTAAGAATATCCGAGAGGAAGGCCTGCTTCTGATCAGCTTGGTGGATTGGATTAGTACTATTAAAACTACGTAAGTGATTTTGAACGATAAATAGGACTCATTATTTTCTATACAACGAAATTACCTTTCCTATTGAATAAGTACATAACATTTTTTTTTCTTTTTTTTAATTTTTTAATTTTTATCATAAAAATTTGGAAACATCATGAACCATCTTATTCATCCAGCAACATCGCAGAAGAGAAACTGCCTCTATTATGGGCGAAGGCATGCGAACTGGCCTACAGACAGTGTCAGTACAGTGAGAACACGGTGATAGCTGCCAGAGCTCTAAAAGAGCTTGCACGAGCATTGCTGACAGTAGCGAATGATGTGGGACAAGGATGGGGCATTCTAGGCGCTATTGGACTGAGGAAAGGTTCTCAGCTCACCGTACGGTAAGCCATGATTATTGTCAAAAGAACTTCATCTCGTATTCTCTCTTTGTAACTGATATAGTCTCGCTTATTCGTTCGATTTTCTCGCAGGTGCAAGTTCCTAAGTCGCGCCACGGCTGTCTACTGCTTGGCGCAGTTACCAGAATCCAAATCTGACCAACAATTAGTGAGATACACTCCGCATTCGCCTGGTGTAGCACCAACGAGGTCGACTGATCTAGACGCAATGGAGATTCGACCCAGTGTGGATGCTGTGAAGGCGATGCAAGGTCTGGAAGGACTGCTGCTGAACAAACAGTACGCAGAGTTGCGTGGTGATGTAGAAAGGGCTATCCGACTCGTCAGAGACTCGGCTAATTCCTTGCACAACGCTGTCGAGGTCGTCGGCATCCTCACCACAGAGCTCTACAATCAAAGATATCTGCACGTGCTGACAGAGTGATAATAGTTTTATGTAGATTTAATGACGGATTCTTGACGAGAGTACCTCAAATCACTTTAAAATTGCAACGCGAGAGTTTTACGTGACGCTCCAAGTGTTACTGAGAATTCTTTCAGGTCTTGACAATTTTAATCCTGGCAGATTTAAAAGTTTGAAAATAATTGAAGAGATTTCTCGAGATTTTTCAAAATGTTAAAATATTCCTGACCCAGATTTCGATGAAACCCTTGAAATGACACAAACTTCTAGGGTATTTAAATTACTATTGACTGAGAATATATAGGATAATGTCCGTCACACTATGTAGATCTCACCAAATGATGCTCGTTTAAATTGAATGCTTAACATCTATATCAGAATTAGAAACGATTGCGATTGTGTTATAATTATATTATAATCTATCCAGCAATGTTAATACATATGATAATGACTCGCGCTTGTTCGCTTGTATCAATATTCAATCAACAGTTCTCATTTTTGTAAAATCGTAACGCAATTTTGAGGATATAACGCAAATATGTGTTTAGTTTACCCTTTTTATTATTTAAATTTCAGATCTGGATTTGATCTAGTCGCGCAATGCCTTTTGTAGGCTCTAATATTTCTTTTTATTTTATCTTTTCTTTTTATTGCAGTATATAAAATATTTTTATATGCCACACTTATACAATTTCTTACGCATTCAATTTAAACATACGGTTGTGTATATAGAATATCATGAATCATAAAATTAGTAATATAGCTATTTATGTAATATAAAAATTTCTTATGCACTTGCGCACGCTACAAACATACAATTCGTATAATCTGTAATTTATTATTGGTGTACAGAAATTGTATTCAATTAATCCAATTTTACAAATCGCATTGTAATTCTGGTAATGTGATTAACAGATCTTTATGGTTAATATCTTGCAATCGCATGTAATGTAATAATTGTTAAAAGTATAAATTAACAAATAAATCTAATTGAATTTGTTGACTGAATTCATCTTTAAAGAGTTGTGGAATTAATATAATTATTAATACAAGAATATTATCTTCTTATCAAGAAGTATTATATTATACAAGTCTTATTAGGTCAATGACAAATTTATTCTTTGATCATTTAAATTCGATTTTGCTACAGACTTGGCATTAATTTAAAGACACCTACAAAATATTATTAAAACTTTAAGGACGCGCAAACTTCTTCAGAGTTTTTCAGAGTTCAAATAACAAATTCAACGTCGTCACATCGCAGTAAACAATTAAAAGACAAGATTTCTTTAAAACCCATAAACCTATCTATTTCAGAAAAATCGTTATTACTGATTACACCATTAGCTATTTGCCTAATTATCGTATCGCATCTTGCAAGATTCGCGAGGCCTCATCAGACGGAAACTCTATCAGCTTGCACTCAAACTGGTCACGAAAGATATTGATGAAGATTGGCAGCACATCGTTAACATTGATATCTACGTTCAACTCCTTGGAGATGCTGGTGACGCCCTTACCCCTGATGCCGCAAGGCACGATATGATCAAACCACGTAAGATCAGTGTTACAGTTGAGTGCTAGGCCGTGGGTGGTGATATAACGGCTGCCGTGAATGCCTATGGCGCAGATCTTACGATTCTCCACCCAGACTCCAGTGTGCGGCGATGTTTCAGCTTTGATGCCGAACTCTGCGCATAAATGGATTATCATGCGCTCCAACTGTTCCACGTACCACTTGACACTGGTGCGAAATTGTTTCAGATCGAGTATCGGATAGGCTACTAGCTGACCAGGCCCATGGAAGGTGATCAATCCGCCGCGATTTGTTCTCCAAAACTCCGCACCGAGATTTTTCAGTTTCGTCTCTTCTTCGACTGTGTATACTTTGTCACGAATTCCTACCGTGTACACCGGTTTGTGTTCCAAGATCACTAAGGTATTTGCCGGCTCGCTCAAATGCTGATGGTGATGATTCGACAAGGTCTTTTGAAGTCGCTCACCGGCACCGTATGACAGACGACCGGCTAGCAGAAGTTTCACCATTTTCAGATGCATGTTAAAGATTCTGTGTTAATGTAAATGCTTGTTGAAGAACTTCTTTGGGATCTTTATTAAGACAAAGGCTTCGTTGAATTCCCGTTTTGATTTTGTTTCTCTAAAACAGCGGCCTTCGCCTGGATTGTTGTGTAAAGTAAAAGAGATACCTATAAACGAAGAGATTATTATTCTGTCGAAAATATTACAACTTGGGCAATTATATTCTTTTATAAAATTTTTCAATTTTCGAAGAATCATAATTTTTTGATGACTTTAATTCGGGTACTATTATTTCACATCATAAGATTAACGTTTTGTTATTACATTTAAGTTTTAGTGAATCGCACTTACGTATGCATCCGATGCTGCATAAATTTTCTGGGCGTCGCTAAGCGGTTGCACATGCCACTTACTTTTTCGCACCTCAGGATTCTTGTCGATTCTTTTCTTCAACTAAATGCACGAAAACTTTTTTGTAGATACCCGATATATAAGGTAATTAAAAATTATTACCAAGTAAGCAGTCAATTTTTCCAAGCTCCAACGACAAGATCGTTTCAAAACTTGATTGGCGAACGTTCCACAGTCTATGCAACTGTTTTCCACTACTTTTTGAGCAGGAAACTCCTTAAAGTCTCGTCCAAGTTTCCAAACATCACTATAAACCATTAACCAACCATTAACTAGCAATTATGGATATATGTTACCATATAAGATATAATATAATTAACTAAATTATAATATAATTACTAAATTATAATTATTAATAGTTTCAAAATATGAAACAACTAAATAATAAATTAAAATTGAATGAAAGACCAATATTAGAGAGAATTAAATTTTCATACAAAGAACTTCACAAAATGTAGAAAATACAATGATTATATTTATTTATTTATCCTTATTGTATGTATAACATATCAACTGACTTTTTTATATTGACACCAACAAGTTTAACTTTTGGATGACACAGGAACTCTATAAAGGCAGCTGGGAGTTTTTTCAGTGAGTATATATGCAAAAGATAAGACACACTGTCCTCTAAACAGATTTGTGCTAATGCAGTCTTTCCACTACCAGTTTGAAAATTAAAAGGCCATTCTAGGTCAAAACCTACTGGTATAAACTCCTTTTCACTAAGCTTTACTTTTTGTCTGAAAAAATTTAGCAAAATATATCATAAAATAATACAGTAATAATTTGAAGTAAAAATTTGAGCAAGTTGATTGATAAAAATTAATGCATAGAAATTTGCATTTTTAACTACATGTTCGCATCTACATTCTCTTTATATTTTAATATATTTTAATATGTCTCATATGAACTGTTTTACTGTTTAACTGTTTTTAATGTTCTCCTAATTTTTTTCTAAAAATCCAGCATTCTAATTTTTCTAACTTAAAATTTCTATTTTATGATAGCAATTCTTATAAAAATTTTGTATCTCTCTTAAACTTACAGAAGATTATCACAAATCTGAGCACAATCAAAGAAATCATTAGCATACTGAACATGTCCTTTAAAAACAATTGGAGGTAAAGTTGTTATATCAGGTTCTCTCTCAGGTTTTGGTCGCTCCAAATTTTCCTATAAAATAGAAGAAAAATAGTGTGACAACTTTTTTAATCTTTGGAACTACATATTCAATATGAGTTTATGCTTGAGCTTTGAAATCGGATAAATGTCATCTGGTAGTACTTAATTTTTACATAACATCGTATCCCAGATAGCACACAGACGTCCACTGGACGTCCGTTATATGTCCATTTTTTTTACAAAAGACGTCCATAGGACGTACGTTTGTCACAACTTCGGACGTCCATCAGACGTCCTACAGGTCCGATGTCCAAATAAGGACATCCTTGTTACGTCCAATTTATGTTCACGGACGTAAATCGGACATAAATTGGACGTGAAACGTACATCCATTGGATGTCCGGTGCTATCTGGGATATCTCTTCTTTAAAAAATAATTATCATCTACATACTTTTAGATGTTGTGGTAGATTTCTTGGTGATCGACGTAAAGTTCTAGATACCTACAAACCACACAAAATGCAAATTGCACACTCGTCTAAGAATTATCTAGAAGAAGCAATAGATCAGACAATAGAAATTGAAAAAAGTATTATAAGAAATAATAAATATAATACAATTACAAAAGTTATGTTATGCATCTTAAAGATGAATGTATCTTTATCGTAAATTGGCGAAATTTTATGAAATATGATATGAAATTATGCAGAAAAAATAACAGTAGAAAAGAAGATTAATACTATATTTACAAAGATAGATAAAGTTCATAAAAGAGAGAAAGTAAAGAGATAAAAGCATGAAAAGACCGTACATAAAACTAACCTCTTCGCCGAGCCGTACAGCTTGTGTCGTCATTGTTATGATGAAGAGAAGGAGAACAGTCGCCAGAATCCTTTGTAAGATTAAATCGCTTTAAATATCATAAACTAAGTTAAGAAGAACAACCTCGTGTAATCTTTGAAGTACTGATGACGTTAAGATATTAATATATGTTACGACATACTGCGAATCTATTTATTCGTTTCCCGCCAATTTCACACTTGCTAAACAGCTGACGCAAATATGTGTCAACCAATCATGTGTATGCAGATTCATACTGATCTCGTGTGTCTGCAACTTTTGGTCTGTTCTTTGTAGCTGCACTGCTGAACTGGTGCAATAAGCTAGAGTGAGAATACCTATATTTGTCTCACTTTAACTTATTGCACCAATTCAACAGTGCAGCTACAAAGAACAGACCATTTGATTCCAGTGCAGCTTCCAATGCAGCTGAAAAGAATAAACTTTTATTTTGAAGTGGCATAACAAACATTCCGTTTCGATGTAAGGAAAGACAGTATTGCATTTACAAAATTTTCTAATGTAAGTTTTCAAAATCTCATAAATAAGTGAGAGTTTCTCGATAAGGTAATTTCTTTCGTATCTGATAATTGGGATCTTTTGTACCAACCTTTTCCAGGTTCCTGTTTCCAGGTTATGACTCACAGCTGCACTTGTCATTGAATTTATCTGGCTGTTACTTTCTCGCTCCATCGTTCAACAAGAGCGAATGGACAGTTGAGACAATGCGAAGCATCGTAAATTGGACGCCACGTTGTTTATAAATTTATTACAAATAATTCAGGAAAATAGTACAAAGAGTAATTTGCTGACATGTCTTTTAATTTCGTTAATTGACAATAGTGATTTTAATTAGTGGAAAAACTCTACTTTCGTCTCAGTTTCTCAAATTTCCATCTGTCATATCGGACGCGTAAATCATTGTAAAATAGAAACATGTTCTAATGTCATTTTTCTTACCTGTACAAGACATTTTTGTTGCCAAATTTTTGTAACCAAAGAATGCTTTATCAGTTAACGATCAGAAGTTTAACATAATTTAATGTTAAGAGTTGAAGTTGTGTAACGTGTATGATAAAGTATCAAATATTAATTTCTTTAAAACTTTATCATATATACTTCTACATCAAGTATGAGTGGACAGATGAAAGATGTGCCGTGTGGCATTCAGTGTTTAAAACATATTTGCAACAATTGTTGTACACATCATCATATTAATTCGAAGCCATGGTACCAAGCAGGGGTGTTGCTGATTACTTTCTTAGCATACACTTGTTACCATTTAACTCGGAAGCCAATATCAGTAGTAAAGAATGTTCTGAACCACAATTGCAGTGGAATATCACCACCTTCTTATATCCCAGTGAATGACAGTATTCATTGGTGTGATTGGGCCCCATTTGGTAAGTACAATCAATATCCATCTATTATCAATTTTATTCATATATTATAATATACAAATATAATTCAATGCTTCTACAGACACAGATGATGCACCAGCATTATTCGGTTTGCTAGACTCATCGTTTCTATTTGCATATGCAGCAGCTATGTTTGTCAGGTAACTTATTGCTATCATAAGAACTTATAAAATCTGATGTAATAAGATTACTAATCATGATAGTAATAATATTTAGTTTGATTCTTGATTGGCATAAGTGAAACTGTTATTCACGGATGAGTAATGAAGCTCTATGAAAACCTGCGCATCATCCAAAAATGGGTGACGAAGTTCGATGTCACAATAATGTTAACAACAATGTTATTTCGTTTACCTGTGCAGCGGGATTATTGCGGAAAGAGTCAATCTGCGATACTTCCTCTCTCTCGGTATGATCGCTTCCGGTATATCCTGTTACCTGTTTGGAATCGCCAGGCCGTACAATGTTCACAGCTTATGGTACTTTGTCTTGGTGCAGGTATACATCGACGTTATAGAGAATATATAAAGTACATAAATCCATATGTGTTTCCACGTCCTCTGTTTCTCTCGTGCAGGCAATAGGAGGAGTATTTCAAACCACAGGTTGGCCTGGCGTGGTGACAGTCATGGGAAACTGGTTCGGCAAAAGTAAACGCGGTTTCATCTTTGGTATATGGAACTCGCACACGTCCTTAGGGAATATACTGGGCAGCTTGATCGCGGCAAAGTACGTCGAGTCCGATTGGGGTCTGAGTTTTATGGTGCCTGGCGCTATAATGGGACTGGTCGGGTTCATCGTCTTCGTGTTCCTAGTACCGAATCCTACCGACGTAGGATGTAGTCTGCCTAACTCTCATGTATATAGAAAAATTGAAGCGTCCAACAGTTCAGATGATGATCTCTATGCCGATGTCGGTGATGGCCCTCATCCTGCTGGCGAAGATGTAAGTTTGTACATAGATGCTGATAATCTAGCGCTGCCCATCTATTAGATATGAGAGCACACGTTGTAACGCACATTTGTAATAATCAATTACAAGCATGTCTGCATCATTCAAAATTACAAGCATATTTTCATTTTGCAGCATTATCTCAGAAATGCTTGTTTGTAGTTTTGAGAGTTGAGTGTTCAGTTGAGTAGTTTTGTGTAATTTTCCCTCTCTTTCTTTTTTTTTCTCCTTTTTAGTTTCCTCAGATATTTATATTCAGTAAATTGTTTAATTGTTTCTAGTAAATATAATTTGCACTTCCATAATAAATAACCATCTGCTGTACCTAGCGTGTCATCTATCGCTGTGTCTACCGTGACCAAGTTGCTGCTGATGTAAGTGCATGCCACTTTCCTATTTAATTAACATGATTAGTCGCAAATTCAGTTTCTTGCATCTGCATGTAAATAATACTTTCGTTAGTCGAACGAAAGATTCGTTTGCAATATTTAAGTTACTATGAGTATATACCACACACAATCTCACCCACAGTGAATGCATCATTGTCAAATTTTATCAATATATGTCTATCGTTTGCGATCCGTAGATTGCTACATGTTTATCTGTATGTTCCAAAGGACTACAATGATAATTTGCGATCTGAAAGCAGCCCGATGCTATCAGGACATCGACGCATTTACAGCGTGCAATCCAGTACACAAGATAACGCGATTGGATTTATGGGAGCCATAAAGATACCTGGCGTCATCGAGTATTCTTTGTGTCTGTTCTTTGCGAAACTCGTTAGCTATACATTCCTCTACTGGTTACCATTGTACATTGCAGCTTCAAGTAAGTATTCGCAAAAATACCGTTGCATAAAATTTCATTATAATCACATTGCGATCTTTCCACAGCTACATACAGTACCAGCTTAAGCGCGTATTTATCGACCTTATTTGACGTTGGTGGCATAGTAGGCGCTATAATCGCAGGAATTTTTTCCGATTACAGCGGTATGAGTGCTTTGACGTGCGCTATTATGTTCGGACTTACATTTCCCGCGGTGAGTTCCTATTTTTCAAGCTGACGACACCGTTGAAATGAAACAAGAGCAGCACGAAAAATAATTCTTGTTCTGAAGTGAAAATTTAAGATTTACATTTAATGTGTACACAGAATAATCGAGACAAGGAACGATATATTAACATGCACCTTGTACAATCTTGCAGTTATTCATATACGATTACATCAGGAACGCCAGTCTAGGTGTCAACGTGGTGCTGCTACTGATTGCCGGATTACTGGTGAACGGTCCTTACGCTCTGATAACAACTGCGGTATCCGCGGAACTTGGAACCCATCCTAGTTTAGGTGACAATTCGAAGGCTTTAGCCACAGTGGCTGCCATCATCGACGGAACTGGTAGCATTGGTGCTGCTATGGGCCCACTGTTGGCGGGAATGGTGTCCCGATGGGCTGGATGGCACAGTGTATTTTATATGTTGATGGGCGCAGACCTACTAGCTCTATTGGTGAGTTCGTTTATCCATATGTTTACTTTGGGAAAAATTAAATCCTCTTAGCAGTGCCATATATATATGTTGCGTTTTGTCGTTTCAGCTTCTGTCCAGATTAGTTTATAGGGAATTAAAATTGTACGCGCAAAGACGACGAGTTCTTTGAATATAGGCTGTAAAATAGAAAACGTAAGATGGTACAGTAATAATAACGTGGAACACGCAAATAATGTAATTATTCGTCGGATCTACGTGTCGTATCGAAATCTCGTTTGCATTTTTTAACAAAATTTACAAACTTGTTGCAACGTTACCCCGAGTATGGCTGTTGAGAGAGAGATGTATATATATACACACAAACTGATATTATTTAACATATGTAAGAAATTTTTAATGTACAGAAATGAGCAGTATATTTTTTACAGTATTCTGTATCACAATTTCTATACATATCTAAGTATAATTTTGCATAAACAAGAAATTATAGCAAGAGATACTTGGAATACTCCTTTTGTGTAGAATTGTTATTTTATAATATATAATTACATATACACTATAGAAAATGTCATTTTATTTCACTGATGATATACACTGAATGTGAAATTTTGCTGTGAATCTCAAATTTACTTATCTTACAAACTTAATGCAGTAATATATAAAAACTATTATACGCATCTGTGATAAATTATATTATGTAATTATATAACAAAGTGAAGTATTGATATTAAAATCATCAAGGAATACCAGTGGGAATTATATAGCTGATAGCATCACCAAATTCACCCCATGCAGCTCTCTGGGTTTGAAAGGTAATTATCCATGCCAGTAAAGCAATAGCCCAAACCGTCGCTCCTATAGCAGATATTATCACATCTGAAAAAGAAAAAAATATAAAAGTATGTTTTATCATTTGCACATGGCTTATCATAATATTAAAATTAATGCCAACATTTTTTAATCTGTTTCTGTTCCTCATACAATGGCTTAGTAAAGGCTTCTTTCCAGAACCAAATTACATTCACAGCCCACAGAAAAGGCAACAGTGCAAAGCCAGCTGCAACAAAGAAGAAAAGAGATGGAACATTACAAGGAAATGTAGAAAATGTAGCTAAAGCCCAATCCATAACAGGAGCCTCTTATTAAGAGCTTTTAGCTTCTTGTTTTACGCTGGAAACTATAATATAATTTTTGACAAAAGATGTGGTTCCGCGCTGCTAGAGGTCATAATAATATCCAAACAGAAATGAATCTGACAAGAGATATCACCAAGTTGCGTATTAGTACAGCTCGAAAAATTGGAGTCAATTTCGGACACAACCGAGCAGAACATGACATTCAAACGCCTACCATTAATAAATGTCATGTACCTCGAAAGTACCATCTGCAGAGGTACAATTTCCTCTCGTTCGGTACTTTTGACAGGTCCATCACTGTCAAGTCAGTCGAGGAGTGTCTCCTAACCTATACCTATACCGCTGTCGTTTGTCCGTCTAGTATGACACTGCTTTATTCACCGTATTCTCCGTTAAAATGATTCCGATCGAGTCACGCGCGATTAATCATGCTAAATCACGCGAGAAACGTTGATAAACTCGAGGAAAAATAAAAAGAAGGCGCAAACAAGTCTATCCGACATACGAGAATCTCGCTGCGCTCCCAAGATGGCGCCGCGGCTTAGAGTGATACTAGCGCCTCCGTTGGTCACGTGACGCAGACGCTCGCCACCCCGCGGCTGTGTCCGGACGACCATCTTGATTCCTTAACATGGCGTCGTCGGAGATTAATATGGCGTCCTCGGACATAATAACCGAAGTGGAGATTCAACCGGATATCCAGGAAGTGGAAATAGAAACGATCCCAGTGGAGATACCGTGCGAGACGGTGGAGACGACGATCGAGGGCGAGGACGGGCAGCCGATGATAGCGCTGCAGCCGCTGCCGGAGCCGGGCCGTGAGGAAATCATACTGCAGACGCAGGAAGAGATCGTTGGCGCGGATCCGCTCAGCGTGTACGACCAGATCCCGGTGCCGGAGAACGATATTTATGTGGAGTCCAGCCCGGGGCCGTCCCGTAAGGCCGCCAAAAAGGCGCGCAAGAGCGGTGGCACGCGCTTCCGCGCGTCTGACCACGCGATCTTCAGCGAGATGGCCACCGAGACCAAGGCTAGAAAGTGGGAGCAGAAGCAAGTGCAGATCAAGACACTCGAGGGCGAGTTCTCGGTGACAATGTGGGCATCCGGCACAGACGACGGTGAGTTTCCGGCGTGAGCTGTTGTAACGACCGGGATTGGCATTTTTGACTCTTTTCCCCGACAGTTGCGTTCGTACGCGAGTCGTCCGACGGCTCGTGATCGTTCGCTCATTCCTGCTTCTCATAGCTTCTCGTTGTCGTCGTTACACACCACGCGCACATACACGGGCGGGTACGCACTTCCGGTGCGTATGCCCTGATCGATACAGCGTCGCATTTCGCGCGCGCGATCCTCTTGCGGAAAATCGACCACGGCGGGCCGGATCGGCGTGTCGACCGGCTTGACAGGCTCCGTTGTTTGTTTTGATCGCGTGAACGCCATTACGCTAGCTACGGGGGCAGCCATATTTTGAAAATGGCCTCTTTTACGTGGCTGATCGCCCGCCCGTCGCTCCGAGCAATGGCGGTGCGCTATGGATGAGCGAGCGACAACGTCATGGCTGTGTCCCGCGACCTGACGTCCGCTGGGACTCTTGACGTCGCCGTTGCGATGTGTAGTCGTTCATGAATCGTTCAGTTCTCGAGAACAAGCGTTGCTTTTCAACAAGAAGGATGCTGTGGATCCCGGATCAAACAGCAGAGGAAGAGAGCAATAAAGAGGAAGTCGAAGCGGAGCATTGTGACAGCAACGCTTCAGCTTCTGACGTCACTCTGTCTTATACTTCTTCACGGGTGTGTGTATATACAGGGTGTACTAATCCAAAGTTATCTGCGTTGATGATGGTTTGTGATATTGTAGTATTTTGTCATTTTGCAAAGTAAAGTTCTCATGTTTTAAGATACTTGATATGTGATAATGAAAAAGTATGTTTTCTTCAAATTTACAATATAATAATTTTAGCAGTACATAGGAATTTGTGATTCCATCAAATGCATTTTAAATGTTTATACATTAGAGCAATGCATAAACATTCTCAGATGTTCAGACTTTGTAACATTAGAATTAGAAAAAAAAGATTTTGGTACTTATATCTATAGAAAAATTAAAAAAAAAACACTAATGATAAATTGTGCAAGCAATAGTAATTACATTAGAAATAGTTTTACGTAGCAAAAATCTGGATAAACGGAAATTCTGTAGGATTTATTTTTCAATAAATATTCCACAATTGTCCAAGTCTAACTTAAGAGGATAAAACCTACCGCCACACAAAATCTCATTCAAATGCCTATTTCAGATGAGGGCTCGAATCCAGAACCAGATACAGACTATGCGGAATACATGAGCGGCAAGTCCAATGCCAAGTTCAGTCACTCCGGTAGTTCTGTATCAGATGGTATGCCCGGACTGGATCTGTCAGATCCGAAACAACTGGCGGAATTTGCGCGCCCCGGCCACAAGCTGAAGGTGCGCAAGCCGCCGGTCATGGATGGAGTGGAACGCACTATTGCTTGCCCGCACAAAGGCTGCACAAAAATGTTCCGAGATAACAGCGCTATGCGCAAACATCTACATACTCATGGACCTCGTGTACACGTTTGCGCAGAATGTGGTAAAGCCTTCGTCGAAAGTTCCAAACTCAAAAGGCACCAGTTGGTACATACGGGTGAGAAGCCTTTCCAGTGTACATTCGAGGGCTGCGGCAAGAGGTTCAGCCTAGACTTCAACCTACGCACTCATGTTAGAATCCATACGGGTGACCGGCCGTACGTTTGTCCCTTCGATGGATGCAGCAAAAAGTTTGCGCAATCGACAAACCTCAAGTCACACATATTGACCCATGCCAAGGCTAAGTAAGTCGCTTATTTCTTTCTCGTTGCTAAAACTCGAAGCAGATATAAACTTTATTCAAAATATATATCATATATATGAAAGCAATGAAATTCTGAATAAGAAAAGCTTCAAGTTACATATTTCATCGTGTATTTCATATGATTTCAGATCACGAAACGCGATTGGAAGACAAGTGCAACAGATCCAACTTCAACAGCCTCAGTTTGTCCAAGTTGAAGTTGCGGATGTGGACAACCAACAGTTCATTGTCTACGCCGATTAGCCCCCCTAAACAATGATCTCGCGTATCCAGTTACTGCATCCAATTATACTGCAATCACTAATTATTAATCCAGACCATGTAAATATTTTCACAATGTGGAAAGTGACATGCGGACAGAAATAAGAGGAAAAGGAGGAGGTTAATGACCAGGCGGTGAAGAAAATGAAGATAGAAAAAGAGGTTATTAAAAGTGTAAACTGTCTTAAGAAGACGAGTTAATTAATCGAATAATACCTCTGTGCTTAGATTCAAGATATTTGAAACATCAGGACTATACTGTCGCAAGATAAGAAAGGAAATAAAATTAGGTTACACGGGTAAAAAAGGGAAAAAAATGGAAAAAAATATAGCGTACTTTCTAAGATAAAGATAGCAAGCTAGACTGTGTGGCGCACTGCTCAATCTCGTGTGAATAAAAAAAGAAAAAAAAAATGAAACAAAGTCTAGTGTGCTGCTCGTGTAACAGACACACATACACATACACGCGCAGATACACGTACATACACACTCACAGTCGATTGTATATATTTATAAGTAAAATATTGTATACAGTATATTTTGGAGAAATTCAAATGAGAATAAATCACAGAGATGAGTCTCTTTTTTTCCGCCGGATTCAATTGTACCATCTTAGTAATACTTGAGTTTTACACTGTAATGCTGAGATAGAAATTTGTTAATAATTGTTTATAAAAAAGAAGAAATTTGAACATAGTCTTTATATTAGTGTTTGGAAATAAGAGATAATGCGATTTCTGAATTAACATTCAGTAATAATTCATAAATAATTCATAAATTACTTTTCATTGGAACGTCCTACAGACGAAATCGTAACGTATGTCTTGAAAAAAGAATTCGAAAAGGACAAAGAAGCGACAGTACGATAGATATGGATCCAATATCACATCTGATAAAAAAACATTGTGTAATGTGTGCAGTGTGCATACGCGTTGATATCAAACGACTTAATAACTTTAATGATACATTGAAAATTTCGACTAAGAGAAGCAATATCCATATAGATAGATATAATATCTTGTAATAGATTACTGCGTGCATCTCTCTCTTTCTCTATATATATATATATATCTTTTTCATTATGTCATTCATATGCGTATCATTATTATGCGCATATCATAATTTTTCATACACACAGTAGTGACGTATATATTTAACTATCGGATTTGATTTTTTATATATATATATATATATGTGTATATATACATATATATATTCATATATATATATATATATATATGTATATGTATGTATGTACGTATGTGTGTATACTGACTCGCGATTTGTAAATTAGAGATGCGAAAAATTTGGATAATTTATTTAAAATCTTGTAAAGTGCATATTCTCTTTCGCGAAACTTTTATTTAAGCAGCTACACTCGTATGACTTATAGTTATAAATCTGTCAACGACATTCTCACTTGTACAACCCACATTATCTTTTTATAAAATGAAAGAAAAATAAGAGAAAGAAATTGATTTCTTTTTAATTATTTAAGCGTTTATACGCTACTTTGACACGTTCCTTGTCGCTAACATATTTTTGTTTCCATTTATTTGCTTTTCAACATTTTTCGTTGATATAATCATCCTTCTCTCATGTGACTACGATACGTACACTTGAACTACGTCCTGTTGTATCAGCGTCTGTTATATTAAGCGGACTATGTTTAGTAAACATTCATGAGAAAGTTAAAATAATTATTCGATGTGATGAGATTTCATTATGGCATAACTTTTACTTTGTACCAAAATTAGGACAACTCTGAAAGTTTAGACAAAGAAAATATTATTATCTACATTTTCTGAAAGAAAGTAATTATCTCAATATATCGAAATGGTAATATTAAATTAAAATAACTCCTAACAGGAGAAGACTACAAGTGTAATTTTCAGAATGCACACACACACACACACATACATACATTCTGACATATACACAAATATATAGATTTTTCGCCATACACACACATACACATACATATATACATATAACACTGCGCATCGTTTTTCATGATATATTTAAGTTCGATCGTTTATACGAGAATTAAATGCGAAACGAAATATATATATTTCTATACTTACACACTTTATTTACTTCCATCATTTGATCACACACACATACATACAAGGAATATGAATATTGTTTAAATTCTTTTATGTATTCTTAATTTTTTCCATGAAAGATGTTCATATTAATCACTTTATTGTTGAAACGCAAAATTTTATGCAATAGTTACATTTAATATGTCTTTGAAATTAAATGATATATATCTTTCATTATACATATATTTTTTATTGATTTGCAACATTTATTCTTTCTCAAAAAACGGAATGTGATTTATTTTGACTAACCAATGACGATACTGAAAAAATGCTGATTCATATCAATTACATGTATACAATCGTAAAAGTAACGCATATCCCACAGCTAAATAAGACGACGTAGCTTAAATCAGGATCTCACGGTGAACACACGTATATAAATGCACTTTACGATAATTAATATCTCCCGGACCTACCATCTCTACCTTTGTCCTCTCTCTTTCGACGATCTTTGGATCTTGATCGTCTATCGCGTGATCGTGATCTGCGTTTACGATCTCGACCGCGTGATCGTGAACGAGACCTCGATCGTCCTCTGCCGCCTTTCTTGCGACTGTACAAATAACGACGTAGCTCGCGCGAAATGGGCTTCAGATGCATAAAGTTGCAAAATCCGGATCGTGTACATTCTCTAGAATCAGGAAAGGAAAATCATAAGTGAAATTCAGATTTCATCATAAAAAAACTACACATTTTAAAAGTCTATAAATTACCCCATTTCATATTGCCGGCAGCAAGCTTCTCTGAAATCTGTAACTGGGGATAGTTCAGCATAAACTGGACGACCACCAAACCAACGATTATTCAAGTCATTTACAGCTCTTTCTGCGTCTTCTTCTCTCCGAAACTTTATATACACATTCCCAACCAAGTGATCACCCAGGTTGTCGCAAACATTCATCTCTTCAATCTCTCCATACTTATCCTCACATTCAACAAAAACATCTTCAAAGAAATTGTCATAATGTTCTTGCATCTCTTCATCTGATACATTTGCGACCACTATAAAAAGATAATTTAAGTGATTATCTCAAATATTCATAATTATAAATTGAATTATAATTACAAAATTGCAAATATGACTTACAGTGAGAGCCATCTGCACTCTTGGCGGAATTCTGAGGATTCACATACAAGTTTTGAAGCAAACATGTCTAGAAAATAAAATTATGAATTATTTACATCCACAGTATAATATGGCCGAATTACAATGAAAACATTCTCTGTGATTCCAATGAAATTCTGTAGGCGTTGAGTCAAGATTAAACTAGGTTAGATTAAAGCGTACTCATTCTTACCAAGATCGACACATACCTGACTAAATGTAGGTTTGTTGTGAATTCGCGAACACCTGTCGCCGTGTCGGCAGGCACCAATTTTAAAGTAGAAAGAACAATTTACCCTGAAAATATAATAAGACATGAACAATATTCGGTTGCTCTGCTGTTCCTGAGTGTAAAAGCATTGCGATTTTTACTTACTTGTCTTTCTCGGTTCCGAAAATTGACGCTAAATATTCCGCCATAATATATGTCTGTGTTTGAGGTACTAAATTGCTTTAGTGTAAATTTGTTCAGAATTGTTGAAACTGTCGAAACTCACATAACAATGCACATCGTTATAAAGCATCATGCGCAGCCCGATAACAAAATGGCGGCTATGTCTGTTGATGACATCACAACGTATTCTACCGACGAAAGTTCAAACTTTGAAGAGTACTCGATCGGTAAGTATGAACTCAAGAATTATTACTTCAGTATTATCGACACAAGATATGCAATCCACACATGTAAATTGTATAAAAAATTCTTAAAATATCGTTTTTCAATATCAATTCAATATACAGTTATAAGATAAAAATATACACATATAAAATTTGTCATAAGTGGAAATTGGTCGTTCATAATAAATATTCTTCTATAATTTTATTATAAACGGACTTTGTGCATTACAAATTCGACCTTCATCATGATATAGAGTAACAGCACATACGCGAGGCGCAGCTTCTTCTTGCTCTTCTTTTTACACATCTTTGTCGCTTCTGTTAAATTATGATTTGTCATATTATAAACGATTCTCTTCGTCTCTATGTGATTATCATCACTTTAGTCCCTAGTTTTCCAATATCGCAGAAGAAATCATCCGAAAATCTTAAAATAGCGTCACCTCACTTGGTTACCCTTATCGTAAACATTTTATATAAATATACGCAATTATAATTTGAGTATTGAGATAATTACAAAGTAAAGTTGTACTAAAATTTAAATCACTTTCGGAATTCATTTGCTTTCCTTTTTTTTTTTTTGGATAGATCGATGGTTATGAGTCTTTTGCTCTTTTTGTACACAGTCTCTACACAATTAGAATCGCGCGAGATACAGATAAAAAGCACCTGTATTCACTTTCGTTTACAAGATGATTATTATACGATGAGAAGTGAGTGATATTTTGTGATACACGATATCTTGTAGATGTATAAGTATGATTATCAATTCAGCTAGTGAGTATCATATCAACAGTAATGCGATAACGTGAATCCTAGCAAATACCATACTACAGTTTGACCATTCAGGACATTCCATCGACCGTATGAGTACACACTACACTGAATACATACTGAAAAAGTAATAAAGGAGAAATAAATTCAAGTTACGACATAAATATCATTTCGGAAAGACATAAAAAATCTTGCGTGTAGCAATTCCTAAAATACAAATGCACCATTGCATACTTGTTGCGTGTCGACTACGTTAAGAAGACATCTCCTCTACACGAAGAAATGTGACATTTATACAATTATATTGTTGATAACAATAAATTTTATAATCGGTTAATCTACAATAAAAACACACATTAGAAACGATATATTACATACAATAAAAGAAAAATAAAATAAACTAAAAAAAGAAAAATCGAAATTCTTTAAATATGAACATATAATATCGACGAGCAAGAATTTGTGCCCTTTTTGAAATAATTTAAAAAAATGATTACTTGTGTAACATGTGACGCATCGAAAGCAAAAAAAAAAGATAACTTTCTCCTTTCGTTAGAAAGGAGACACCTTTGTACGATGTTACAGTTTGTCAAAACGCACAGCGTTAAAGGATCCGAGCTTTTCCATGTCTCGCTCTTGTAACCTCATCAATTTGAACGGTTATACTGCAGTTGAAGAAGAGTTGTCTCCAACGTTTTCTTCCCCCGGCACCAGCCTTATTCTAAGAATGTAATTTCGTTTTTATTCAAATGTACGTTCCGATTACCTACTCGTAGAACATCTCGGCTCATTTCCAGTTTGCAAAAATACCCGTGGCGCCTGGTGCATCATTACAGAGAAATACAAAATGAACAAAAAAAAAAAAAGAGAGAAAGAGACTGGAAAAAAGACAGAAAGCTTCGTGGAGTAAATTTGCTCCATGTATTGATGTTGTTGTAGGTTGTCACGGGACAAAAAGAGAATGTATTTCCACAGATCATAATCAGATGAAAGTACGGTACGGACTTATGACTAGCGTGAACTGGCTAAAAGATCGGAAAAATAAATCATTCGTGTGGCAGCTGCTTTCTTCTTTTTCCTTTCGTCTTCATTCAACATAAAACGATCCACAATGTGTTGTTCCGATATCGTTTGATGTGTAATACAAGTCGACGACAAAAATAAATATAAAATTTCGAATAGACAATCTGAGGAAATTCAACATTTTGGCTTTCTTTTTCTTTTTTTTTTATCGAGCAATAGTTGCTCGCGAACAACGCGTCGTTTGACGAAGCGTACGTTCTCACACATACACACCCCTCATGTTAATCACACACACACTCGCGTCTTGCATTTCGGAAGAGCGAGGATCACTACCGAATAAACGGTGATAGATCGGAATATTTTCATCACATGCATTTCCTTGATACTCTCTTGCGCTGTGAGCAAGTTACCGTTCATTGCCGCAAGTAAATACGCGATACAGTCGTAAATTTTCGAGATCGGTAATGAAAATATCATTTATTACCGCGGTCTGGTTCCAGAATGTGCGAGACAATTTCGTACAGACTCCAGAAGATAAGAAACAAGATAAGTTGTGCGATTTATGCATGAAAGAAAGTACACAATAGCTCTCACGAAGTAAATTCGCAGTTTCTATTCTCCCTTACGCATGGAGTTTTACAGCGGAATTCGCCTCGAACACTCCAGGTTACATATTGGACATCTCGAAATATTTTCGAATGAATATCGCCTCATTGTCACATCATCACTTATTTCAAACATGCGTATCAAGAAATTTGTTCGATGTAATATCCAATCTATGTGTATTTATTGTGTCAGCTGCTTTCGTCGCTAAATGTGTGCAATGATAAAAGATAAATGTATATTGTTCAAGAACTAAATAAAACATTATCTTCCTCCTTTCCTTTTCTTTCCTCCTTCAACGAAGCTAGTGAAAACGCAAGTTAACGCATTTAGCAATTCTCGTTCATGTACTTAACCCACTTATCTTTATAATGTATATATATATATATATATTTATACATATATTTTTACTGCTTTTCCATTATACGTCTCTCAACACCTTCGCAATTTTTCTTTTTATTCATATTTCTTCTTTTGTATTTTTTTTTCGTTTAACGCATTTTGCAAATATATATATATATGTGTATATATATGTATATATATATATATATATATATATATATATATACATACATATATATATACATACAGACCACCTTTAGCTGTATGTTAGTTATACTACCAGGTATGTTAACTATATAATGGACATTGTATCACATTAATTTCAATGTTTCTCGATTGGTGATTCGATAGCTGATTCTTCCGTTTCTCACAGCGCTTTTATCCCTCTCTTCCAATTTAGTAGTATATTCATCACTATTCGATCTTACCGCCGGAACGGGATTTAAATGTTGTCTCCTTTATAAAATATTCAAAGGTACGCGCGAATACTTTAAAATATGTGCATGTGTTTGTGTGTATGATGCGATGAGAACGTGAGCTGAGATTAACACAGTGAGATAATGGACTTACATTTCGCCAGTATGTACATCTCAGCGGGCGACACAAACGAAATATCTGAGAAAAATCAATTATGCGTGATGTGTGAATCGATGTTTGTACTCTCGGGCCAAACTTTGATCTTTGTACTGGAGGAGAAAACGAATCTTGCTGTTATTCACTGTACCAGATGGACATTCAACTGCTAGTTCCGCGTCCTGAAAGCAAAACGCAGTGTGAAAATGTGAGTATATTATTTTAGAGAGAAGAAATGCAACGATTCGTTACATATGTTGTAAAATAAGTACTCTCGATTAAGAATATGAAATACTAATAAAATGATTCACGAAAGCTTCTAACCTCAGAAATATAACGATGTCACAGATTAACGTCTCTTGTTCCCATGACGTCGAGTGAATTTACGGCTTTTCCTTGAAGAAACAAGATTCCATGTTATATAACTTAGATACAAGATACAAATCTCTGTAATAATAATAACAACAATTGAGTAATAACTGATACCTGATTCTGCTCGGAGAAGGAACCGGAGCATGTTCCGCGATGGCCGGCAACACGGATGTTAATTTATCAGTCGGGCGTAAAATGCGCGCCGTGCGCGACGACAGTCTCCAGATTAGCCTCTGCCTGTGAGGTGTTTGTTCTTGAGCGTTATACTTGCTCAGTATAGCGCCCACTGCTTCGTAAGTGGAGAAGAAACTTTCATCTGAAATCTAAATAACACGAAATATAAGTGAGATATGAGAATTTAACGAATGGATAATTTAAGCGTGATATCTGTGAATTTGTTCATTTCTTCATTACATAAGCGTACAACACACAAGCTGAAAAGTAATTTAGAGAGGCAAACAATAGAAAGACATTGTCGGAGTTTACTTTGCATATCTTCTTGAGCTCTGCAGCAAACTGTACGAGCGGTACTATCTGTTCCTGCGTGGCGGATGTATTGTGCGAGGATGAACCGTCGATCGGCGTCGCGGTGGTATCTGCGTTCGCGTCCAGTCGTTTAACTGCGGCGTCCAAGTACGTGCAGAGCAACACTAAAGCCACTTCGGATGGTCTGAGGCTGGCACAATTACCGTCGCAAACGACCATTTCCAGTCGCAGAAGCAGCTCGAATTCCTGAAAAAGACAACGATTCGATTAACGCTGCGGGGGAACTGAGCGAAAGCAATTTTAGTAGAGACACACTTTTAAGATCGCAAATAGTTAAGTAAGACCCGACAAATACTCGGCAGGTGTCTGACTCACCGTGACGATACTGGTGTATATATCACCGAGGCCTAGCTGCGACGCTACCGTGTGGAACATGTCGTTGAACAGACGCAGGAAGCTTAGCGCAGTGATGGGCTGAGTGCCGGGCGCCCATTCTAGCTTGTTCTGTATCAGTTCCGACATGCGCTTCAGATCGCCGCCGGTGCACTTACACTGGGAAATGGAGACCAAATGATCGGCGTCCAGAGACTGCGCCATTTGGACAGCGGCGATGTGAAATGCGGATACGCTGATGCAGGCCATGTGCTTCGGCTTCGCCTTCATCTTGCTCAAAAAGCGATCCATCAAATTGATGGCCATGAAGAAGACGTCCGATGATAAGTCGTACCACACTTTCAGGCATCTTAATACGTGAGCGGATCCGTCCCGAGCACCGATGGTTATCTCATCATTCTACAAAGTGTAAACACCGCTTAGTCGATAAGTAACTATTGTACGCTACTAATAGGTGGCTAAATATAAAGAAGCTCCGTTAAAATTGTTTCTATCAGGCTCCCAAATTGAGAGTATTATATTATATTAGGAACAACATTATCGAGTTATTTGTTGATGTTACCGGCCAAGAAATATTTCAAACATCTTATTTTAAATCTGGCTCTGCTTAATAATCATATCACACAACAGTACCGTGAGTGGCCGAATTTTACTCGTAAAGTCGTTCACTTTTCACCGAGATCGTTGCCGCGAAATTTTACAGTAATTTGCTTCGCTTCGAAGAGGGATTCACATATATATATATATATAGAGAGACCTCCATATCCCTTACCTGCGTCGTAGTAGGTAATTGATGGAGGTTCGGTTGGTATTTAACCTCCAGCAACAGGGCCTCATGCAGTTGTTCGAGCAGTGGGTGGATTGCATCCGGTACAGGCAAGCCCGATGTGTCCATTCCTGCAGTGTGTGACATCAACAGCTAACTACAACAACGGCCCAGCTACAATCTGATCACCAGGGGATGTGTAGTGTGGCTGACGAGAAGGAGTCACACAACAAGAATGACGCAGCTGGCTAGCCTTGTATCTGTAAACAACGAGAACACCCCACTTGAGGTAAGTTTCGCGCGTCCGCACACGCAAACACCGCTGGGGATATCTTTATTACGAACGAGGCAAAGATTATATGCTAACGACAAATAATAACATTGTTCCCGCACCCGCGAGTATCGCGTTTGTTTGCAGAGAATGTGCGTCACGTTGTGAGCGCACATTTAACACACGTTGAAAATTGCCGACGATCGAGAGCACGTTGTACTAATCGCGCCACCACCAAATTACGTTTAAGACATAATTAAGTATATTCAACAAAAAAGAAGTCGTTTGTACGGCCAACAGAGGGCCGACTTCGTCTTAGTAATTCGATCATCAGCTGAGCTCTCGTATATCCAATGGGAACCCAGTTGAAGTGTTAATGAGCGAAATGGAAAGACATCTCATTAAGTCGCCAGTGACCACCACGGAGTTCGCGACGTGTCGCAAACGAGTTTAACGCGTGGGATTTAAAAACCGATAGATCCCACAGTTCGTAGTTTCGCCTTTCGCGAAAATAAGATCCTTCTTCAACGTCGGAACCTGTCGCTGTGCCATGCGAATCTTCTCCACGAAAGCAATAACAATCACATTTATTAAAAACAAGTCCCGCACGCCTGGCAATTTGACATTATATACGGAGATCTCCGCCGTTTACGCCCACGTCACTGAAATAGCCGTGTCACGCGTGACCGGACTCGCGATTATGTAAGGCTGGCGCCTTTTTATTCTCCTGTTTTTCTTTTTTCTTTTTTTTTTATATTCCGCCAACGGTTTTTTTTCAACAACGACTTGTAATAGGTAACAGGAATGAAACGAAATACTATGTGGCTCGCGCATTGCGCGAGAGGACCCGCTTCAAGGATGCGCTATTCTGATATGCTTCGAAAAGACGCAAAAACCGCAGAGACGATCAAAGTGAAAGACAAGGAAAGAAGGAGAGAAACCGCATCATAGCTGAGATTAAAGCACTCGCTTTCGGAAGCGAGAGGACGAAAAGTACGTCGCGAAATGTTCGCAGGATATTCCGCGACTCTTGGAAGTACACAACTGATGCGTGAGATCGAGGGCCGGTCTGAAAATGAGGGGAATTACACGAGAAACGTTACGATACGACAAATTCGATTTGACAAACAGCGGTTTGCCGATACTGCGAGTTTTTATCTTACGAGACATTTCATGCAAGATAATACGCGATCAGAAACGCTCCTCTTCCTTTCTCAATTTTCACGTAATCCTAATCGATAAATCGAGCAAATGCCATCGTTTTGCAAATCACCGCCTTAAGCGAAGATAAAGTTATATCGAAAGTCAACGCGTCACCTGTCCGACCGGTCATTATTGCGTTTAATTGCCGCGTTGATGGAAAATTATAAAAATGTCAACATTGAGCGTTAAGCCCGTGTCACACTACGGATTGAAGATGAAGGATTGCGGATTGAAGATTGATATTTGACCAATCGGAATAAAGCAAATCGAAACCGAAGTTCGTTGATTCGTCGAAATCTAATCTCCAATCCGCAATCCTTGATCTTCAATCCGTAGTGTGACACGGGCTTTAGTCAGATAATTTGGCATCGCGACGACGATAAATGTATTCACTCGGCGGAGGTAAGATGAGATGACGTTTGTTTACGTCGAAATGTCCACATCGTGCAAGATCAGATCGAAAACAGATGGAGATTAAATCGCCAGGTAAACAAGAGAACAGCAGCCAACAGAAATTGAAGCCTGGTACGTCAAGCAAGTTCCTCAAGTATCATCTCTTATCTGATATCACGGTAAACATTAATGCTGACGTGCGGTCTCGCGGCTTCCGATTAAAGAGACGGGAAAAAATCTTTAATATGATACACGATATCGAGGCACATCAGCCTCGTTTATAAACAAAACAGCGGCGAAAGAATACCCGCACGAAGAAACGCAGTTTCTTCGAGTACCGTGATTGATTAAAATTCGACCTTTGACGAAGTGGCTATGAAACAAAAAGATAATCGGCGATTTGACCTTGAATAAAAGCCACGGAAAGTGACGGCGACTCCTTTCGAATATCCATCGAACTGTGATCTCTTCGCGTCTGTCGAATAATCCTTTATCAATTTTCAAAGTGAGAATTAGTCGACCGTCGATTATTCGTTAAGAGTCAAAAGCAGCAACAATGTCAGGAATTGCACTGCTCAAACGGCGTCATCGACCACTAATACGAGAAGACACTGGGCCGATCAAGAAGATTGGGACATTCGTGGGACCAAGTTTCGTCGGAAAAAATTAGTACATCGAGCCATCGCGAAAAATTGATTCTCCGGAGCGCGATTTGACGTTGTTAAGCCAACACAATCCACGCGTTCTAAAATAAGAAACGGAATGCTTTTTTTTTATGACACAACTCTATCGCGTCCTTCGATTCGCGAAACGCAAAGCGCACGTCTCCGCGAGGACGTTTTCCAACCGATGCGCGAGCCTGGTGCGTATGCACGTTCTGACGCAACATCGGGCTATCCTCTTCTCTCGTAAGAATTCACGTTGCAAAATTTCTACGCAGGCGTCATCCATTCTTATAATAACATCTTGGAAGATATATACATACGTACATACAAATATTACAAAATATATGGAGAAATAAAGATGCGAGACTGATAAACGCAGGGGACAGTGTTTGTTGCAGCGAAATACATAGAGAAATGAGGTGTGAAAGAAAATTGATTGACATGACGAGACATTTTTGTTACAAAATACGATAAACGCGAGGTCCACTTGAAATCTTCACTGATCTTACTTATCTGTTTTTTCGATACCCGCTCGCGTCTCAACCTTAGCAACTTTGCATCGGCCTTGTTACTGAGAGAGAACTGAGGACAGTCTCTCATGAAAGATCGGAAGGAGCGTCTTATCCGGTGCATCAGGTGCGTCATCGTTATCTATCACGACTCGACCTCCCTGCTCCGAGACTTCTCGGCGCAAATCAAACGTCCTCAACCGGGGAAAACGCAAAATCATCAATACCGCGCGAGAATGGTAAGATAAAAAAATAAAGATCAGTCGCTGGCGCGTCTTTGTAATACGACTCTGTTCGTCGAAATATTTTGCGATATCGATCGTGGCGAGTCTCCAGGAGCGATAAACTCTAGATGGAGTGAGTCACACCGAACTCTGTGATCCGGAACGGTCCTCCACCTTTCGAAGGTGAATTAAATGAAAATCGTCAAATGGGCTAACTAATATTGACCAGTGGAAGAAAGATGGCAAGGAACAGACATATATAAAGTGACGTCTCCTGCAAAAAAAATTTGACGATCTCACAAACTAAAACAGAGTCGTTGCCTCCGACGATCGAGCGTCGATAGAGATCTCCCATGTAAAAATAACAAACATCATGCACACGGCGTATCTCGCATAAAATCTTTTCCAGGCGAAAACGGGGCCCGAGGCCGTACAATTAAATTACGGTTATTAAACCGCGGGCTCGTCGGCGGGAAAGCAACGGCATTAACAATGCGGCAACATTTTCCGCGATTCGTTTCCCAAGAGAACGCGTAAACGCGAGGTAAACTACTTACTGGCGAAGAGGGGGGGGGGGGGGGGGAGAAACAGCCGTGCTGCATATATCACAAAAGTACGTGGCCTCGCGTCCGTCGTCGAACAAAGACGGCGATGTGTGAGTATTTATGCGTGCATATGAGAATGTGTGTGTGTGTGTGTGTGTGTGTGTGTGTGTGTGTGTGGATGCAAGTCACACTGATTAAGGCACTACTGATGAGTTTTCGGCTGACGTAACAAAACGAAAACTGTCAAAATTCAAAGCGTCCGTTGCGGATGGCACTATCACGCACTGACGAAATGTCGATTGTCATTGAGCGCTCGTGTTTATAAATATACGTTATTTTCTAAATCCTACGTCAGTCTCAAAGGTTACGGTGTTTGATCATTCAGTTCTCTCCTTTCTTTTTCCCCTCAGGGAATGTTGTACAGTTTTATATAGCTCAACGGGGGTCTGTATGCGTTCGTGTGTATTGTGCGTGATAACGTTGGTAATCCGAAGAAGGGGGGTTATGCGTTCAACGGAAATGTTCTTTGTCGCGATGTATATTGTGTGTATGTGCGTCAAATTTAACGGTTACGCGTGCGGTTGTGCTCAGTCTTCGAAATTTCTTTCGAAAAAAATGCGCGCGAGATGAAAAAGTGCCTGCACTTTTCACGTCGAATCTCCGCAGGAGCAGAGAGACGCGCGTAAACGCGAAACCTATCTTCCCGCCTGTCAAACTGTAACTGATTCGTGACTTCGTGAAGTACGCCGCTTATAGTATGGCCGACGCGGCGAACAACGGCCGCTTCGTCGGGAACGGCCGAGTACGCGCGAAAACCGCCGAATTTGTCAGGGACGAGAATCACGAACGAATGCCCCACGAGGTTAGAACGTAGCGGTTTTCTATGTGGGAACTGCTGCAGCAATATTGAAAGAGTTGATCGAACGAACGAGCGAGTTTTTGCGTCATGCGCCAAATTTAATTTAATTAATCATTTCGATTGATAGCCTAGAGGTTTAGGTAGAGAGGTTTACCGCGAATTAACGTTGATTACGTCAGCTTGTTACATTGGGTATTAGCCATACGACCGGTTTTTTAATAAATACAATTAATTACACTTGATACGTACTTAGTGAAACGAGATAACGCCATAGTGCTAATCATCGTTGATTGTCAATAGCATTCAACGTGTTTATCAATTGATGCATAGAAAGCGTCAACATGAGCTTCTCTAGTTTTGATTCAAACCATTATGACGACACACGTTCGATCGTAAAACACCTCAACCGAAACCGAGAGCTACTACAGACACGTGACTCTTCCACAAGGATAAATTATTAAAATTAAGATAAAATAAGACAACTTAACTTGTACATACGTTAATAGGTCTCCATTTTGAACATGGCATGACGAATAGTAGACGAAATCGTAATAGTTTCACCACAGACCGCGAAAATGATAGATGATGCAATCGGTTGCTCGCGACTAAATACCATAGTTATGGCGATTGTAGCCTTAACATTAATCACGGATTAGAAATCGACCCATATTTTAAGTCGAAGTTAGTGTCACGCTTTTCGCATTCGATTCCGAATCAATATATCGAGTTGCATCGATAAAATTTTATCGTTTCGGGTAATAAACACGTGTCATTTATGAAATACGTGACATCTTGAAATGTATAATTTAACGATGAGTGCAGGAGGGGGAGAAGACGGAAAGAGACGCGATACTTAAAGCTCATATCTCTCTTATGTGTCGCGGATAAAGCGACCATCTAGAATATTCCAGAATATGTGCGTTGCAGAAGAAAAGTGACGCTGTTATACACCAATAGAGTTTTACAACAGTAGAAAAGAAAGAAAAACTGAAACAACATGTAAAACATGTCAAAATATTGTGAAATATAAAATATTGAAATGCGATATGCAATTTAATGTTACAATCGGCCTCACTTTTTCGTAAACATTTTTGTGACAAATGTGAATTTTCATTGTCACGTCAATATCGCGTACATGCTGCACATACATCGCGATGATATTTTTCACTCACTTTGCCCAAACGAGATACTTTGTGTCGCTTAAAGTTAAAGGTTGCGTCATCATCGTGTGCATCGCAGAGTTCAACGCACTTTGCGCGAGCCGACGTAAATGTTTATCGATCTTCGCATGTTACATATGTCGGAAAGACGTAACACGCGCGCCACAACTAAATGTCGACAGCGACAGTCGAGAATTCGATAATTTTGAAAATGATTTCCCGTCAAAGTAATTTATATCAACTCGTGTTTCTCGCGATGGCTCATACTGTATGTACTTGTAGGTAACATAGAATTTCACGGCGATAACTTCAGCGCGTAATACGCTTATAAATTATAATATTTATAAATATCGTGCAAGGTTGTGCAACGGAAAATTGACCTATGTAAATTTCGATAAAGTGCGGTCATAATAGGATAAAAATTTTCCTCAGAAATTACATTGTGTGTAATTATCGACGAAATAGCGATAATTGCACTAACAATACTTATACGCGATAACAAAGTAACCGGTGTGTGTAACGCGAAAGTTATATAACGATAAAATATAATTAGAAAACCATAATAGGAAACACGTACGATATGATCATTGACACCGTGACACCGTTACGACGGTTCGTTTCGCAATTATCGAGGAAGAATGACTATAAATTATATTATCGGAAAGAGACTCGGTCTTCATATCTCATGGACAAGCGTAAGTCATTGTCCATGAATGTACATAAATATCGCTGAATTCAATGTCAATCAACACGCAGTAATCATCGCATTTGTGAGAGGAAGCGCAACAATTAATGGCAAAAGTAACAAGTTGCAAAAAAACAAATTTTGTCACGTCCTCAAGTAATATTTTTAACTTGATGCTAGTCATCGTATACGTATCGTACATATTTACGCGCACCGATTATTTATTCTCCTTCCCCCTTTTCTCTTCGTCTTTTTCGACCTTTCCTTCTTACACTCTCTCGTGGACAAACATACTCCCTCCCTCTCTTACGCTCTCTCTCGCGTCCGCTCTTGAATTTCGAATTGCGTCGTAGAGATATAACAGGTCCGTTGGTTACGCCTTCTGCGTTTAATTTTCTCGCTCGTAGACACGATAAATTTCGCTTCTTTATGTAATATTTTAAGATATAATGCGAAAATAAAGAGAGTAAAAAACGATAAAAATGAAATATCTGAAATTTATTCCAAAAGCATGGAATTAAATCATTACAGTGATAATACTTTGTTTCTCCTAGCAATCTCGCAAGTGCAGAAAGTGCAAGATCGTGCAATTGAAACGAGCAGTTTCATTGTTACAGCACTTGCTTGTGCGTTGTTCTCATTGTCGGTTACTGTCCGTTACTGTCGTTCAATCCTTCCAAAGTTCAGATAGATTTTCTAGCGATTTAGATTCTTTGCCACAAATTAAAATTTTCGTCGCCTTACCGAAATTAATATTACTTTCGTACATTGTTTTCGTTAGATTTAGCGCACATCTAAATGAATCAACATGATTTGGATGGTTATTCAAACTATTGTCACAAAATGCTAGGGGAAAAACGCAACAACAATTTATATAATATGATTCTTCAAGTACAATGACCCGCGTAGACTTAACTTCGTAAACGTTAAAAGAAATCAAGTGCTCGACTATGGCTGGCATGATTAAACAAAAGTCAAGGACACTTTAAAAGCCGATTATTTCAATCGCATCGAATCACCTTTTCTACATTACGATTGATAAAACATGTTAAAATATCAAAAAAAGGAAACATCACAAGTACAAAATGTGTAATATGACAAATAATTTCGAAGTAATAGGCCGAAATGTTCGACAGACTTTTCTAAGACCGACGTTTTTTCCAATTAATCGCCATTTTGACGATGCGACGTGCAAAACACAAGGAAATTGATGACGGAAACTCACCCGGATGCGTCCGAAACGCCTTTATTTCAGCGAATCACCCAATCTTGGCCCTGTGTCTTTATCGTCGGTCCGGGAAGAAAAACAGAACACGTAATAACTACATGGACTGACAATTGGTCGAATAAGAAATGGCTTCCTCCTTTCTCCCTCTCCAATTCTTGTTATTGCGTCGATTCAGCTGATCATAGCTGTCATATGCGCATGTGCGTCCGAAAGTAGTTCCCTGGCGGCAATTTCAAATCTGTCAACACATCGAACGTCTCAAAAAAAAATTTGATATTATTTTACAAACGCTAAATCGTAATTGTAAAATAAATTATCATGTTACAAATCGTTACAATGAAGACTCTTAAAATATAATTGTGAGTTTAAAAAATCATAAATTATGTAATTTAAAACATATATACTATAGAAACAAGCGTTTTATTCTATTGTAAAAGGCGAGAGATAAGAGTTTTTTATTAAGTCGCCGTATAATAAAAATTGCGGCTATCTTATGCGAAAATATACTTTATTTCATTGATAAATAAGGTAATTTATTTTTCATCATTCATCGTTGTTAGGAATACTCACGTTTTCTTACTTCTTTAATGAAAAAATTATAAATTTCCCTGCTGTTGCTTTGGACAATGCAAAAAATATGCTGTCTTTTCTCTATGCCAATTGCACCAACAGTCTTGATTATCTAACTTCACAATCGGAACTCGTGCTAAAATTATAGCCTACAATGATTTGCTATGTATTATAGCTCTAATTGTATATAATCTAAGTCAGAGCTTGGCAAAATCTGCATATTTTCATTTCGCTCCGCCTACTGTTATTTCATCATTAACATCGACCGATGATGCAATTGGTTCCTAATATCGCATTTTTCTACATTTGCATACGCCTATTGCACACTTTTATGATTACATGGAAAATGATCCAACTCCAGTGATTCATTTTCTCTTTCCTTCTCTAACTGCTTGACAATCTTCTCCAGAGCAAATAGATGCTCATCCTGCACACCAGGGGCTATCATACGCATCGCAGATGCCAATTTGTAAAGGTATTCCACATTAGAGCCACTGATACCACGCGAAACAAGTATGTGTCTCGCGATGGTGTCTATATTTTCCGTACCAGCATAGTTTGGATTCTTTTCATCGCCTATATATATGGTGAGGTAGAATGGTGCTTCTTCCGTGGTGGTCGACAAAGACATCGATAAGAGATTCATTTTTGATGGATCATTTGACTCATCGGCATTTGAGCTACTTTGGATATACTTAGATGGATTGCAAGGATAGAAAAGGACAGTTTTTTTCTCATAACCACCTTTCTCTCGAAAATCCAAATGATTCACCACGTTATCTATGTTCTCGGAGGATATCTTATACGCGAGTCCCCATACTTCGTTCTCAGGATTTTTAGAGGCAAGCAATGTCACCACACGTCCAGGCTGAAAAAGTGCAGATTATATTTGACACGACGAGAGAAAATAATTGATAGTTTGTAAATGCGTTCTTCCTCGAGCGTAAACAGTTCGTAAGCAAAAGAGAGAGAGTAGATAAAGTACGGTTATGTTGTTATGATTATTGCGAATAAATTACGAAATCCTGATAGAAGATACACTGTGAGAAATTAAGAAGAAAGGACCAAGACCAATTTGACAAATCTGTGCTTTTCTCGGGAAAACGTACCTTATTGGGCACTCCTCTGTGATCGGGACTTTTTTGATAGAAACGTCTGACGTATCCCTTGATGCGACCGACTACCTTCTTCTCGTATGGAAAATCCGCTTTCCATATCAGGGAACCATAACCAAACACCCACATGCTCTTTCGTTCGAGCAAAGCTCGTCGTACAATTTCACTGTTGTCGACAATGTGAGTGACTAATTATGTCGTGTGTAAAAGTAGATTTCATCTATTGCCTCTGATAAGATTGTCTACCGATGCCACAGCATAATTTACAGGAAGATCCACTCCAAAATTATGACCCATGTTACGTCTGACACATCCGTTCGGCCGCACGAACATAACCTCTTCTCGACCGAAGGCACATAACAATTGGTCTGTTCTTTGTAGCTGCATGTTGAACTGGTGCAATAAGTTAAAGTGAGACAAATATAGGTTTTCTCATTCTAACTTATTGCACCAGTTCAGCAGTGCAGCTACAAAGAACAGACCAAATAACATATATACGACGCAAAGTAGAAGGAACGCAGTTTGAAAGGTCGACGCGTAAATGATTTATGACAGATGTAGCGATAACGCTAAATATTTGGATATATTTGTATAAAATGAATTAATATACATATGGTAGGAGAAATGATTTCCAAATTGTTACGCACAAACGTCCTAGCTATTCGATGCGTAGGTGATCTTGTGCTTATAGGTTAGTTAATTCTGAATAAGACTGAATATATCATTGATCATTAGAATATTTTAGAAGGCGATTCTTTGTTAATTAGGCATGGGATCTACGCTCTACGTCTTTGACAGGGATTCTTACCAACTACAAAGTAAATTAAATTGTTTGTATCCAAGTAATATACATGGAATTGTCGTGGGACCAAACAATATATTGGCTGTATTTGGTGCTAAATCTATATGTGTCTGTGATGTTATTAAGCAAGAAGAAGTAGTAACGTAAATATATTCAAGAAAAATATAACCCTATAATTTCATATATGTATATGTGCAACATATAATAATATTCTCTGTTACAGATGTAAGAAACAAAGTAACAACAAATTTAACGATTGGATAATTGCTTTACAATGGATATCAGTTAAGAAACAACAACAACTGGCAATTTTGTTTGCTCATAATTATGTATCTATATATAACATGTCTGAAAGTTCCTCTGAAATTATATGCTGCGAGGAGAAGTGTATACTGTATCCTATTGCATGATAGCTGCTTTAAAAAATATTGTTTGCAAACTTACAATTTTCTTAATTAATACATAGTTATGGTGGGTCTATGTCAGGAACATTTCAAGAAGATTTGGTAATTTTTAGCGGAACAGTATTTCAGGAAATTTTAATATGGAAAATAGACGATAATCTTGATAGTAATAAAAGTGTGCCAGTTTTGCATCGCTTAATAGGACACAAGGTCAGTATTTATTTCTAAAAGAATTGTATTTTTGCAGAAATATTTAAATAAAGATCTCACATGATACATACACACACACACACACACATATGTATATACATATATGCATTTATTTCAGGGTGTGATATTTTCTGTTATTTTTGATCCATATTCTCATCTTATTTGCTCCACATCTGATGATAGGACAGTCAGATTATGGAAAGTAATTGAGAGTGAGAGTTGTGAGAGTAATAATATAAATTGGCAGGCAGCAACAGTAGTGTTGGTGAAAACAATGTATGCACATACAGCAAGAGTTTGGAGAGCTATAATCAGGAATGACATTGTTATAACAATAGGCGAGGTAAGATTTAAGTTATATAAGAATTACAAGTTTTCTTCCATGTATTGATCTTTTATCATTTCAGGATTCACTCGTATGCACTTGGTCGCTCTCAGGTAATTTACTTAATAAAGTTTATGCCCATCATGGAGCCCCCATATGGAGTATTGACATGTGTAAAGACAATAAAAATATATTCACGGGTGGAGCTGATGGAGCTGTGTGTGTGTGGCCATCTACATGCTGTACCAACAATCCGAAAATAATCTCTCTACCTAATGACAATATGCACAATATTCCTAAATATGTATCATATTTAAATAGTGGCACAATTTTGATCTTTAATGAAAAGGGGACCTTATTTTGCTATAACAAAAATGAAACTATATCAAAGGACTCTTTGTATCTAGACAGATATTGTAGTTATTGCATCATGCAAGTATCTCCGTGCCGGTTTTTTGTTGCTTTCGCATCTAGAGATGGATACGTGACGTTATACAAAGGTAAGGACTTATATATAACATCATCTTTATATAAAAATTATCTATAAAAATGTGTATGTATTTTATTCGTTGAATCTCTAATTATATCTCATTTGCTAATGTCACTCAATCCAAGTATACTTTTAGAGATTATTAATACAAATACCAAGCATCTACATCAGGTTCTCGAAGAAAGAATAATGGAATCACAAATCTTTTCTTTGCAGTGGTTGAGAGATGACACACTAATAGTGTGTGGTGCGAATGGTCTTCTAAAAATATTTCATTTTACAATCAATGGTGTGTATAATACATACCTTTATACTGTAATTTTACAATACGTATTTTATTACTATTATTTGGAAATTTTATTCAGGTGCGACTCACGTAGAGGCACAATGCACGTTACCTCCTAGTCGAGAACGTTGGCTGACTGCAGCCACAATTTACGAAGAATTATTAGTATGCGGGGACAGAGCTGGAAACGTATATATATTCGAAATAAAGAACGGAAGCGAGGGTTTAGTCAAGAAACCTAGTCAGACACTTATTAAAGTCCACGGTAAAATAGGAATCCAGTCTTTCGACGTGCTGGAAGGCAAGTTGATGACGGCTGGACGCGATGGGATGTTGAGATTTTATGAATTAAATAAAGAGAACAGAAACTCCTTGCTGACGTTGCATAGGAAAAAAATGCCAATGGACTGGATCAGTGGCACGTTAAAAGTAGATGGGGCTTTACTCGTGTTTGGTTTCAAAGAAGTACATAGATTAGTGTTATTCGATCGCGCACAATATAAAACGAGACTGAAAAAAAACTTTTATCTTTTTCGTGATAATTATTTCAGGTGGAATTCATAATTTACAACTTGCAGCAGGAGAGGTTGTTGATCAGAGTATCTTGTGGCGGTGGCCATAGATCGTGGGATTGTGTGATGCTGAATAAAATGGCCAGTTTTGCATACATACGAAATAAGCAGGTCTACGTGTTCAATTATCCTCTGAGATCGTTAAAACTGCCGATTTTGCAAGTACGTTGGATCAATTTATCGAGCGAATAACAACTGCACAAACCTCCGGACTGCTGTTTTGCTTTCTAGAATGGTTTTCACGTTAAGGAAACTTGCTGCCTTCAACGAATCTCGAGTCTGCATGCGCAGGATATCTTTGTGTCCGGCGGTGAGGATTGCACTCTTCGCGTTAGCTGCATCTTCCAAATATCTCGAAGTGATTCCTGTACCTTTCACAATTTGGGAGTTTTCGACGGTCATCTTTCAGGTGTAAAATGTATAAGCGCTGTCAAGTTGAACCATGAAGTCGATAAGTCGAGCAGCAGACATTTGGTGTTTTCCGGTGGAGGAAGAGCGCAACTGAAGGTTTGGCAGATGAATCTCAAATATAACGAAAAAGCACCACCGAGCGTAGAACTGTCGTGTTTTGATGTAAAGTCCCATATGCTCTACGGACAAGACCAATATCGTAAGAAATCTTGGCAAGAGACCGAGCAGTCTTACATCGTAGAACCGGAGACGCGTTACATGGATATTTATGCGTACTATCCGTCCGAGGGTCCGAAATATGTATTGATATTTGTGGCATGTGCAGATGGATACCTAAGGTAACTTAATCGGTTACTTATCAAATATTGCACAACGAACGAGATTATTAAAATAACATTTCTTCCTTTCGAACAGGATATTCATATATGACATTGAAACCAGTGATATATACTTGAAAGTATCTACTAAATATGTGGATCGATGTATCTTGAAGATGCACGTTTTTTCATACGAATGTAAAATAATCGTATTGACAATGACCACTGATGGATTGCTACGTTTCTTCGACTTCACCGATGTAATTGCAAGAATATACGAAGACGCGAATATGGGGAATCAGAATATTGTAAATTTCAATGATGCACCTTTCGCAGAACTTAGCTTACATCAGTCAGGAATCAATTCTTACGATTTAAAATCCACGGAGGGCAACAGGTATCTCTTAACCACCGGTGGCGACGACAACCTCCTCAATCTTCTTTGCTTTCAAATTTCGGAAACTGATGAAATATTGTCAGTTGTAATATTATCTAAATGGAGCACAATGTCGATACACTGTGCACAAATCGCAGGTGTGTAACATTGAAACGATATTTTTTAAGCAAAGAATATTAAATGTACTTTGAAAGTGTCGATTGATCGTGAAAACTAATAATGACGTTAACGGTCAACAGGTTTAAAATTTAAAGGTAAAGATCAAATATGCAGTGTGGGCACAGATCAGCAAGTTACCATCTACAGTTATTCGTGGTCCTCCAATGGGGCTTTGTCTGCAAAAGTTCTCTCTGAAGTATTTACATCCGTTACTGATGTGCAAGGCATGGACTTGTGGTCTCATGACAAGTAAGATACGATCATACGTTTAATATTATTTAATATAAAAATTTTGTTAAAATAATGTGAATGTTCTGTTAACAGCAATGGCGATATCGTGTGTATATATGGAAGAGGTTTCGAAATACTGCCTGCTTGAAACATATACCTCGCAAAAACATTACTTAAGTAAACAAAACAACACACACATGACATTTATATTGTTTAAAAGCACAAACTTCCTCTCTTAATTTATATATAATTTATATTTAATTTTGATTCTCAACAGATGAATAAATTTGTGCATATGTATTGTATAAATTTGTGCAATAGTATATCAGAACCAAACAGAAAATTTAAAATTTCTTCTCTGAAATGCATGTTATTTTTAATAAAGGTAAATTTTGAATAAAAAAATTAAAGATGAAATAATGAAAATATTAAAATGTGATTAGTCGTCATTTCTTATTTGATTGAATATATAATAAGCAATATGTATTTAAGCAATATGTATTTCTATAGAAGCCACACTAGAGACCTCTCGCGGAGACCCGCGAACTAGGCAAAATTATACTACAAATTATGAATAAAATACGGAGAGAATCACCTTATATGTATGATATTTGCAATCAGGAGAAACATCCGCAGGGTCATACAGAGCGTTTTTTTGAAAAAAAAGTCGAAATAAAAATCGATTAAATAATTTGAACGAACGTTCATCCCGCGGTGCAACACGAGCCTATATTTTCATTTATTACAAATTTTCAAGAACCTAAATGCAAAATCGGGCTCTGTACGACCCTAGATGCTAATATAAGGAAGATGCGCCCATATAAGTCTGATAAGCGAATATAATGTATGCGTGACAAAATCTGTAGGTGTAGATGACACGGAAAGTGTAGCCCAGTTGCACTATAGTGCAGTCTATGTGACCTAACCTTCCTGTCTTGCGTTCGCGCGAGCAATGCATTAGTATTAGCGTATATATGAGCAGTGCATAAGTATCGCCTTGTGTATGAATACCTTCCAGCTTCCACTTTAAAACATAAGATATTTTGCCACGTTGACAATATATGTAACCACCAAATTGATATGGAATATTCCTTGAACTATTATCGAAGTCCCTACAGAGCCAGATTTTGCAATCCACCCGTCCATAATTTCTGAAAAATAAATGAAGCGTCCGCCATACCAAGCATCGCAGCGAATTACTCGAAAAATTATTTACGAAATGCAAAATTTCGCCTCGTTGACGATACGTATAATTGCTAAATTGTTACAGCATCTTTCTTGAACTATCCCTGAGGAACTTACACAGCCAGATTTTACAATCCGGCCGTCAAAAATTTATAATATATAAATAAAGCATCAGTCGAACCAGGAGTTGCAGCGAGTCAGGTGGAATACCATTTTACAAGAAACAATATTTTGCTTTGTTGACGTAATATATGACCATGAACTTGTTATAGCATCTTCCTACAATTATTCCCGAGATCTCTACAGAGTTAAATTTTACAAACAGGCCGTCAATAATTTATTATACACAAATAAAGCGTTAGCTGTGCCAAATATCGCAGCGAGTCAGGCGGAATACAATTTTACAAGAACAAATATATTGTCTCGTTGACATATTACATATTATATCAGTGAAATAATATATCTCATTTCAAAATGGTATTGTATGTGATCCGCTCCGACGCTTCATACATCTTTATTTATTTATGATACATTTTTCACGGCCTGACTGCAAAATCTGGTTCTGTAGGTTTTTCGGGGATAGTTCAAAGAAGATGCTATAACAATTTGGCGGTGAAATATATCGTCAACGAGGTGAAATTTTGCATCTCCTACAATGATTTTTCGACTGATTCGTTCCAACGCCTGGTACGACGGACGCTTTATTTAAATATATATTATAAATTTTTTACGACCGGATTGCAAAATCCGGCTTTGCACCGATCTCGGGAATAGTACGAAGAAGATGCTGCAACAATTTGATAATAATACGTATCATCAAAGAGACGAAATATTGCATCTCGTAAAATGATATTTCGAGTGACTCGCAGCGACGCTTGGTACAGCGGACGCTTTATTAATATATGGTAAATTTTGACGGCCGGATTGCAAAATCTGGCTCTGTAGGGTTCTCAGAGATAGTTCAAGCAAGATATCATAATAATTTGGCGGTGATGTATAACGTCAGCTAGACAAAATAGGTCAATTTGTAAAATAGTGTTGCACGTAAGTCGCTGCGACACTTGGCTCGCTCGCCCTGGACAAAAACCTGGAAAGCATTTTCTCGCCATGTATCGGCCGGCGAAATGCTCGAGTAAGACAAGAACAGCACGATCGATTGTTCGTCCTTGTCAAACTGACTTGACCCAACCTTCCTGTTTTTGCGTTCGCGCGCACGGTATTGATTCGCGATCTCGCCGCACGAGGTCTCCAAAGTCAACGCTGGATTTGTCTTTGGCTCCTGCAGATCCTTATACCTCTTCTACAATAGAAGTCATAAGGCTCGTCTACAATAGCTGTAAGAGTAAGGCTGTAACGTAAGCTGTCAGCGAATGAAAATATTTCATTTCATGCCTTGCAACCTTACAGCCTTACTCTTACAGCTAATGTAGACGAGCCTATAGAGTCGTAAGTCGTACAAATTGACCAATCGCAGTCGATTATTTTTCTCTTACCGGACTATGATTGGTCAATTTCTACGACTACGATTCTATAGGCTCGTCTACATTAGCTGTAAGAGTAAGACTGTAAGGTTGCAAGACACGAAATGAAATATTTTCATTCGCTGACAGCTTACGTTACAGCCTTACAGCCTTACTCTTACAGCTATTGTAGACGAGCCTTACGACTTCTATTGTAGACGAGGTATAAGTGTGTATGGTGGCGGCTCGTAACGGAGATTCGGGAAAGTAACTCGCGAAAATAACGGGTCTTAATTGCCTGACCCTTTATTTGCTCTTACGATGACGAGCCCGATTAGAAGAAATCATCTGATCGCTTTGTTCCGCCGAACGCAATCATTTTGACAGCACAATACTTCGAGCGATGTTGTAACGTTGTTTTGATAACGCGATTGTGAAGATAGCTCGACTTATAGAGCAATTATCGAAAAATGTCAAGCATCACGATATCAGCTATAAGACCACGCACGAGCATTCTCGACAAATCATTGAGCAAAGGTAAAGGAGAGGTTAGCTTGAGCTGTTTCGCCCTCCTGTTTTCTGAACTTGTGCAATATTGTCAGAACAGAGTTTACACCGTTCCGGAGCTACAAAATAAGTAAGAAAAACGAATAAATTGTTAAATCCATCACTCTTGCTCGCTTCGTGATTCTCATGTTCATTACTATTAGACTGGCGGAAATTGGAGCAGAAGTTGGGCACAGGATAACGGATCTGCTCGTTGTTCGAGAAAAAAGCGGCAAGCGCGAAATAAAACTGCTAAATGTGCTGTTATTCATCAAGAGTACCATATGGAAGTCCTTATTTGGTCGTGAAGCTGACAAATTGGAACATGCTAATGATGATGAACGTACTTATTACATCATTGAGAAGGAATCATTGGTAAACAAATTCGTGTCGGTGCCAAAAGATAAGGGAAGCTTGAATTGCGCCTCGTTTGTTGCTGGTATCGTCGAGGCAGTGCTCTATGATTGTGGTTTTGTAAGTGGTTTCAATTACAAGTTTTAAGATAAGCAGAATTATTTCAAAGATTTATATTATGCTTTTGTAATTTTTTATATCATTTTGTACAATGGAAAAATTTAAGGAACACTTTTTACCACAGCCTGCAAAAGTCACTGCTCATTGGCATAAAGGGACTACATATATGGTTAAATTTGATGATGCTGTTGTTGCACGAGATAAACAACTGGAAGATAGATAATACAAATATATAAGAGAAAATTGTTTGCATCAAAAGAAGATACATATTATATGTACATGCAAGCTATATTTTCAGCTGTGAGATTATATTACCATTTTTGTGTATGATATGTTTAAAGGTTTTGATCCATCAGTTTTTGTAATTAATTGTTAACAATGATAATCAATATATTTGGTTTTGTCATTCTACTTAATAATATACCCAACATTAGTTTCAGTAATTTATTTTGCCAGCATAATTTAATATTTAGTAAAACACATTGTGATTGTGCTTATATGCTACTAAAAGATAATCAGTTTATACAAATTTATCTATTCTATCAGCATAACTGACTTGCCCAGTACGAATACTGTGTTCCTTCTTTCCCTGTGACAAGTGAAAAATATGTCTTAATATTATAATATACAATATAACATATAGTATTAATATTCTTTACAACATATTTATTAAAATCCAGCTTACTCTTGTTTTCTCTAGTCCAATATAAGTTGAAGCAACTAGAGTAACACTTAACCCAATATAAACCATAAATTTTGTTACTGAAGGAATAAAATATTTCATTACTGTTGCATTTGCTGATGAAAATCTGTATATTCCTGTGTCACACTGTATACATAGAATAGTAATACATAGAATAGTAATATTATCCAAATCAAAACAATAACATTTAAGTATGAAAGATATCATTTGGCTAATTATATATGATGAAAAAAATGTCTCTAGTTATTTAATTGAAGCATAGCAAAGATGTTTGTATTATGTTTGATATTCTCTTTCTGAACCTGTTACATAATTCAATAATTCTAAACGAATAAAACATTTAAAAACAGCCAAAGTAAAAATAATGATATATTTACACACTTATAAATGTTATAGAGAGATGTTTCTAGTTTGTCATTGTTGTTACGATTGCAATAAGCAAAATTTTCATTTGATTTTAAATACATAAACCAGTCATATACTTTAAAATAAGGATATTGCGTTTAAAATCAAAGACACATAAGTACAAATTGTACAAACGAATAATAGCAAACAGTGAAATGTTTCAATAGCAAAGTAATCGAAAATATCGCACATTTTAAGCAAGATATCGTTACGTTTCATTGTAATATAAGTTAAGTTAGGTTAGATTTATGTAGGTACATACAAGAAGGCTTTTGGTCGGGTGACTCGAATCTCTCAAATACATTTCACGCAATTTCTTTCGTTTTGCGTCTCTCCAATGCATAATTTTTTCTTGTTCCGCCGTAACATTATATACATTTCTCCCGGACATAATTTTTGTCAATCTCGACGTCTTACCGTTCTTTTAACTCGCTATTGTTAAGGCCATCACACACAAATGAACTTAAGCAGTAAGACATAAGCAGTAAGCAAATCGACCAATCACAATCGAAATTTAAGGACGCCATTTTTAAACTTACGAGAATAATTGATTGTGATTGGTCAGTTCCTTTACGCTTATGCTTACTATTTACGTTTATTTAAAGGTCATTCTACAATGAGGTTGTAGTAGTATGCAGTAGGCAAATTGACCAATCACAATCGATTGTTCTCTTTACGATGGAAGAAAAGTCGACTGTGATTGGTCAATTTGCCTACTGCATACCACTACAACCTCATTGTAGAATGACCTTTAAGCGTGGTCTACAGCGTGGTCTACAATGGCCGCAAGCAGTAAGAAGAAGCGTGAACAGTAAAGCCAGCGGCACACGGTGCTCGTTTTCGTGCTGGATTGCTTGCTGGATGAAAATACTGCGTTCTGATTAGTACATTTCCGAAGATGGATGGAAATGCACCAATCAGAACGCAGTATTTTCATCCAGCACAAGCAATCCAGCACAAAAACGAGCACCGTATGCCGCAGACTTAAGAAATGGACTAACCATAGTTGTTTATTTTTGTCATAATCGACTGTGATTGGTTTATTTCTTACCGCTTACGCTTACTTCTTACTGCTATTGTAGACGATGCTTTAAAGGCTCGTTTACATTAGCTGTAAGAGTAAAGGCCCATCTACAATGGCTGCAAGAATAAGGTTGCAAGCGTAAGCAATAAGAAACGGACCAACTATAATCGATTATTCTTATAATAATCGATTGTGGTTGGTCTATTTCTTACTGCTAAAAGAATCAACCTATCAGTTCTTCATTTCTGTCCTAAGGAGGGAAATGAAGAAAACTAATTGATTTATTCTCTTATGTGTTATGTATAAAGGCTCGTCTACATTAGCTGTAAGAGTAAAGCCAGCGGCACACGGTGCTTGTTTTCGTGCTGGATTGCTTGCTGGATGAAAATATTGCGTTGTGATTGGTACATTTCCGAAGATGGATGGAAATGCACCAATCAGAACGCAGTATTTTCATCCAGCAAGCAATCCAGCACGAAAACAAGCACCGTGTGCCGCTGGCTTGAGCTACAAAGAACAGATCATTGGTTTGTTCTTTTTAGCTGCACTGCGGAACTAGTGCAATAAGTTAAAATGAGACAACTATATTTTTTCTCACTTTAACTTATTGCACTAGTTCAGTAGTACAGTTAAAAAGAACAGACCACAAGTATCTCTTCGGTGCTGTTGGTTGAGCCCGTTCTACATTAAGCTAAGACTCCATGCATGCGGTGAACTGCGGCAAACGGTTGCGGTGAACAATCAGGAGGGAGGCGCAAGTCCGGTTGCTGCAAGCTCCGGCATGCGTCTGTCTCCTGGTTTGGTCACCGCAACCGTTTGCCGCAGCTCACCGCATGCATGGAGTCTTAGCTTTAGTCGCAAGACAGAATTCAAGTCGCAAGTCGTAGAAATCTACCAATCATAGTCGAATGAAAGAGAATATTCGACTGTGATTGGTGAATTCCTACAACTTGCGACTTGCGTTCTGTGGTTTGCGACTAATGTAGAACGGACTTTACGGAATTTAGCCTACCAGAAAAATCTCGCTGTACATTAGCGCCCTCTTAGGAATACCGTGGCCGGAATATGAAACGTAGCTCGAAATAAGCATGAATGGTAACAGATGGAATACGGAGTTTTATTTTCAAGTTGTATATGTCAGAGGCAAAACAAAACATTTATTTTTTTCTATCAAAATATATTTTATTGTATATTTCTTACAATAGTGCGTAAAATTTAGTCAAAAATTACGAACTTGTTGACTTGATATTTTTCAAAAAGGAACTAATGCAGAAAATACGTTCATGTGGGACTCATAAATAAATAACTGAAGATGAAATTGGTAATTATAACTCTTTTTAATTAAGTAATAACGATAAAATTCAAGCATTAATATTCGTTTGATAACATTAAACGTAATTTGTGAAGTATATTACATTATAACCTCTAAAGAGTAAACATAACCTCTTTGCAGAAACAGGACTTTAATAACATTTTTTATTGAGAAAACGACATAAATGACAGTGATATCGAACAATAATAACGTTACATTATTTTAATATTGTTGAGAAATTAAGCATTGTATTCATAAACTAACATTCCAATTTATTTCCAGTATTGTCTATCCAGTGAACCAACCAAACCATGTTTGGTTCTGAGCTTCAAAGGGATTACACTAATGTTAGACTGTGGTTTGAATATGCAATCCATATTACATTTTATGCCTCTGCCCATGGTCCCTAGTAGCAAATTTAATTCTTTACCAGCATGGGTTCCACGTGACAATCAGCAAGATTGGCAACTTGAAGGAGTTTGTATCTATTTTATATTTTGGTTATATTTTTTATATGTTTTAATGTTTGCATGATAAATGAAATAGATATAAATATTTAATCTCAGCAAAATAGAAGAAAAGAATAACAAAATATAGAAAGTACAATTAAAAGACAAAAAAATATAAGAATTAGGTGTTTATGATATATTTCCTGAATTGTATATAACTTGTACATTTTATTTTAAGGAGTTGAAGGAATGCTGTGGCAGGATCTTTGTGGACTCAACTCCAGAGTTTTCTCCTCCTTTGGAGAAAATAATAGATTTCTCTGAGATTGATGCTATTTTAATATCTAATTACACTTGCATGCTTGCGCTCCCATTTATAACAGAAGGCACTGGTTTCAAAGGTACATTATATATAAAGATGACATATAACATAGTATAGTTTTAAAAATATGATATGTCAAAGGTATAATATATGCTACTGAGCCCACATTGCAAATTGGACGATTTTTCATGGAGGAATTGGTGGAATTTATTGAGCAAACTCCAAAAACTACACTGGCCAAACACTGGAAGGAAATGTTACATGTGTTGCCATGTCCATTAGCAGATGTAATTAAACCAAAATCTTGGAGACATATTTATTCTGTGTCAGCTATAAACTCGGCATTGTCAAACATCCAATTAGTTGGATATGATCAGAAATTGGTAAGTTAGAGAGAGACAGGTTGCAGAGATATAGACTATAAAGTTAATATAAAGAAGCAAAGAATAAATTATTCAACTTAGGAAAAAGAAAAGACAAATTTAATCAATTGATAAAACCTATAAAATTGGAAACATTTTCCATATAAAAAGTAGATGAATGGATTAGTTTATAATTAATATAGTAAAATAAATAATTCTTCAATCACATTTTAATTATGTGTAGGACATATATGGCGCTTTAATAGTGACTCCTATCAGTTCTGGATATTGTTTAGGAAGCAGCAATTGGTTGATATCTTCCGACCATGAGAAAGTCGCTTTCGTTAGCGGTTCGTCCACGTTAACCACTCACCCAAAACCTATGGAGCAAGCAACATTGAAGAATGCTAACATGTTGATATTGACAGGTTTAACTCAAACGCCAACTGCTAATCCCGATACAATGCTTGGAGAATTGTGCATGACCGTCGGTAAGTCTCTTCAATTGACCATTTTCTTCATAGCGTTTGTTTATTACACAGCCAACTTTGCATATCCTTCGACAATCTTGCAGCTGTGACACTGAGAGCTGGGGGATGCGTTCTGATACCTTGCTATCCTTCTGGTGTGGTGTACGACCTGTTCGAATGTCTGAGCACGCATTTGGACAAATCGGGTTTTACTCAAGTACCTTTGTTCTTCATTTCACCGGTGGCGGAAACGTCGTTGGCTTACTCAAATATACTCGCTGAATGGTAGAATCGATGATTTTAACAGACTCATCATATGTTTGTTTTACACATTTTTTGACCAGTTTATTATCGTCGTTTACATTCTAGGCTCTCGACAAATAAGCAAAACAAAGTTTATCTTCCAGAGGAACCGTTCCCTCATGCTTTCCTCGTGAAGAACGCCCGTTTGAAGCACTTCACATCCACGTATGCAGAAGGGTTCAGTAATGATTATCGGCAACCCTGCGTCGTTTTCTGTGGCCATCCCAGTCTTAGATTTGGCGACGCCGTGCATTTCGTGCAGCTGTGGGGCAATAATCCTTTGCACACAATAATCTTTACAGGTAGATTATTTGTAGAAATAATGATCCGACAAGTGATGCGACAAATGTTTTTCTTTCGTTTTGCGGTTTACTGGATCATTTGACATGTGTTGCTATGTGAAACTTTAAAGCTATACTCTACTTTTTATTTCATTATCGATTGCTGTAAACACTCAATATAATGGTGGATTATTGTTCTGTATAAAAAATTATCAAATTTTCAAGGTTTCAGTTTTTATTAAACACATGAATATCTTTTAACAATCGCATCACGGCACTTTCGATTTTACAGAACCGGACTTTCCATATTTGGACGCTCTCGCGCCGTTCCAACCGTTAGCAATGAAAGCAGTACATTGTCCCATCGACACGTCTCTCAACTTTACTCAAGCTAACAAACTTATACGGGACCTGAAGCCGGAACATTTAGTCATACCGGAGTGTTACACGCAACCCCCCTTAACAGCATCACATAGAGCAGACTTGGTCATTGAACCAGTGGGAGTTTGTATTATTTTTTATGAAGCGCGAGAAACATTTTAATTAGTCGTCATATCTATCCCTAATATTTTCTCTGTTAAGGAAAAACCTTTAATTACATTTAAACGCGGGGAAGTGATAAAATTGCCGTTAAAGCGGAAAAAGGGTCGCGTGTTCATTGAGCCGGAGCTAGCAGGGAGCATCGTGCCGAATGAAATACGTCCAGGTTTGAGTCTCGCCTCTGTCACCGGTGAGCTGGAAGTTAAGGATAATGTATACACTATTAAGGTAATTATTATACTAATATTAGCGTATGCATTTCTTCGTTGATAAAAGACTGCCCATTCGATCTGAAATACGTTCTGAAATACACGTTGAGATACAGATATCTATTTAGGAAACATGAAACTTGCAGGCTATAGAAGATAGATCGAGTATTAAAAGGAAGGCATCGTCGAGTTCGCCAGTGCCTGTGAAGGAGGAAGTTCTTAAGGAGAGGAAACACGAATATGGAAATTTAGACCCACAGGAGCTACTTCAGAAGCTCAGCCAAGAAGGATTTCAGGGTGCTAGGTTGCAACATACCCCTACTGCTACCAGCATTCACTTGGTGCGTCAATATTCTACTAATATTGCTAAATTTTTCATATACAAGCTTCTCTGAAGCTGACGAAAAAGTTGTCTGTCGTTGCACAGATTATTCAATGAAATTTGGTAGAACTTTACTTTAGATATACATGTCCGCTTGCAGCAAGACGAAGATACTCTAATTCAGGTCGGAGACAATTCTACACATATATTCTGCAATGGCGATCAGAAAATCCGCAGACGTCTGAGAACTATAATAATGCAATGTTTGAAAAGATTTTGAAGTACGCTAGTCTTTATAGTATTCTAACATTTTCATGTATATTTTATATAATGACAGACCTGACATCATATATATACCCATATATATGTTTTGAAAAGAAATTTGAAACGTCCTTTTATACCCTTTTTATTCTCAGCTATTGACCATTAAAATTCCGAATTGGCTACGATCGGAAAAATTTCTATCTTATTTTGTAACATAACATAGGAGAAACGTAAGAATTTAAGAAAATACTTTTAAATATATTAATATAATTCTGTAATTTTTTAATGTTGTATTAAGATATAATCCATTTAATAATATCGCCACATACATTGGCCACATCAGATTAATATATTATCCTCCAATCGTTACTAAGCAATTATTAAGCAATTTACGATACCATGACTTAAATTAAATGATCGCAAAATTGTTTACTTGATATCGTTAAAGAATTTTTATTATAGATAGGTAATAATAAGTTTGTATAAGTATAAATGACACGATAGGAATATTTAATAACTGGAAAATTAAGTATATAAATAATAAAAGTTTCGCAATCCTTTATAGTAATAATACAAACAGTATACAATATTATATTAATTTATATTCTGAAGTGACTAATTTCTTGCTGCATTCTGAACGAACAGGAAATATCTAACAACATTTTACACTTTCATTATGCATGTTTTTACAAGAATTCTTGTACATGTTCTACATGTATATATATATATATATGTATATAATAACAATATTTAAATATAAATTCATAAAATGAAATATAAAATAGATCACAAAATTTATGAATTTTAACAAATCGTGCTAGTTTAAATAATTTAGTTTCTTTTTCTACACAATATCAGACATAGTAAATCAGAGACTTTCATTTGTTTGATGCGCATATCGTTAAATATAATTTTCCACCCAATTCTTCAACTCGTTGATTCTGTTCCGCACTTTATTCGCAATAATATGATATTCGTCAACGTCGTCATGATCGACAATGACGGAGCTATCTTCCGCGTGAATATGGACCTTCCTGGTTACATTCAGAGTGCAGCGACTTATTACTTAGTTGGCGGTAGCGACACCAAGCGCAACTCCTGCCACGAAGGACAATAGGAAGAAGTGAAATTCATTCGGTTGGAAGCTATTGTCATCACCAATTAACGTATGATACCAGCGTCGCGTGCGTTTTTCACCTTGTTTCAATAACCGTTCGGCTTTATCCAGCTTTCGATCGACGAATCTTTCGACCTAAAACGACATCTCTTATCAAAACAAATACCATATTGGAGCAAAAAATAAATAAGTTTCTGTTGTTAAGATTAATTTCACTTTAAATCTCTTTAAATGTAGAATAAAGAAATGTTTTTATTGAGAATTGTACAAAAAATTATGATGATGACATGATAATTGTCACTAATATAAAGATTGATGCTTACATCAATAATATGTTAACAAAACTATTAAAATTATAATATTGCACTATTGTCTCGTCTTTGTAACAATTAGTATAATTATACTTTTTATAATATATTATGTATTGGCAACATAGTGAGCATTTTTTTACATTTTCATATAAAACTTCAAAGTTACTGTTCTTTACTTCACCAAGTTAAACCAATAATGAAACCACCAAGAAAACTCGTAGCAACACATGAATTCCTTTTCCATAATTTTCTTACCTGCAATCAAGAAACATGTAAATGATGAAAAGTATATATACAAAGTATCTTTTAATAGTCTATTTCATAATCAAGTTGATGCAAGAAATACTTATTTTTCACATAAAATTATAAATGAAAATACAGTTTCAAGAGTATCCCCTTCAGTTAAAATAATGAAAACTCACCTTGGTATGGTTTTCTCATTTAGAAAAAATCTTAAATTTTTATCTCAAGCTTAAATCTTTAACTTTATTTAAAATTAAATAGAAAACTAATATTTGCACCAACCTTGTCCATCAAATTTGGTGCTTCGCCAGTAATTTTCTCTTCTACTTTATCTGAAATCTTTTCAGCTTTTTTTGTTACCTTATCCCAATTGATCTTTATGTAACCTTGATGCGCAGCAATTTGCATTATAATAATACCACCACCAATTGCACAGGCTGCTACCTTTCCAATTTTCATAGTGACAACTCCAGTGACCCTGATTTTGTCATTTATTCACTTGTTATTAAAATTATTACTTGTGAAACAATATTATAAATTATAAAAAATATATCTGATAAATAACATCATATGAGCATTTGGTTACAAAAATAATATATCAAAGCAAATAATTATAATAATGTAAAATATATAGTACCATCCTGATGTGGTACCAATGATAATTTGTTTAGTGGCTGAGGTCTTGCTAACATCACCTAAGAATTTTTCCAAATATGTCTTTGCTTCTTTTGACACATCTATAGTGTAATCATCATCATTTTCTTTACTTTTCTTTGGTGTACTCATCCTGGTGCTAAAGAAAAAAAATACGTTATATAAAAACTTGATTCTTTTCAGGAATCATATTTAAGAGCAAGTTGACATATT